GTATCTGTACAAAGGTCCGGCATGGGTTTCGGATGGGAAAAAGTGACTCGACAGGGCAAACGACGAGATCACGGAGATGAAGGATAGAGCGCTACGGCGTCTGGTGAAGGCAGAATGTACATTGAACCACATCGCTTGGTGCGGGCACACAAGCCAGCCCGGATAAAAGGGAGAGCCAAGCGCCCGCCTATAGACGAAAGTATGGCGACCAAACGCCTTGAACCATCTAATACGGGTCCTGATTGTACGCCTTCTCCGCCTCTGCGTATGCGTCATACGAGTACAGAAACCCCTGGATCTCGGGACACGTCCACCGCGACGGGAACCCAGGTTGCGGCTCCCCTCCCGGTTGCAACGACGCGGCCATAACCTCGTCGCGGCGCTCCTGCTCGGGGCCGTCGGGCATATGGAAGTCGTCGCGCTGCCGGAACGACTCCATGACGATGCGCTGCCCGCGACCCATCCGCAGGCGCTGATACATGGCCGCGGCCGCGGGGAGCTGCGCGGCCTTTGTCGTACGCCCACCGACTTTCCCGAGGAGGTAGCCCAGCACGGCACCGTCTTCCAGGGAGGAGTTTGCGCCCTGTGCGAGATAGGGCAGCATCGGGTGGCAGCAATCTCCGGCCATGAAGAAGGACCCGTCGGCGCTGGCCCACTGGTCGAGGGGCTCGATCCAGCAGAGCTTCCACTTGTGGACGCTCTCGACCTGGTCTAGGAGCTTTCGGAGGAGGGGGTCCCAGCTGGAGAAGAGGGAGCGCATCTCCTCGACGTCGCCGAGGACCTTTGTCGAGCCCTCGGGGAGGTTGTCCGGGGATAGCAGGCCCAGGTTGAGCATGCGGCCCTGCTTCACGGTGTAGGAGACGCCGTGGGACTGCGGACCGATCCAAAAGTGAACCGTTTCGGATTCGATAAAGGCCTCGAGCTCGGCCTTGTGGGGGCCCTTGAGGGAATCGATCGGGATCGCGATCCGGAAAGCCAAGTCGCCGGTCAGCGCCGGAGGTGAAGGTCGGTTGAGGAACTGGGCGCGGGTGGCGGACCACATGCCGTCGGCGCACACGACAACGTCGCCAGCGACTGTGGAGCCGGAGGCGGCATCGGCGTCCTCGTGGTCGAGGGTTACGACGGCGCGGTCAAAGTCTACGGAGCGGACGCGCGAGGAGAGGCGGATCTCGACGCCAAGGGCGGTGCAGCGGTCGACAAGGGCGCGCTGGAGCTCGACGCGGTGGAGCCCCAGAAGGGATAGCCGTAGCGGGACTGGATGGTTTCCTGTAGCTGCGGCTCATGGGCGAGAAGGCGGGTGCCGTCGTAGCGGTGGACGGAGAGAGTCGACGGGCGGGTCGCGAGGGGGTCAAGGGTCGGGTTCAGGCCCCAGGCTTCGAGGAGGCGGGTTGCGTTGGGGGTGAGCTGGAGGCCGGCCTGTGGTTGTGTTTAGTGAGTGGAAGGCGCCGCAGGGTGGGCAAAGGAGTTGTGAGAAGGCGACTTACACCGACTTCTTGAAGCTCTTTGACGGCCTCGAGAATCGTGACGCGGTGGGAAGGGTTTGCCAGCTTTGTCGAGAGGGCGGTGGCCAGGCCTGCGAGGCCGGCGCCGATGATTATGACATGGAGAGGACCCGCGGCGTTGGATCCTGCTTCTGCGCTCATGTTGGATGGCTCCGGTCACTCACGCGAAGTCGCGGGTAGCGCCGTGTGAGTAAATTGAGGTAGGTCACTGAGTTGATTGTGCAAATGTGGTGCGCGGAGCGACAGCCAACATTCTACAATGATCTCCTCTCACCGTTATCAACTCGAAAGACCATTTCTGGAGAGGCTGGATCAAGGAGACTGTCGTAATGGGCCCTGAAGATACACCTCAGGAAAAAAAGACGCCGTTGCCGCGGCTTGGGGGTTGGGCTCACGGAGGGTCTCATGTGCGGAGTGTGGGGAAGACCGACGGGACGACGCCGTCCCTCAGGTTCGTCCCATTAGCTGCATTGCGAACTAATGTAGGGTATCTTTCTCTTTTGTCTATCCGCCGCCCCCCGGAAACCTAGCGTCGAGGCCACTGGCTTCCTTTGTTTCTATGTCTTCCTTCCATCCCATCCGCCGACACAGCAGTGGTGTGTGTCGCCAGCGGTGGTAATGCCGTGTCGTGCTCGTTCATTGGTGCCGACTCTCAGCCCTACTCGTTGGGGACAACAAGATCATCCGGGTCGACTTCCCATTCTTCTTCGTCGCCCCAGGTGGGTGCGAGAACAAATCTGCCCATGATTTTGCCCATACCAATGCTGTCGCCGCCAATGACACCCTGCTTCGTTTTTTCGTCCGACTCCTCCACGATCACTGCCGTGGTCAAGAAGTTCATCCCCGCCGCTGGGCTGAGCTCTAGAGTTCGTCCACCCCAATCCAACTCGACCTTGCCAGACTTGCGGACCTTGAGCTTGCCCATCATGCCGGCCTGGGACACAAGTTGATTGATGTCGGTCAGGTCAATGTCCTTGTCCTCCTCGGCCTTGGCTTTGATGTTCTCATCCGAGTTGGTGAGATCGACCGCTTCGCCAGGCTGGTCCAGCATGACAACGTCGTCCGGCTCCGGCTTGACCTTGGGCGCCGTCGCAGGATGTAAGGGTGGGAGCAGGGGCGGGAATTGAAAGAGGTATAATCGGCCGTCCTTGTCCTGTACAGCTTCGGCCTCGGGTGCTTTTGAGTTCTCGTCGGAAACAGTGCCCAGCTCGCCCAATAAAAGTTGCATATCGTGTGTAATCATTTCCACCTCGGGGTCAGCCGCTGGCTTCTTCGTCTTCGGTTCAGGCGTAATCTTCTCCTCGGCTTCAGGGGTCGAGGATTTGACTCGGGGGTCGAAATCAACCGGCGCAATATCCATGGCTCCTGGCTCAGCTCCTGGTTCTGCCTTGACCTGGACCATGCCCTTGGGTGCCGCATGCCATACCTTGGTCTCTTCCTCCACCCGGGGAACGGCGCCGGCCCAAGACTCATTTCCGTCAACCCATAGACTTTCTTCCGCCTTTCCTTGTTCTTCTGCCTCAAGCTCAGCCGAGGTCGCAATGACCTTCTTCTCTTCCTTCTTGTCGATTCGGGCAATACCCATAGGCCAGATGTTATCGGGCTTCGAGCTGATGAGAGCTGCGGTCGCTTCGTCGTCGGAGTCTGGCTCGCGGTCAACCGCGTATCCGGCGAGTCTGTCGGCATTGATTCGGGCTTCGCGATGGCCAGAGGCCTCTCCAAAGCCACCGCCTTCTCTCTTGGCTCTGCCCCTCCGCCGCCACCGAAGAAACCACCACCGCCGGCGCCGCTACCGCCACCACCACCACCTCCCCAGCCTCCGGATCTTCCGCCTCCTAGGCAATGTTGTTAGTTCTATACCTTCCGTCACGGGGACACTGCCGGACATACCCTCAATGTTTATTTGCGAGAAGGGGCCGCTAGCAACAGCAGTTCGCGACATGAATCCACCCCTACCCATGGCATCTCCACGAGCTCGCCGACTACGACCTCGGGACCGGGCTTGCGCTCGAGCCTCAGCCTTTGCCCTCGCATTGTCTTTCTCCAACTCTTGTCGAGCGATGGCGTCTCTTGCGGCCTCGTCTCTGCGCACGACCTTGGGGCGAAATCTGCCGACCGAGGTGCCCCGCGTGGGCGCTGGCCGAGGAGTTGCGGAATCTCTGGAAGGTCCTGCGGTTGCCGAAGCAGTGCCTAGTGCCGAGGAAGGTCTGGATGTCGGCGCAGGCGTCTCGGCACTTGGTGTGACACTGGCAGCAGCTCCTCTTCCTGCACCTCTGCCTCTCGCTCCTCGGCCGCGAGCCCTGCCGGCGCCTCGAGCCGGGGTCGTTCCCTCGGGCATGGTAGTTGACGACGATAGGGTGAGGGTGATGTATCGGGAGAAACTTTGTTACTTTGTCGCTATGTCGTGCAATTGGACGTTTACCGTCGTCGTAGGCTGGGTGGAGGCTTTGGAAATTTGTGAAATATGGTTGTCGATGGAGAGTCACAGGCGCCGCCGTGAGAAAAAGATGCTCGATTACCTTAGCGTGGTGGGGGACCAAACGTCTGTGGAGGTACCCTTGCACTTTTTTTTCTTCCATGTCCCTCGGAATCGCTGCACCCAAAGTGGGGTTGAGTCACCCCGCGTTGGTCACTTGCTGCAGTGCTGTGGCTTTCAAAGAGAAGGAGGGGCGCTGAGGCACAAATGAGATGTGCATCATTCTGGGTTCGCTCATTACCACGACTCTCATAGAGGATACCACTCGATCCTTACTTAAAAGAAAGCAGAAATTCGGTTGGAAAGAAGTCATACGAACACCCGGTGTAGTTGTTTTGCACTGTTTTCTCGGTGGCTTCACCCAGTCTGCATTCATATCTTTGGGATGCTTTACGGTTGGAGATGATCTCACCACCACTCAAGTCAAGCTTGACTTGCTCGATTCTGGAAAGCACTTTATTGGCCCTCTGAGGTTGTCTCATTTTACACACATCAATGACTGTTCACCATACAGTCTTGCGACGCTGCCCTCCCGACTGAGCATACTGCCAATCCACAACCGCCCAGCTTCAACAGTGCTCGCTCCGAACTTCACAATGACACATCCCCTGACCTTCGCTGCTGACCATAAGATGCCATCCTTGGCCTCCATCTCTATGCGCTTCACCCGCCATAACTCATCATCCGTCAGGTTGCTCTCCTCCTTGGCCTTTGTCTCTGCCGATCTGAAATCCCTCGCGCCAAGCCGCGGCAAAACCCCGAATTCGTCGAGGAAGAAGTTTCCTAGTGCGTGCATCTGCGGTCCTCGAAGAATCAATGTCCCAAAGAGCCCGTTCCCATGCATAGAGTCTCTTAATGACCTGCCGACCAATTCTTGGCTATTTCTGTCCAAGATGACCGTGTCTCGCACGAGCAGGCGAGGTTTGCTTTCTGGGTTCTCTCCCGACAACCAGACTTCATTGCGCCCTGTCCACTTGACAAAGCTCCAGTCCTCGCCGCGTGCCATTCTGCCTTGCGTCACCCAGTCCAGGAGACACAGAGATGCGCTGGGAGCCGCTGTGAATATCTGTGTCTGTTCGTACACGCTCCCATTAAAAGGCTGTACTGGATCTGGAAGCTGACAGATGCCGGCATTGTCTTCGATATGGACCTCGAGTGTCTGACGTGTGACGATGTCGGGGGATGCGGACTTGAAAATCTTTGTGTGACCCTGAGTAACAACGCTGAGCTTTGATTCTGGTAGAGCGCGAATGGCCAGATTGACACTATCACCTCCGACAAGTCCACCGCCGTACGACAACAAAAAGACCAAAACACTCTTCTGGTCGGCTGCTGGTGTGGGTGAGATGAGTTTCAGAGGGTACTGGTACGACATGGCTTTGAGACCCGAGAGGCCGTTCGGCAGCAGCTGAGCCACGATCTCGCCCTCGCCGGCAACCGACGAGGACTTTGGAAATGGGGAGTCCATCGTCGGCCACACTGGTGCGGGTTGAAAGTTGTTCGATGCGTCTCAGGGGCAAATGCGACAAGCCATTCCCGACTGTAAACAGCGTCCTTTGCGGACTGTGCAAAGTCAGAAGTGTCCTGAGAGTACACGTTGTTTGGGAGAAACTAAACGTCAAGGGACGGGCGCTTACTATAAAATGCTCAGCCGAATCACCCTGTTGATTGTTTTTCTATGAGATGACACTAGGTATACAAGAAATTGCGTGTAGCAAAGTCCATCAGCGAAGAGGAAAAGTCTAGATGCGGAGTACGTACTGTATGGCCGCTGGCGAGCTTACCCTGGCCTCTGCAACGAAGGCCACAAAATAACGGTACCCGACCTTGAAAGACCCCAGACCACCCTCGCAACATTGCTGTCTTTTCGAATGTATCAACAAGCCAATTAGGAATATCGATGTATTCAAACTCGGCAAGGTAAGCAGCCCGCCTAGAACGATGACAGCCAAGCTTGGCAACCTCCGAACTTCAAGTCTGCACAAGCACTATCGGGGTGACCTAGGTAGGCTCTGCCACGTACGTCGCTCTACCTTGGGTAGACTTCAAGAGCCCAATTGTACGTAGTGTAGGTAGGTTAACGACTTCCGTGCGCCTCAGCGTTGAGAGTTTCCAAAATAGACTGTCGATGGCGATGAGAAGGTACGTACCTGCGTTTTGTCTTCCATTTCCTCCCGCGCCAGGCGTACAGTGTTGTTTAGCGCATCAGCTGCGTGCCTCGCACAGTGAACAAGGCAGGTACCACCACTTCGATCCACCCAAATCCGTCCATCCTCCCACCCGCGAAATTGGAGAGCTCGTCACCTAAACATCCTCGACACAGACGCACCGACTGAACGCGACAATTTCCCTCGTATGCGCCACTCTTCTGAACCCTCGCTCATCGGCGCAAACTAATTGTCGCGATTGCTGTCTTTATCTGCATATTTCAGCGAGTTTACCATTTCACCATTGCGCGACAACATGGAGAGCGCGACAGCATCCCCGAACCCGAGTCGTCGCGTCGTCGATCTGGACGCGTCGTGCGAGCCCCCGAAAAGTTCAGCCCCGAACCAGTCACCGCCCCAAGCGCAAAAGAGGCCTGGAGCACGATGATGATGATGATGAAGGAAACGAAGATGACGAGCCCGAGACGGATGCTACGATGAGCGACGCCGCCGATAGCGGTGACGAACGTCCTCGCGCCAGACCCAAGAAGCGATCAGGCGCATCGCAAGGGAACCGCGTAAAGAAGCCCGCGACCAAGAAACCAAAGACAAACGGGGTTGCCCATTCGGCAAGCCTGCCATCTCGTCCGAAGAAATCGGTGAGAATTTCTGCCGCTAACAAGCAAGGGGAGGGCCTCTATGGTAAGCCAACCACCCTGGAATGTTGTTCACAGTCCTATCATCTGACACGTCTCTACAGCCGACGTCTTTGGCTCGGGGTTGCCCTCAGATGAAGTTGCCGACAAGTGGCAGACTAGGTACCAGGCAAACGATGCTCTTGCTGTCGTCGAGCTGGTCAATCTCGTGCTGCAATGCTCCGGCTGCGATCTCGAAATTACCGAAGACGACGTCCGTGACCCTGATAACTGTCAGGCTCGCCTGACCGAGCTTCAGGATCTCTTCCAAGAGGTATGGAAGCTCAACCCTCTATGCGACTCTACTGTACGGGCTTGAGTGCTAACCTAGGGTAGGAGCAAGTAACGGAGTACCCTCTCATCTCCAGGGCGAAAAATACCAAGGCTTTTCGCGACCTCTTGACCGGATTCTTCAGGGCCGTTGTGCGTAGCGTTCACGAGACTGATATCCTGTACAACGACGCGACATTGATGGAAAACCTTGTCCGTTGGATAGCATCCATGTCGACTTCATCACTTCGTCCGTTCCGGCACACAGCGACCACTGTTATCCTTTCCCTTGTGCACGGCTTAATCGACGTCGCAAACACCCTGGACTCTCGGATTACTGCGATCGAACAACAAATCAACCAAGCCAAGAGGGGCAAGAACAAGGCGAAGCTGGCGGAAATGCAGCGCACCCTTGACGAAGCCAACAACAACAGAGAGTTATGCGGCCATCATATCAAGGACTTTTTCGACACCACATTTATCCACAGATACCGAGATATTGACCCGCGTATCCGGACCGAGTGTGTCGAGGCCTTGGGGTCTTGGATCATTGGCCAACCGACAGTCTTCATGCAACCCGAGTATCTACGCTACCTCGGCTGGATGCTGTCGGACGTAGTCTCTTCGACCCGACAAGAAGTCCTCAGACAGTTGGCACGCATCTTCAGGAAGGATATCCAGCCGCTAGGCCACTTCATCGACCGGTTCCGACCCCGCCTCATTGAGATTGCCACGAAGGACGCCGAGGTATCTGTCCGCGTCGCGGCCATCTCTGTTATCAACGTCCTCCGGGATGCTGGGATGCTGGAGCCGGACGAGGTTGACTCGATCGGCAAGCTCATTTTCGACAGCGACTCCAGGATTAGGAAATCCGTTGTCAATTTCTTTGTCTCCTGCGTCGAAGATTCTATCGAAAGCAAGATGGAAGAGCTCGGCGGTCAGGATGCCCTGGATGAGCTCTTTGGCGAAATCGAGGAGGATGATTACGACTCGCCTCGCAGCGCTTGGGTCAACATCAAGTGCCTAGCCGAGAATCTGGCGGCGTTCGATGCGCAGGTCGAGGGCGAGCAGCAAGACATCAACTCTCAAGGTCTCGCCGTTGCCGCTGATGTCACGCAGGCGAGTGTTCCTGACACCCGCATATCGCTCGCTTCCCAGGTTCTTTTCGAAAAGGTACCCTACGTCAAACAGTGGGAGGTGCTGGCGGGATATCTGCTTTACGATCATACTGTCAGCTCCAGGTCCAGGTCCAAGTCACATGGCGCCTCCACCGAGATTGCTTTTAAGAAAGCTGTTGGGCCTGTGGGGTCAGAGGAGGCCATTTTACTAGAAGTCCTGGCTTCGGCAGTCAAGATGTCGATGCTCCAAACTACCGAGATTGAGAAAAACAAGAAGAAGAGTGGTCGCCCGGAAGTTACCGAGGCTCAAGAAGAGACAGCCTTGGAGCTGGCGACGGTGATCCCGCAACTTCTCAACAAGTTCGGGGCTGATCCTACCACCGCCACTATTGTCCTGCGCATGGAGCACTTCCTAGATCTGGAGGTTTTCCAGACATTACGGCAAGATTCAACGAAGTATGAGAAGTTATTGGACGAGATTAGCACGCAGTTCAACAGGCATGACGATAAGAGAGTTGTTTCTGAAGCTGCTGCTGCTCTCCTCCATTCTCGTCAGTATGACGAGCTCGAGGAGCTGACTGATGGAAGGCTCGCAGTTCTGTGGGAGAACGTCATCAACACATTGCGCAGTTTCGACAAAACGTGCGAGCTTACCATCCGCGGCAATTTAGAAGAGGAGCATTTGACGGCACTTTCCACCGTGCTCATGAAGATCAGTGAGCTTGCTCGCATCTCTGATTGCACCGAGGTCCTCGAAACCGAAGGTCGTGCGGCTGATTCAATGTCGTCCACGATCGATATCCTGGTCAACATTGTCCGTCGGGGCACTTTCAATGAACCCAGCGAAGTTGATGACTTGGAAGATGAGGTCACGTCCTTTGCAATCAAGGGCATTCAGTTCTACTTCATGTGGAAGGTGCGGAGCTTTCAGAAGTTCATCCAAAGCGAAACCGAAATCCCTGACTCCATTGTGGACCGAATCGCCGTCCTGCGCAAAAAGTACGACACGGGTCTGATCAAGACTTTGTCGTCGCGAGCTGTAATTGACGAAATTCGCATTTTCGCCACTGGTGCTCTTTGCGATATTCACGTCCTCTTCGGTTCCTTGCGTAACTGGACGGAAGAGTCTCGCGGAAACGCCAACTACAAGAAGCTCGCGAGGCTTGCACATGAGCTCGAGCCCAAGCTCTTGCCTGAGCTCATCTCCATTTACGACGGTGTTGAGCGGAGCTTTGCCAAGCGGACAAAGAAGGTTCTCAACGAGCCGGCCGAAGACGAAGAGCCCATGGATGATGATGACTCCGACGACGAGGAGGATGAAGACGAGGGTCTTACTCAAGAGGAGAAGCTCGCCATTGAACTCAAGTCTGAGAAGGCCCTCTGTGAGTTGGCTGCCAAGTTCGTGCTCGCCATCGTCCAAAAGGTATTGGACCAAACAGGGCCTCACGCCGGGACGCTTCGCAAGCGTCTCCTCCGAAATCAGGGCAGGCTCGGCAAGAACTTTGCTGAAGTGGTTGCTTACCTCGACCCGTCCAAGGTCCGGGAGCACCTGTACGGCAAAAAGCAAGCGCAAAGGGCGAAGACGTCGGCCAAGCCGGCCGCAGCGAAACCCGCTCGCAGCGAGGAGATCGTCGTCGACGACGACGATGACGACGAGGAAGACGTTTTCGAGGAACCCGAACTTGAGCCGGAAGAGGGTTCCAAGGAAGACCTCCGCCGACGAGAATTGCTGGAGGAAGAGGAAGAAGAGGAGCCTGACGTGGAGGAGGCTCCTGCCAATAATGACGCAGACGACGATGATGTATTGGGCGACTAAACGGGACCTTTTTCGACTTTGGACCGCTGGAGGGCAAACACACAAACATTTCGGACTTTTTTGCTCTGTTCATATAATGATTCTTCTGGCTTGGAGAGACCGTTCTTATCCCCTGCGTTGTGTGTTTGTGCGCTGGCGTGGGATTGCTTGCTTATGGAACGCCTTCACATATTGCTTCTGCGTGGAAGGGTGACGGCGGATGGTGACGGCGAATCGAAGGCGCCAGTCCTGGAGCGGCTCATTTGACTCATGGCGTTAGAAAGGGTTCAAAAGATAGTTAGCTCCTATGGTAGCTAATACGACACGATTTCATAAGGTATTCCCGTTCCGTACAAGTCTGTTCTTGCGCCCATGACGGCCCCTGTCCCCCCGCCCTCGAGGACCATCGATCCGTATCCCGTATCAAAACAGAACTCCTGCTCTGTGCCCTTATTTGTAACAAATCTTGGTTCCAAAAAGCCCAAACATCCGCTTCCATCGCTTGCTTTCGCCTGCGTTCGCCTTGTCTGGATTCGACTCCTTGACCCGGATGCCATACTGGTAGATGCAGCAGGCGAAAGGCCGGTTCGAAATAGCCTCGGTCTCCTTTGACGGCGCGCCGGGTCCCTCGTTGTCGGAACTGTCTAGCGGCCGATCGTTCGCCATCTTCTTACCCACGGTGCCTTTTTGCTTCTTGCTCTTGTTTGCCAATTCCTTGGTCTTCTTCTCTTCAAGATCGCCCCAGAGGATGAACATCTTCTCCCGCAGCTGTGCCAGCTCGTCGGGACTCACGCGGAGGTCGCAGGCGTCCAGATTTGTCAGAAGCTGCGCGTCCATGTTACGTACCACGACCCAGAAGCTGTTTTCTTTCCGGCTTTTGGGGTCGTTAGCCACGGCTGTGGCATCCTGGAGACGGAGAGCGAAGTGCCATTCCCAAACTTGGTCGCTGCTACTCATGTGACTATCGAGTGTGCAACCTTTTGTCTTCGACTCCGACTCCGATTCTTCCCCAGAGTAGTCCGAGAGGACGTCGTATTCTGTTTGCTTGCGGCGGGGACGGGCAAAATCCTGGAGCCTGTTTGGGTAGAAGTCGATTACGCGTACGTTGGTGCGGTATTTAGCACAGTTGAAGGGGAGGTCGAGTAAAAGGGGAGCACCTTGGTAAGTGGTCTCGTACTTTGTTGGTTCCAGAATGACAGACACGGGGACTATCGCCTGCTCGGGATGTTCCGCGACGACTTGCGAGTTGAGATGGACCTCTATAGGAGCTTCACCCTGCTTTGCCTTTTCTGCAGCTTGAGCCCTTTGCATGGCGCGTCTCTGCTTTGCGTTCGGACGCTTGTCCTCTGGTTGGTCCGCCTTCGAGCGCTTCTTGCTCGTTGCCTGGGTTGATTGCAGGCCTTTGCGCTGAGCTTTTTCCTCCTTTTCGCAGTCCCTCTTCCGTCTGATGGCATTCTTCAAGCTCGGGTGAATGTAATCGGACTGCTCGGATGGATCAAGGACGTCAACATAAATCTTGTTGTGGAAAGCGTTCTGATCTTGGCGAAGATAACCCTCGAGGTTCTGGCAGTTTGAACCAAACTTGAACTGGACATTGAGTAGATGAACCCAAGAACCATTTTTGACTCTTTTTCTGATGACAGTTGCATGTGGCTCCCAACAGGTGACCTGGAGAGACTTCTTCCCCAAAGGGCCGTTCCAGTTTGACGATGTGCTGGCTTTGCCGGATGTGTAACCGTACGGGTCACCGTCTCTGGAATTATCGCCGGGCTGACCGGTCCTCATGTAGTTGAAGAAGCCAGAATTCTCGGTGTAGTCCGAGACATAGAGTCGAATCTTGTCGCCATAGTCGTGGGGTTCTTGGACAACTTGGGCAATAATGTCATGAAAAGTACCATCTTTGGCATCTTTCAGTTCACAAAGTTTATTCTTGACATTGAGTGAGCGTGTGGCCTGAATATTGAACTGTTCCACATCAGGTATGAAGCTCTTGTCGACGTTGTGAAAGAGCCAGGACATGTATTTTTCGTCTTTCAGGGCGGGTTTGCGACTCGCGTCCTGCTTTGAGAGCATCAAGGGGCGTGATGCTGGCTGTCCAGGGCTGGGGGGCAGACTGGCCGCTGGGTACACATGGACGGCTGTACTGAAATTCGTTATGAGAGACAAGGAGTTGCTGCGATATCTCTGGTACTGACAGAGGTGTCAATGAAACGGATATCTTTGGTGAAAAGCGATGGCGTAGCTTACTTTCGCCCTGTAGATGGCAACGATATCCCCTGACCCAACGTCAGGCATCTCATTTTCAGGCCTGAAGAGATTGAACTCTATGTCCTTGTACTCTTCCATGCCTGAAAAATCGAAGAGTCGTATCGTGGCTTTATAGTCTGGTAAGGGTCAGCGCCCACTTCGAATTGCTGCACCATCCACTACGGGGTCTTGCGACGTGCCTGTTCCCTTGGTAGGAATGGGTTTTTGAAAGTCCACGACGATGCCGATGATATCGACAAAACTTCCCGCGGTGATCTTTTCGTCCAGAAGGTTTGCAATACTCGTAAAGCCTCCTGGAAGATCCATGGTTGTACCGGCATCAGGTACTGTCATGGTGAGCTGTGTTGGTCAGACGTATAAGTCAGGACATGTGATCTCAAAAGCGAGACTGAAACCCTGGCGCAAAAAAAGGTACAGTGCAGATTATCGCTAAAAGAAGCTCTCAGTGAAGGATATTGGCAGGAGATTCAACAATTGTCAAAGGTTTTAGTCTTGTGTTGTTGGCGTGTGTTTCTTGGCTGTCGACGCGTCTCCAAAGTTTGGGGACGCGTTGAGCTTCCCTCTCCATGAACGTGATGTCTGCCACTTGCCGGGCTTGCTTGCGAGAGGGAGCATTTGCTTTGTCCTGCCCTGCCAGCATGTGCACGGACAGTTCGAAGGGGGCACCACAGCTCCAGCTCCAGCTCTAGCAAGGGGCTGTAGTGTCGAGACCGACACCTGGCGGCCGCTGTCAGAGGGGAGGACGTGGAAGCCTGGGCGAACTTCAAACCTCAAAGGAAAGAGCAGCCCGTGGATGTGGGGAAAGTTGCCTTGTTAGCGGCTCATGACATAATCCCCTGGGAAACCAGGCTGAACACAGCATGCAAAAAGCCATGGTGGGGCGGCAATCTCTTATGAGAGCACTTGACTCACTATTGAATTAAACCATCTCTCCCTGACTCAGCTATTGAATGATGGTGAAGGACAGTAGACAAATGAGGTGTCTAACCGGTGCAAAGGTCACTCACTCACTGCTCAGTCTGCCCCCCCTCCCCTCTCTTCCAACAGGAGCAGTGCAAAAAACCAAAAAAAGTTCGCTTGCGGCCACCGGCACCTATGCACCTACCAAGGACAGTGCAGTAGCTGGTACCTCCTACTAGCCCTTGTGGCAAGGCAAGACGCAAGTCATCGATACGTCTCGGTCCCCATTGGGCTCTGGAAAGGGCCCTGCACTTTTCCATTTCTTCGACCCGCTCTCTCTCACTCCTCCCCAACTTTCCATTCATCTTCCCCCCATCACCATAAATTTCCCACCCCTCCGTCTGCATCAACTTTTCTCCCAAGCGATCTGGCAACCGGATCAGGATCTTTCGTGTTGACATCGCGCAACTCTACCTTCCTTTTACTACTGCGCAATACGATTAAGGGAGCATCTCTCGATAAGAGACGCTTCTTTACGTGAAGCCTTCCCAAATCGGTCACCACCAAAACACTACCTTTGCCCCCTCCTTCTCCTGACGGACGGCCAGAAAACACTGTCTAGCACCAACATCAACCGACACGACAGCAAACATGGCTGATCGTTACATCCCCGAGCATCGCCGTACCAACTTCAAGGCGAAGAGCACCTTCAAGCCTGAGGAGCTCCGCCGCCGCAGAGAGGAGCAGCAAGTCGAGATCCGCAAGGCGAAGAGAGAGGAGAACTTGGCCAAGCGCCGCGGTATTGGCACGGGCGAGAACAGACCTGGTGCTTCCCTTGGAGCCGCTCCCGACAGCGACGATGATACCGCTCCTACTGAATCCCAGGTGAGTTTTGCTTCCTTTTTGCGCCGTCGCCGCCCCCAAACTCGTCTTTGTTGGAACCCCGCCAATACTGCTGCACCCTTCGTCTTATTTTCCCCCTCCTGTTGCCAGGGCGCCTTGCCGCTGCCCCACTTCCCTTTTTCTGCGCGAGTTGGTCCAGCCCTCGAGCGCATTAAGTCTCGAGCTGGCGCTGCGTGCTCGAGACGATAAATGCACCAAGGAGCAAACCCGATTTTTTTCTTCATCCTTCCTAATTGCTTGTCGTTGAGATGCAAGATGCTGACCGGCCGTAGCTTAACGAGGACCTCCCCCAGATGGTCCAAGGTGTTTTCTCGGACCAGATCGACCTCCAGATCCAAGCAACCACCAAGTTCCGGAAGCTGTTGTCCAAGGAGCGCAACCCTCCTATCGAAGAGGTAATCAAGACTGGTGTCGTCAGCCGTTTCGTCGAGTTCCTGCGATCCCCCCATACTCTTGTTCAGTTCGAGGCTGCCTGGGCGTTGACCAACATTGCTTCCGGCTCCGCCACGCAAACTCAGGTCGTTATCGAGGCTGGTGCGGTCCCCATCTTTGTCGAGCTTCTGGCCAGCCCTGAGCCCGATGTGCGGGAACAGGCTGTGTGGGCCCTGGGCAACATCGCCGGTGACAGCCCTCACTGCCGTGACTATGTTCTCAGCTGCGGTGCCCTGAAGCCTCTCCTGGCCCTTCTGGGCGACAGCCGGAAGCTCAGCATGCTGCGCAACGCCACCTGGACCCTGAGCAATTTTTGCAGAGGCAAGACTCCGCAGCCCGACTGGAACACTGTAAGTCAACCCCTTTGAACGCCAGTTCGCTACCATAGTCTAACAACGTCATGCAGATTGCGCCCGCGCTCCCTGTGCTTTCCAAGCTTGTTTACTCTTTGGATGATGAGGTGCTTATCGACGCCTGCTGGGCCATCTCTTACCTCTCCGACGGGTCCAACGACAAGATCCAGGCTGTCATTGAGGCAGGCATTCCCCGCCGTCTGGTCGAGCTCCTCATGCACGCCTCGACTTCGGTCCAGACACCTGCCCTCCGCTCCGTTGGTAACATCGTCACCGGTGACGACGTTCAGACCCAGGTGATCATCAACTGCGGCGCCCTGCCCTGCCTCCTGTCGCTCCTCAGCTCCAACAAGGATGGCATCCGCAAGGAGGCGTGCTGGACGATCTCCAACATCACCGCTGGTAACTCGGCCCAGATTCAATCGGTTATCGACGCCAACATCATTCCGCCCCTCATCCACCTCCTGTCCAACGGCGACCTGAAGACCCGTAAGGAGGCTTGCTGGGCCATCAGCAACGCCACCTCGGGTGGTCTGCAGAAGCCTGAGCAAATCCGCTACCTCGTTTCTCAAGGCTGCATCAAGCCTCTGTGCGATCTCCTGGCCTGCCCCGACAACAAGATCATTCAGGTCGCTTTGGATGGATTGGAAAACATCCTCAAGGTTGGCGATCTCGACAAGCAGGCCGCTGGTGAGGGTCCTGACTCCATCAACCGTTACGCCTTGTTCATCGAGGAGTGCGGTGGCATGGAGAAGATCCACGAATGCCAGACCAACGCCAACGAGGAGATTTATATGAAGGCCTACAACATTATCGAGAAGTACTTCTCGGACGAGGAGGAGAACGCGGATGAGGGCATGGCCCAGGGTACTGGCCCCAACGGAACCTTCGGGTTCGGCACCAACGCAGCTCCCCAGCAAGGCGGCTTCAGCTTTGCCAACGGTGGCGACTCGATGGACATGTAAAACTATCAAATTGACAACGACCCTAGACGTGCTTTTTGCTGTCCAGCAACTTGCCGACATTGGATCAATCCCCCCAAAACAGCCCCCCCCCCCAATTACCCCCTAACCCACAGCACCAACCGTCACTCATCCCCTTGTCTGTCAGCGAGGCATTACGTATCTTGCTGGGCTGACAGCTACACAACATCCCCCACACATACACAACACGTGCAATCGGCGTTCTCTAATATGGCTTGATGGAAATGATTGAAAGACATTCCCGATTGGGAGACGACAGGTCCTTTGGTAGCTTGAAAGCTCCAGCCTGGTAGGCAGAAAGAGAGAAGAACGCTGGTATGGGCCGAAGGACAAGACTCAGCAGACACGGGTGACGGACCTGCAGCTTCACGGCTACAGGCCAGGGTCTGACTGGCCAACAACGCCGCATATGGCCATGGAGGCGGACCACCCCCAAACGGGAGACTTGGCATAGCGCCCAATGCCTCGTCATGGATGCAGCGGCTGTACAGGAGACGAGTTGATTGATGCTAGTGCATCTTGACTCTCGAGAAGGAACCGGGCTACATGGCTTTGCTGCCAGAACCAAGTGGTATCTGGCTTTACAGCGTTCACAGCCAATATTCCACAATACGTGGAAGTCAATGTCAAGTTGAATGAACAGTAAAAGCAACATTTTGCAAGCACTCTAATCGTGACTTCATTCGTGACCTTTCTCCAGTACGAGCACGTTCATGAAACACCTAGAATTCGACATGAGATGGTCCACGGATTGCGGCCCCCTCAGAACAAGATTGACAGAAGATACAACCAGCAGCAACATCTGAGTAATGATGAATTACTTCGAGGGAAGTGCCCAGCTGTTGTAGAGTGACAGCGATGGATATCGGATTGTTGTGGCCCGTGCTCGGCTGACATTCTAGGCGGCCAGGGGCTTCTCAAACAAGGTCCCTAAATTACCTTAGCAACACCCCTAAAGCTGCACCCCTCCACTGGTGAATAGGCTTAGAGAAGAGCAACACAAACCCGACCTCGGCCAAGTGCAAATGCAAATGCAAGGCTGTTGAAGCTGCTGGTCTCGTTTGCGCTCAGCCTTCCCTTGCACATCACGAAAGCCCAACAAAAGACGACGATCGTCGCATGACCTTGTACTCTATACACGTTTGTAGAGAGTATGCTTGCTCACCCAGCTAAGGTGACATCAACTAGCCAGGCTTGATGCGCCCAGCAGCTTGATCGGCACCAGCAACACCTGCTAAAACATCGACAGCCTATAGTCGTAAGAAGAGCGTTATGGATGGTCGTGTCGTTCGAGGCGTCCAGCGCGCCGCGCTCGAGCAATGGTCCGACTTCATAGCCAAGAGCCTTTCTCATCGCATAGACCCGGACAAATTCGAGTCTTACGTACCTTTCCTTCAAGTCAAGCACCCGTTACCGCCTGTCGCCGTCGCCGACCTCTTCCTACGACCCCAGCCTCACAACCACGAGAGCCTCGATCCTCGAGTCCCGCGCTACCTCCAAGTTCTTTCCGACCTGAACTATATTGACACGCCTTCGATCCTCAAAGCCCTCTACAGATACTCTACGTCCCGCGCGCACTCTCGAGACGCTGCGCAGCCCGCCAATGGCGAAACGCAACGGTCAAACATGCCGCGATGGGGGAGCTCGTATGCGGCGGAAGAGGTTATGTTCTACAGACTTACCAAGTCTGTGGCGCAGGGAACGGCGATACAGAACATGGGAACCAGCCTCGAGATAGCAAATATCATGGCCAAGTGGATCGCGCTCTTCACCGATGCTGCGACAGCCTTCACGGTCGACGTCATGGGCCAGCTTCACAACAGCCAAGTAAGAGAGGAGATGGAATCAGCCCGCGCCGCGTTCGTGGCACTTCTTCTGGGGGTGTGCGAGAATCAAGTTGTTCTTAAAGCTTTGAGTAAACCCGAGGCTCAAGGTAGGCGCTCATACGACGTGCGGCTCGTGAACTACCAGCTGATTCGATCAGACACCAGAAAAGCGCTATCCGAGAGTCTTGCAAACTTTGTACCCACCATAATGCAGAGTGCTGGTCCCATTGCGACCCGCCTCGACATGTTCCGAACGAGCACACTAGCAGGTTTCGAGCCCGTCGACGAACAAAAGAACAAGTCAAATGCTGAAATCGAAGACCTCTTCGACTCAACTGTGGCGCTGGAGAACTTTGTGATTTCCGAGTTGCCCATTGTCAACTCAAGAGCGGGTCTATACATATACCTGAACGCTGCGGTTTGTTCACCATGACTATCGATAGTACGAAAGATGCTGATGAGACGTGGGACAGCTTGTCGGGCGGCCATTGATCGATGATCTTGCCATATTCAACTACTTGAACAACCGATACCAGGTGGGCATCATGAATTGTTTCTTCGTAGGGATATTCCGCTGACATTTCCAGGGCGATGTGCAAACGACGACGGTCGATTTTATCCTCGCCTCGTTTGACGTGCTGGCCAACGCCGCCTCACGGAACGAAGGCAACCAGGCCGCTCATCTCTTGCGCTCTTTTCTGATGAATAAGTTGCCCATCCTCATCGAAAGCTTGAGCAAGCATATGTACGGCCCAGTGAACGCCGAATATTGCATCACAGAAGCTCTTGGTCGTGTTGACACAACGACGTTCCCTACTTTGTCGTCAATGTTCGATGAGACTAGGAGCAACAACCCCTTTACGGATTCTGTGCGGGAAGAGTTCTGTTGGGCATGTTGCTTGCATGGCCTGGTACGAGAAAGCAGCATTGAGACTCTTCTCGGGGAGACCCCCTATCAGTCACTGCCTGCTGGTGGCAGGTATGTCAAGGAAAACCTGGTTGCAGAGTGTCTGGCAGACCCGGAACGAATGCAGGCCTTGATTAGCGAGCTGGATAACAAGGACGGAAATGCTGGCGCCGTATGCCAGGCTTTGACCGAGGTATTCATTGTACTTGCCGCCTGTAAATCCTATCTGATGCTGACCACAAGCAGGTAATGGGACAACTCTGCAGGAACAAGGAGACGATGTCTCTGAAACTTTTGTGCAGCCAACTCGCCCAGAAGCCGCTGTCTCTGGACGTCATGTTGATGTTTGAGAAGCCTGCGACTATTCTTCATCCGATGTGCGACCTTCTGGACAACTGGAAGTACGACGAGGACCAGGGGAGTATCAACCCGTATATGAAGAGTTCGGTTCAATACTTCTCTTGGTCATGGCTTTTGCGTATCGCTATGGCCTGTCAGCGTCGGACATGGGAATCACATCTCCTGACTCGTTTGTTGCAAGGCTGCTCGGGCAGGGTCACCAAAGCCGGCCGTTTGACGAGTTGTCAGACCAAGAAAAGGGTCATCTGAATGGATGGATTCATGGTCTTTTCGATTCCGAAGCCGGTGGGCTGGGCGATGAACTGATGTCATCTTGCCCACCGCAAGATTTCTACTTGCTCGTTTCGACACTGTTCCAGAACATTGTTCTCGCCTTCAGCACTGGTCACTTGGCTGAGGAGAGCCTCAGGGGAGGCATCGAGTGTAGGATTCCCGCATATTTCCGAGTAATTTTGACGCTAATCCGATTACAGATCTTGTCGATACTTTCCTTCTGCCGTCCCTTGTCGTGGCCATTACGTACCTTGCTAACTCACTGTGGGTTGAGCGCTCTGATTGTCAGAAGGCGATCGTAAGGGTCCTGAACTCCGTTTTGGCACCTACTTCCATATCCAATGAGGCGCAAGCTATGCTCACTTCCGTCATGAACATAGTGGCCAAGCCGCTGGAACACTCACTAAGGGCATACCAACGGTCGGATCCCAAGAGCCAAGAAGTCGAGCCCCTGTTGAAGTCAATCAAAGACAGCATTCCCTTGTCCCGGCGGACAGGAGCAGCTGACCACACCGAATTGGATGCTTGGTCTCTGGGTGGCTTTTCCAACTCTATCCGGCAAACATTGCAGCAGTTGGTGCAGTGGAGCATCCACCCAACAATGGACAGGATGCCTCCGGCATACACCCATCGACAGATGCTTGTCGCATTGAAACTTCTGGGTGCAAAACGCCTCCTGCAGCTCCTTTACGAGGACATCAGGCAGCAAACAGATACGGGCAGCGGAAGCATCATTTACGACGTGGCGACAGCAATAATCTGCGCGCCCGACATTGTCAACACGCCGTCAAATCCCGTCAACTTCCTCGACAGCTCGGGCAACATGCCTGCGCCCGCCCAGAGGAAGCTGACATTGCGCGAGGTTCTGAAGTCAGATGCTGAGGACTGCAAGAGGCTACAGAAGACGGACATGAACTTGGCCGAGATCGTCGTCAGGCTATACCGCAAGGTGGAGTCTCAGATGGCAGTTTCGCAGGCTCAAGCCATCCAGGCAGACACTATGCTGCAGAATGACCTCGGGCTGAGCCTGGACACTGGCACAGGCTCTCTTGACGATGCCATGGCAGCTGCGGCTGCCAACGTTGCGCAGGGCGACGGCATGTCCGTGGATAACGTTAGCCTCGACCTGGGCCTCGGTGGAGTTGGTGGAGATTTGGGCCTAGGGGGCTCATCGAACAACGGAGGAGGCTCGTTGGACCTAGGGGCCGATGACATATTCGGCGGGCTCGGCGCCGGCGACGACTTTCAATGGGACAACATGGACCTTTCGTAGGAGCAGTTGTTCTTTGATCACTTAAGAAGACAGACCTGGTTCAAGTGCTTGTTGGCGTACAGGGGATTGGAATGACCAGATTCAGAAAGGCCTCGGCCTCGACAGGATAGCATGTTACATTACGTCTGATACCAATAAAAACGCATCCAAACCTATTTCCTCTTGTTTGCTGTTCATACCCTCTCACTTTGCCTCTGGCCAGCTGCCCATCATGAATTGCGAATTACACATGTTGGTTAGTTCCCAGTCCTCGGCGGCCATCTCGGCCTTCATATTCTCATCGCCTCTGCCTCCACACAGACCGCCGATGAACATGGTCGCCATGAAGTGGTCGTCCGTCGCATGCGCCTCGCGATACATGGGATGCTTCATCAAACTCGTTACCTTCCGTCGCAGCATCGGCCCGCCGCAAGGCTTCTTGCCGCGGATGGCCTTGCCGTACACGTCCTTTTCAGTGGGGACGTCCTCCTCGTAGGCTGGGCAGAAGGTGTCGATGACCTCCTGGCGGAAATCCATAGCCCACGGCTCCGGCGGGGTCGGCTGGGCAAAGTTGTCACGGTAGCTGACCATGGGCGCCCAGTTGTTCCGGTAGAGGTTGTGGACCGACCCGCCGGAGCCGATGAAGAGCGTCTTGTGTTTTGCGGCTCTAAGGGGCCGGAGGGCAGCGCCGACAGCGACGTGGAAGTGGGGATCATAGAATTCGTTCATAGAGATCAAGGTCGTGGGCGGGCAGCCGCCGGGGAACATGCGAATGAGGACGAGGTAGGTGTCGTGGATCCAGTCAAAGGTCGGATCCGTCTTGGAGGTTATGCCGGCGGCGCTGAGGTGCGCCTGGATCGTGGGGATGAAGTCGAGATCCGGGTTGAGCTCGTAGGGCTGGTACTTTTGGGGGTTGACGTAGGCGACGGGGGATTTGGCGGGTTTGGAGTGTGCTGAGATGAGGACCTCGCCTGGGGCGCTTGTGGCCCAGTGTGCGCCCTGGTTGAAGGATGTTCTGAGTGAGACGTTCTGGTGAAAAGGAGTGCTTGCGTTGCGAGCAAAGGATGAGTTGCTTACCATCATGACAACGTGCTCGATTCCCTGGGCGAGAGCTTCGTCGCCGCACTTCTTCCAGTAGGTGGCCGAGTTGCTCTCCTCGCCGAGCATCATAGTCGAGCCATGGGAGAAGAGAAACACGGGGTTCATGGGACCCTCATCTTTCCTTCCTATCGCCATGTTGCGTTTGTTTTGTGTGAATGGACGTTGCTACGTAGTTTTTGGTGAATAGTGAGAGTGTGATCTAGTATCTAATGAAGTTTGGTTTCAACTTGGCCTCGAGTATCTAGAGAGGAATGCCTTCTTAGGTACGGGAAGACATTCAAATCTCGAATACGCTGTCCCCAGGTGTGGTTGGGGTTGGTGTAAGTGGACGTCCGGTGGCCGACAGCTCTTCCGGGAAAGATTGCCACAAGATAGTTTATTCAACACGGCCCCATCGGCCAAACCGGGCGATTCTTTCAGAGCGAACAAATCACGTAGTGAACGCGAGAGAGATGTCGGGTCCCAAGACCCTGGTTGGGATGCTCAATGCTGGAGCCAAAGTGTAACAAAGTCGGCGGGGGTTTCGACCTGGGGTAATATGGGGCCGGCGGGGCCGAAACTGGGCCCAGTAGCTCGACCGCCACTTTCCGAGCCGAACCAGAGCCGAGGAAAGTTGCCGTAGGATTCAGAGGCAGTAAAATGTGTCGCTTCACTGCAACCGGAGATTGAAGTTTGCCGTGATATATCAATTAGGTTTGATCAGATTTCGAAGTATGCAGCGAGCGAAAGCCTATTAGATAATCAGCCATATCACAGACCTGCAGCAATTCAAGAGCACTGAATACGGACGGAGTGATTACTGGTGGGAAGCTTCATGCTACATTGTTGAGTCACATTGGAATGCCGAGGCAAAGCTTGCTGCAACAAATGAAACTGCATGTGCATTAAACCTACTATACACACTATTGAACTATACGAGTAAAGAGGGAAATGCTCAACTCCGGAGCTTCAACGCATAATCGAGCACCCTCCGTCCACCGATCCACGTCCCGTACGCGAGGCTCGGCAGCAGGACGCTCATGACCAGGCTGGCACTCAGCACGAAGCTCTGCTCGAAGAATCCCAATCTGCTGTTACCGGGTTGCTTCGTCGGCTTCAGCGGCGTGAGGGCCAGCGCGTGCAGGCTCTGTGTCGTGACGGCGCCGGAGCCGGAGCTGGTGAGGAGCTGCTCGAGCTTTGCTAACGCGCCGGCCGGTCGCTCGACGAGCTGTGGCCGGGCGACGGAAAACATGACCTTGCTGTAGCGGAAGGCAAAGGCCGGTTCGTGCGAGATTGGCGCCGCCGGTCCGAGAAGGAGGTTGGATGGGATTTGGTTAATGAGGGAGAAGTGAGCCGGCAGGTGTTGGGAGAGGTACTTCGCCGCATCGGGGCTGGCGAATAGGTAGGCGGCCAGCAGAGGGTTCCTTGTTCATGTCAGATGAGAGATTTTGTACTGTATGTAGGACCCGACTTACTCGAACTCTTGGGTGTAGATGGAATCCACAAGTCCAGAGGACGTCGCGATGGGCAAGAAGCGGCCGCTAATCTTGATGTTCAGCAGCGGAGCGCCCCTGGCACTGTTAGCATTTCATCTTCAAAAGGCATAGCTAGAGAGGTAGGTTCGAGCGCACTTGTCTTTGATGTCAACCAGCTTGAAGTCCTTGGATCCAAAGCTCGAAACCAATCTTTTGTCCTCGGCCTCCTGCACGGCCTTTCTCGTCTCTTCGCTCGAGTTATCGCTCGTACGCCTGACTGTTGTCTCTCGCGCGAACGCGAGCGTCGCGTGCTTGGAGCACGCCTCGAAGAACTCCTTCTTGACGAACTCGTTGACGAGGACCAGGTCCGGCGCGTAGGGCGACTGACCACCGAAGCCGAAGCGCGCCGCCGTGATGGCTTTGGCGGCAGCCTCAACGTCGGCGGTCCGGTCGACGATGGCGACGGCGCGGGTGGCGTTGGCCGAGATGAGGTGGTTTGCGCGGGCCGCGGGGAGGGGGGAGGTGTTGGTTTGGTCTACGAGAATGGCTTGCTCGAGGAGGGAGGCATCTGTGATCTTCTTGGTGATACAGAAGGCATTCTGGTTGAGGGCGCGGGTGAGTACGACGCGAAGGACTGTGTCGAGTTGCAAGAGGGTGTCCTCAAGCTGTTGATTGTTTACCGTCAGTTATTGATCTGGAGTATCCGGTCTCACCATATCAACATACCTCAAGAGCTACAACAGACCCAGCAGCCAGAGCCCCGGCAAGAGGACTCAAAATGGAGAAGAGTCGGGTGTAAGTGGTCGGTCTGATAATCACCAGCCCAGCACCGGTTCTCCTGCTCGCGTTGTCCTTGCCATGGACCACGAGGTACTCCTTCTCGAGTTCCTTTGCAAAGTCGAGCGACTCATAAAAGTGCCGGACGGCCTCGAGAGCCAGGAAGTTCTCGGCTTCAATCTCCGCCTTTGAAGCGCCCGTGTCCTTCTCTAGGGCTGCGATCAGGGCCGCCGACTCTTTGCGCAACTCGTTGTGGAGGCTGAGGAGGTTGTCCTGGCGGAAGCGAATGCCTTCAGCGCGCCCGTCAACAACCGTGTCGAGCAGTTTCTCAATGGCAGATTCCATCGTGAAGTTTTACAATAACTCTACGAGCTGATTAGATGAGAGGAGCCAGGTGAAGAAGAAATGCAGTTAGGTGAGGTTGAATGAGACGAGATCGCAACGACTGGGGCCAGCGATGAAAAAGTGTGATGCGATGCGATGCGATGGTATTCTATCTACATGACCTGAGCTCAACATCATTACCTGGGCTATTGATGAGACCCGATGAACCGGCAGCCCAAACAGTTAGCTGTCCGCGGACCGTAGACAGGAACCTTCGTTTGAGCTAGGCGGCCCCGAGCTCTTGGAGGGGCGGAATGTGGAGGCCAAGGGTTGCTTTGCCGATCCAAGAGGCAATCTGCCAGGATATGGTACGTTGCACGCTGTACACTCAGGAGATGCTTGCTCTCCGCACTTCCGACGCAGGTCTGGGCCGATTGGGGCGCGGGTCTGCGGGGACGGACGGGTCGACGGTCGGCATATTGAACGGGGTGGTCTCCCACCCTTGTGTCAGTTTTTGAGAAGGGCATCTCTAAGCTTCAATTGAAGGCTTACAATCTCAGTCTCTTACCTAGAACACTTCAGGTCTCACTCGTTCCAGTCACGCAAGCAAAAAAACAAGAAAAAAACATCATCACTCAAGTCATCCAACATGTCGGCAACGGTTACTGAGAACCCCGTCACGTCGACGATCCAGCAGGACTACCTCCACGACTACCAGATCCGCCTCACCGGGGGAGTCGAGGAAGCGTTTGCCAGAGGCAACGAAGACGCGCCGGCGCCGGCGGCCGAGTACCCTCCCGGCTGGTATGACCAGCATCGTCAGGTTCCTCCACACAGACCCGTGAACAGGAATATGGATCTCGCGGACAGGCCGTGGGGTTCTAACGGCGTCGAGTCGGCATTCGTGTACCTCATGTTGAACGGGTGCTGGCTTCAAGGGGTAAGCTGTGATATGTGATGGCGTCCAGTCGGCGCTTGCGAGACAAACGTTTGCTGATGCGTAGCTTGATAGGTCACCAATTGGCTCTGGAGGACGACGGGTGGAAGAGTGAATAAAGACTACTTCAGGTTCAAAGTTGGTGGTGAGATTTGATGCTTAGGCGTCAAGGTTCATAGAATGGCAGCATCCCAATGGCGCGCCGTGCTAGGCGGAATTCGTTTTGTAGTATAATCATGGTTGACATTCTTTCCCAGGCCAATATGCAATTTCCTTCTCCATTGGTTGTTTTGATGGAACCGTGCGTCCACTTGAGGTGCTGTGACAAATTGTTGCAAGTGAGATGTTAGCTTAAACAATGCAAGTTAGGATACTCAACACCACTAGAAGCAAAGCCATTGCCAACTGAAAACCCGGAAAAAAGAGACGGACAAAAACTCCGCTTTGCTGACCGATGCTCAAAAGCAGATGCACTGACCCTCCCACTGGCTGTCCCCTCACTTTCCGAAGCTTGTCGTGCATGAGTAACCACACAACGTCACAGCCTCGGGTTCCAAGACGGAGCTCAAACCATCCCCGTCTCCTCGTCACCTAACTGGGCTTCAGCCACTGGGCTCGCAGCACAAGAAACACAGCGCCTCCCGCGTCGACGGAAATGTTTAGGTGCCGGTCAGCCCCTCCCCCACCCTTCCGCCCGTGCGGAACACTACGCTTTTGAAGGGAGGAGCAAAAGGGAGAGGGGTCTGATGATCGACCGCTTCCATCATCCGCCCTTAGTATCGCGTCGTCCACGAAGAAAACGTGATTTCAGTTTTAAAGAAGTTCGTTGTAATAAAACCCAGAGAGTCCCGTCCCGTAACACGTTCTTCTCTCATTGAAACGAGACAAACTCAACTGTGCCAGAGGTAACCCAAGGCAAACATGACCGTCAAGACCCCTCCCATCAAAGACCTCCTCGAGGTCACCGAGGATACCGCAAATGGCCTCACCTTCATGAAGAATGTGTCGATTCCCCTCAAGGACTCGCCGCTTCCCATCCGCGCAAACGTCTACCTCCCACTCACCGCGGACAAGGCGACCCGCTACCCCGTGCTAGTGACCTATGGGCCATACGGCAAGGACATTCCCTATGAGAAATTCTTCCCCAAGTCATTCAGCGAGGTGAGCCCGGAGCAAAGGTCCCAATACTCGGCCTGGGAAACCCCCGATCCCGTCTTCTGGACGAAGCAGGGCTACGCCATCGTCCGCGCCGACGAGCGCGGCCTAGGCCAGAGTCCCGGTCTGCTGGACACCATGAGCCGCGGCACGAGCGAGTGTTTCTTTGATGTTGTGGAGTGGGCAGCGGATCAGCAGTGGTCCAACGGCAAGGTCGGCCTCTTGGGCATTTCCTACTATGCTGGTACGTAGATTTCCTCTCCAAGTATGAATCTTCGAGGCAATTAGCTTACGCTGCATCCAGGTTCCCAATGGCGCGTCGCCGCTCGAAAACCCAAGGGCCTTGCCGCCATAATTCCTTGGGAAGGCATGTCGGACTACTACCGCGACCGCTGCCGCCACGGCGGAATCTACTCCAACAAGTTCATCGGCGTCTGGTGGAACCGTCAGGTCCTCGTCAACCAGTACGGGAGGAAAGACAGATCCCAGTTGCAATTCCCGCCCGACGGCCCTGGCGCGAGAGGCCAGGAGGACACCATCGAGGGCGATCTGCCGGATGACGTCCTCGTCGCGAACCGCCAGGACCAGACCAAAGACAACGAGGCCAACCGCTTCCGTGACGACGCTTACTACGCCAGCAAGGAGTACAACTTGTCAGACATCGAGGTCCCCGTGCTAAGCGTTGCCAACTGGGGCGGCATTCTTCTGCATCTGCGAGGTAACGTGCAGGGTTATCTCGGAGCCGGCTCTAAGCTCAAGTACCTCCGTTTCATCACGGGTCGCCACGACCTCCCCTTCTACTACCCCGAGGAGGTTGAGCTGCAAAAGAGTTTCCTGGACGCCTTCCTGAAGGGCGAAGACCGCGTTGGCTGGAGCACGCCTGGTAAGGTGCCTCCTGTAACGCTTACCTTGCGAAAGGGGAACGTCGGCTTTAATGATGCCGAGAAGGAGAAGGCGTACCCCAAGAGAGAGGAGACGGCCTGGCCCATCCCGCGCACCAAATACACAAACTTCTACCTGACGCCAGATCTCGGTCTGACGACCAGTGGGCCCAGCAGCGAGTCCAAGACGGTTTCTTACAAGGCTCTAGGCTCGTTGGAGAACCAGCAGGCTGTTTCCTTCACCACTGCGCCGTTCGAGGAGGAAACCGAGATAACTGGCCACGTCACCGCCCATCTCAACGTCTCAGTTACGCCCGATAATGCTGGCAATGCGACCGACATTGACCTGTTCTTGACTCTGCGGCACATTGACGCCAATGGGCAAGAAATATACTACACGGGTACGGCTGGCGATCCCGTGCCGCTGGTCAAGGGCTGGCTGAGAGTGAGCAACCGCAAGGTACACGATGAGGACCCCCGACACAAGTCCTGGCTGCCGCACAGAGAGTACCTCTCCACAGACGTCCAGCCAGTCAAGGCTGGTGAGGTCTACGGCGTGGACGTCGAGATCTGGCCGACGAACGTCGTTGTCGATAAGGGTAACAAGCTTGTTTTCGAAGTTAGCAGCGGCGACACACAGGGCAGTGGCATTTTCCAGCATTCCTCCGAAGTCGACAGGTAAGCTTCATTTCCTCAAGCACTCGTTTGACGACCATATGCTGACCACCACTATTAAGGCCTGCGTCCAAGTTTGCAGGACTGAACAACATCCATTTCGGGCAAGGCCTCGAGAATTATGTAACTTTGCCTGTGATTCCGCTGAATTGAGGAAGGCGAGAACCTCAGCCGAGTAATCGCTTGCAACGTATTTGACTCCATGCCGTGAACTTTGCCGAGGACGAAGCGTAGTTGAGCTCCAACGAGTCGATCCGAGCCTCCTACGTACCTAGGTGGGTGAGTAGGGGCCAGAATCCGGGGCCGGTGGGGGTGGGGGATGGAATGAGGGGGCTGAAGTCGGGGTAGACAACTAGCGAGCTCCTCCAGAGCTTCGCCATGAAAGTGTAAAAGCAACGTGGGCAGCTGCAACGCAGGCAAGCCAACTGTGTAATCCAGATCTTTCCCACAAGTGAACCCGTAAATCACAATTGTTGCCCACCATGAGCTTCTCCGAGCACTTCTCCATTGCCAACACTCCCTACGGGATTGCGAGCACTTCGAAGCATCCACAAAGCGTGGTCACGAGAGTCGAGGACTCTGTCGTCTTCCTCGCTGACTTGGACCTCGAGGCTTCCGAGCAGATCAAGTCCGCGTTATCTCAGGTGGGCCCTGTACCTCTTCGTCATTAGCGAGAAGATATTGACCGCCATGCAGCCAACGCTCAATGATCTGGCAGCCGTAAACAAGACCGAGCTCCAGCTCTTTCGAAAGAATATCCAGAAGCTTCTGTCCGACAAGCCCACACTATTGAAATATGGAGTCCCGGTCGACGAGGTTCAGTTGCACTTGCCGGTCAAGGTTGACGGATTTACCGACTACTCATGCTCTAAGGAACATATGTTGAATGCATCAGAGGCCGTCATGGGCCAAGCGTCCATGCCACCATCGGCGTCATATCAACCCGTCGGCTACAGCGGTCGGCCTTCTTCCATTGTTGTTACGGGAACGAAAATCACTCGACCGTATGGCCAATATCGAGACGGTGAGCAAATTGGTTTCGGTCCATCGCAAGCGCTCGACTACGAGCTGGAAGTGGCTTGCATCATTGGCAAGCCAACAAAGCTGGGAGACCGGGTATCAGTGTCAGACGCCGATGAGCATATATTTGGCCTCGTCCTGTTGAATGACTGGAGCGGTAGGTTTCGTCTCGTCTTTGCAGGCGACACAGGACTAATACAAGTAAGCTCGCGACATCCAGGGTTTCGAGATGAGCCCTCTGGGCCCGATGAATGGCAAGTCTTTCGGAACGTCGATTAGCCCCTGGGGTAAGTCAAATCTAGTAACGTATTCGTTTCGTTAATCAACCACTAATCGGGAGTATCGTGTAAGTGATCACACTCGAAGCGCTCGAACCGTTTGCGACTCAGCCACCGGCGAAGGACATACCCGCCCAACCATACCTGTTAGACAAGAAAGAGAAGCCGAGTTATAACATTGAACTGAAGGCCGAGGTATTGACGGGCGGCGAGGCCACGACGGTTTGCAAGGCTCAGCTCAGCTGGATGTACTGGACGTTCCGAGACCTGGTGGCTCAGCAGACAATCAACGGGTGCAATCTCAACACCGGCGACATATTGGCGACAGGAACGGTGTCGGGATCTGGCGACGACGAGCACGGATGTTTGCTCGAGATGACCAAGGGCGGCAAGGTTGGGTGGAAAACGACCAGTGGTCAAAACAGGACGTATTTGAAGGACGGCGACGGTGTGCGCATTAGCGGGTACGCAGGCAACGGTGTGGGACTTGGTGAATGCGTGGGATTCATCGATGCCGCTCGGCCGTTCTGAACCAGCTAAGAACTCGATTCGAGAAGCGGCAATAGTGGGAGTTCAAGGGGCTTAGGGATGTGTATGATGCAGGCAGGGCAGAGGGAGCTCTGAGTTGGCTTGGCTGGGTCTATAGCACCCTCGCCTCGAGGACTCTTCCCTGAAGTACCAGCCTCGTCTCGAATCCGAACGGGAAAAGTCCAGACACCGCTTACTCCGTTGGTGTGCATGTATCGAAGTGAAACTGCGGCAATGGGTAGGCGAATGTAGGGCGTAAAGGGTTCGGGAAGGTAAATTCCTAGCGTGTGCCTGCCGGATGATAGCAGAAAAGGAATAGAGCTGAGCGACTTGCAAGCTGCAGCTCGAACCAGGCCGTGGGCAGCAGAAGCAAAAGCAGCAGCGGCATTTGGACTCTCGTAAATTATCTCAGGGATGTCTTCTCTTGCCTCAGGTCCTCCCGTGTCGCTCCTCGGAGTTTTCAGAGCTTGAGGTTAGAGGCGGTTAGACTTCCCGCGTTAAGAGATTCCTTCGTAGATTTCTCTGGGCAAGCACGCAAGCTGGGCAGCTGGCAGAGAGCGCTCCAGACAGGCAAGTGTTACCCCATGGTGCCTTAATCAGGGTCGAATCCAGGGATACCTACTGACTTGGTTGCGGTGTCGGCAAGCTCGGAGCGGATCCGGGATCCACTTGTCCGAGGTTTATGCGCACGAATCGAGGGCGATCGGAAGAACGGACTCGTGGCAGCGCCGCACCCTGGACCTCGTCTTCTGTGCCAAATGTCCCGGTCGCGTCCGATATGAGGCGGGAGCGCAGCCCAGGTTGCAGAGCGCATGGCCAGGTTCAATGTCTAGATGCTCTTATGGCTGCTTTTTGCGCGAACCGCAGAAGCTCAGCTCTGCTAGGCACTCGCAGTTGGATAAATGCGCGCTCCTGGAGAGCCAGCACATGTTGTTCCTTGATGGCAACGCCATCACTCAGTCGATCATACTTATGGAAGAAAGCCACGAGGAGGAATCGGATAGGGATAAGAGGAAACAGGAAGAACGCAAGGAAGAGATGGGCAGAGTTTCGGGCTACAATTCTGCAGACACACGAACAACGGCAATGACGATGGGCATGGGTGAGGCGGTCAACGCCTCAAGGTCAGCGAGCTCCAAGCAAGCACGAGGACACTGCAGGAGGAGGAGGCGGCGGCGTGTGGTTGCGTGCACATGTGTCTGCATGTGTCTGCATGTGCATGTGGCAGTGGCACCTAGTGGGTTTTGCTCATCTCAGCCAAGTCTCCCAGCCCGTACAACCGTGGTCCCAGGGTCACAATCGGCGACAAAATTTCTTATCGCGCCCATTATCGGATGAGACTTGCAGGGGTGTGAGGCTTGGGCCAACAATCATCCGGTGCATGTTCCTGACTCCCGCGTGGGGCTAAGCAAAAACGAGCAACGAAAAAAATAAAAATTATTCTACTCTGACGCCAGATGGCTGACGATTCCGAAAAAACGGGCTTTTAGGTCCTTGGAATTGACTCAGGTCATCCATCCCGCTGTTTCTGGTACTGTCTCTCAGAGGAGTCCTGGCACGCACCGCGCACGCCTCGTCTCTGTCCTGACACCGTCTTAGTCTTTTCTATAATCTGAGACCTACTGAATCAAGTTTTCTCTGCATTCTCCTTGCCGCGTGCAACCAAGAGAGAAAGAGGCAAGAGGCAAGAGACCAAAAAAGTGTGACCGGCTGCAGTGAAGAAGCTTTCTCTGCGTGTATGACGAGCTTCCCCAGACCAGATCTCCCGTTTCCCAATTCTGCCCCAAACTCGCTCCTTTTTTCCCCTTCCCTCCCTCAGTCCCTCCCCTCTTCTTCGGGCCTCGTCTTTGTCTACCCCCTGTATTCCATACCGTAAAAAGAACGACCAAAAGACTGGAGAGACTAGGAATTACTCGCCGACTACCGCTCCAGGCCCACGTCGCCCACGTCGGCTAGGAGTCAATCTTATCGCGTCTGCACCAACCTCCGTGGCGCGATAGCACCCACTCAACCCACAACCCACACGAGGGCCACAGTCACCTCACCCTCACCGAGCGAGCATCTTTCTCCTCTTTTTGCAAAGGGACTCAGCAAGACAGAGAGCTCTCATACAATTCCTCTTGTTGCGCCCGCGCATCAATCACACCCAGCTTTCCTTGCTCTTAAGCTGAAATCGACCACCCGCCCATCATGAGCAAAGCAGCGGCTGTCAAGGAGGCCGTCAAGGAGAGCCTCCTTGGTGCTGAGGAACCCGTCCAGCTGTCGGCACAGACCAAGACGAGATTCGTCGCCAATGCTGCCAAGGATGAGACCACAGGAGAGCTCTTCATGGGCCTCGAGGAGTTCACCAAGGCCGTTGCGCCCGAGGATGAAGACTTCGTACGTCCGATTTTTCCTTTCTGTGTTGCGTCTCTATTCATGCTATTCCTAGCCCAGGAGGAGCACAAGCTAGCTCCGATGTCCTTCCAATGATTCACACGACCCGTTCCGACCGTTTTACTAACTCTGCAAATCCGCGCTGCTGCAGCACAAAATCAAGCGGGAACAGTATGGCATCCTGTTTGGCGTCGCCGACCGCAAAGGCGCCGGCAAGATTAGCCTCTCCGAGTGGGCCGCGTTCGAGAACCTGTTGATGAAGCCCGACGCCGAGTACGAGATCGCATTCCGCCTCTTCGACGTCGACAGGACTGGCAACGTCAAATATGAGGATTTCCGGAAGCTCTACGAACTTAACAAGGGTCCCGACAGCATCCCCTTCGACTGGGAGTGCGAGTGGGCCAAGCTGTACATTGGCAGCAAGAAGAAGCGCCACCACATGGACTACCCCCAATTCTCCCAGATGCTGCGCGGCCTGCAGGGCGAGCGCATCCGCCAGGCCTTCCAGCTCTTCGACAAGGACGGCGATGGCTTCATCGACCCGGAGGACTTTGAGCGCATCATCCTTGAGACCTCCAAGCACAAGCTCTCCGACCACCTGCTCGAGAACCTGTCGACCCTCTGCAACATCTCTCTCGGCAGCAAGGTGTCATACGCCAACGTGCGCGCATTCCAGAACATGATTAAGGAGATTGATCTGGTCGAGCTCATCGTGCGTCGAGCTTGTGCCAAGAGCCCCGACGGCAAGATCACCAGGACCGAGTTCCTCAACCAGGCCGCCAAGATCACTCGCTTCTCCCTCTTTACTCCCATGGAGGCCGACATTCTCTTCCACTTTGCCAGCCTCGATGAGCCTTCCGGTCGCCTTGGCCTGGGCGACTTTGCCAAGGTGCTCGACCCGTCGTGGAGAAACGCCGTCTACGACGCGGACGATATTGCCTCGCGGGCTTTGGCCAAGGGCGCCACGAAGTCCAAGGCTCTCCTCACCTCCATCCTCGAGTCGGCGTACAACTTTGGTCTGGGTAGTATGGCGGGTGCCTTTGGTGCGTTCATGGTGTACCCCATTGACCTCGTCAAGACGCGTTTGCAGAACCAGAGAAGCGCCAGGCCGGGAGAGAGGTTGTACAAGAATTCGATCGACTGCTTCCAGAAGGTGTGGAGGAACGAGGGTCCCCGAGGCCTGTACTCGGGTGTCGTGCCCCAGCTTATTGGCGTTGCCCCTGAGAAGGCCATCAAGCTGACTGTGAACGACATTGTGCGCGGATACTTTACCAACAAGGAGGGCAAGATCTGGTACGGCCATGAGATTCTTGCCGGTGGTGCGGCTGGCGGTTGCCAAGTTGTGAGTCTCCCCTTCCATCCAACAATGCACCCTGTATGACAGAGCACACAGATGCTAATATTGCGCCTCCCAGGTCTTCACCAATCCTCTCGAAATCGTCAAGATTCGTCTTCAAGTCCAGGGTGAGGTCGCAAAGACGGTGGACGGAGCTCCTAGAAGGTCAGCCATGTGGATTGTGCGCAACTTGGGTCTCGTTGGTCTCTACAAGGGTGCCTCTGCTTGCTTGTTGCGAGATGTCCCCTTCTCGGCCATCTACTTCCCCACGTACAGCCACTTGAAGAAGGACCTCTTTGGCGAATCCCCCACCAAGAAGCTCGGCGTTCTCCAGCTGCTGACTGCCGGCGCCATTGCCGGTATGCCCGCCGCCTATCTTACGACACCCTGCGATGTCATCAAGACCCGTCTCCAGGTCGAGGCCCGCAAGGGAGAGGCTACCTACACGGGTCTCCGCCACGCCGCAAAGACGATTTGGAAGGAGGAAGGCTTCCGCGCCTTCTTCAAGGGCGGCCCCGCAAGAATCTTCCGCTCCTCTCCCCAATTCGGTTTCACCCTCGCCGCCTACGAGGTTCTGCAGAACGTCATCCCTTACCCCGGCAGGCCCGAGAGCTCCAAGGTCCACACGGGCGTCGGCGACGCCATCTCGACCCTCAAGGAGAACCTCGACACCAGCCCCTTCGCTCGCAGCCGCAACGCCCTCAAGATTATCCTTGACATTGACGAGGACTTTGGCAAGGTCAAGGTCCCGAGCCAGGAGAGCTGGAAGAAGCTGCCTGCCTTCATGCAGACCAACGGAAGCAGCTCTTCGTGAACAGATCAAATTCGAAAGGTTGGATAAACCAATAGAATAACCAGAAGAAGCTTTGGTGTGCTCGACTGGGTTTAAACCAAGTGTTCAAAGTCACAATTCGCAAAAATCGCATATACGACCGGGGAATACAAAAGACGTAGAGCAACAAACCCAAGACAGAGATGGGGGAAAGATCTCTATAGTGGATCAAGAGAAAGTTGGGTGGCAGACATCTTTGCGAGCTGTAGACGGTAAGAGAGACTGCATATTCCCCCCGACGGCGTTCAGGGGTAGGCATACAAAGGGTCTTGAGGCATTTTTTTCTTCCTTTATCTCGCGTTTCTATATTTGCCTTCTCTTTGTCTTGTGGTATTATCTTTCTGGATTGAAAGGGAGATTGCCTTTGGGCATTTGCAAAATGGTTTGGCATAATCGCATCTCCCTCCTACGGGGCCGCTGCAAGACTTTACACATGTCATTGGTCGGAGGCAGAAATCCTAGACTCTGCTTCTCGAAAAGATGTGTTTAGACTATTTGTTTGTCTTAGATATGTATGGAGTAATCAAATGCCGTTCAAAGACCCGAGGCTTTGCCTGCGACTCTGTACAACTCCGTCAAACGTAACATATTGTTAAAGCTTTGACCAAGACACACGGGGCGAAAACGTGGCCGACACAAGGCACTCGGGCACCTCGATAGTCTCTAAACACCTATTCATATGTAAGAGATACCATACCGAAAGTCTAGTCTAGTCTAGTCTTTGATGTTCCTCATCATCTCCTCGGAGAAGCGAGTCCCTCTCGTCGGCTTTGCCGTCAGAACCGCGGTACAAGATATAGTGCTGCGTCATGAACACAACATCGTACACCATGGAGACGTTGCCCAGCGCAAACTTGACCGGGTTGCCCGTGATGCCGGACCAGTCGCGCTGCAAGTACGAGTCTATGGCCTGCTGGGACACAGACAACAGACCGCCGGAGAAGTCGAGCAGGATCTGCCAAATGGACCAGCCCTTGGTCGACTTGTTGCGGTAGTTGGTGATGACCTGCGGGGTGTACTTGATCAGGGTGATGACGAGCTTGACGTAAGAGACGGCGTAGACGACGTCAAGGGCGCACCAGCTTGTGCGCGGGTCGCCGTCGCCTGGGGCACCAGCAACGACGAAAGCGATGATGATGACGCCAACGACGCAGCCGAGGGCAATGCCCGAGATGAAGCGGCTCGGCTTCGTGCCGGGGGCCGGCGCGAATCCCCAGAGCTTGGGAACGTATTGGGAGGTGGTGATACAGGAGAGGAGGAGGGCGTGAGCGGCGAAGGTGATGTCGTTGAAGGCGACGGTCGGGGTCAGGCCGTGGTTGCGCGCGGCGTACTGGGAGCGGACGAGGGGGAGTAGTAGAAGGCGGCGTTGGAGACGAAGTAGGCGAGGAAACCTGTGGTCGCATGGTTCGTTAGCAATTGCGCATTTCTTGTGAAAGGGACACAGGTCTTACCCAGGCAGTTGATCAGAGGAAAGTCAACGGTTGTACCGGCCGTGGTTTTTCTGTGGAAGTTGAGGAGAGGCTGCGGGTAGAAGGACCCAGACCAGCAAAGGAAGTAGATCCAGCCGAAGACGGCGGACAGAAAGGGGAGGAGTTCAAACGCCATGGCTGTGAAGCTCTCGAGATGGAATCGTCCAGGCGTCGCAGATCTCGGGTGGGCGTGCGCTTGTTTTTACACCGCTGGCTCCTGTCCCTCTCACCAAAAACCTTCGGCCAGCCAGCCAACCTATGGGATTCCTAAATTGTGCGAATCGGGGGCTTTTCTGCACGGGTGCTTGTGATAAGGATGCAGGACGGGAAGGTCGCAAAAGTATCAAATGAGATGGATGCTCACGCGATTGCGACATGGAGGACAATTGCGGCCAGATGCGGGTTAGTGCCATCGCTGCGCTACGTTGGCACGGTCCCGGCCAACGCCGAAGTCATCGGCCCCACCCAGAGCGACACTGAGGACTTGGGCCGCGCCAAAAGCAGCGGCTGGCCGTGACCAGGAGGTCGGTAGCAATGTTGCCGTGATAGGCGGGCCAGGGTCCAACCGCCTAGGCAAGCTCATTCCAGTCCACCCTGTGACCCACTGAGGGGCGCCTGATTGAAGGGTCCCCGTGGTGGATTTGGGCTCGGTGTTGTCACCGTGGGGTGCGATGTCGCCATTGCGGTGCCCTAGCGGTGACGGCGACGGTGTGAATTCGAGTTCCTCCCCTGGATCAACTTGGGACTGCATGAGTTGTTGATTCAGACGGATAACAGGCTTGAAACTATGCCTTGGAAAGCTCCTGAGCGATCGGCTGCTATTAAAAGCAATGCCGAAGTGTCGGGATTGTATGGTTGTCACTAGAATTGCTTCGTCAATAGGGGCTTTGGGACGGCTCGCGATGTCGGCCGACCTGAACACGCGCATTAAGATTCACGCAATCGGACTCGGCCGTCGTGTCTCAGCAAGCGAAGTCCTCTCGCCGCCTCCGGTGTCGTAGCGCATTACGTCCTCGAGCCAGCGAACGTACCCCTCAAACCCCGTGATGCTCCCATAGACCTTGACGTCCCTGACACCGCGGACGCCCTCGAAAACCTGCAGCGCGCCGTGGTCGGCTCCTTGAAACATAGCCTGCCACACCTCGACGACGAGCTCGTCGACGCCGCTGAAGGCCGCAGCGGCGGCGCTGGCATCAAAGGCCGGGTCGCAGTCGAGCCGCACGCGGATGTGGAAGCGGCGGATTTGCGGAAGCACCGAGCGCTCTCGTACCGGGGGGTACCACAGCCGCAGCCTTGGGAAGGAGGCGAGCAGCGTCGCGTGCGCCAGAAACATGTTCTTGGAATATAGGACGGGTGTGCCCTCGGCGTGGGTCTGCCGGCTCGCAGTGAGGATGGCTGGGTGTATCCGTGCCGCGGGTCGGTTCGGGTTGAGTTTGTCGATAGGAGGGTGTAGGAGGAGATGGGCATAGATGTCGAGCCGGATCTCGAGCGGGAGATCTAGGAAGTGACATTTTGAGGAAGACATTGTGGTAACCCGGAGCTTTTCGCAATAGACAGGGCGATGAGGTATCGTGCAACAGCCTGGGTGCATGAGTGAGTAGTCAAATCTTAGGGAAGATTGGGTAGATGAATGTTTATTGTCCGACGAACAAACCTCAGTCCTCGACAGACACTGATCGGTGGTGTATACCCCTGTACTGGCGCTTTTACCGTATCAGATCACTAGTCGCCTCCAATGCCACTACGCTCCAAAGACCGGACCAAAAGGCAAGCCACGCCGACCTGGTAGGTACTTACCGCTTCTTTCCAAAACTCATAATTGTTTAACATTGAGTACTACTCTAGATGATGACGCAACAAAAAGCACAGGGTTGTCACAAACCCCGTCAGCTCATCCATTCTCCCTTCTCTTCTCCAACTTCTGAATAGCCTCAGTTCACATAGTGTTATCTTCGTTAGTTATTGCCTTTACTTCTATTCTGAAAGGGGGAAATGACAAGAGAGGAAACGTAGAGAAACCGCTACTTTTTAGGAATGTGACTCAAGCATCTTGGAATAGACTTTGGCTTAAACGCAGAATGAACCACCTTTCCTATCGCTGGCAAGCATTTGCTAAATTCCTTGAACTTCTTAGATGTGCAAAGTGCCTGAATGAAAGGAGGACGGGCATTCTCAGGTATCATACATGGACAGGATGGCCATCTCCAAATGACCGAAGAGAACCATCAAATCTCATGTACAATCAATTAAATGTGGCAAAGAGCAGTCTCACCATTGTAATAGGACGGCAAAGTATGTATCGCTTTTCAGCTGAAAGGAGTTTGACAGACGGATGGCGTGCTTGACTGTCCACTAGGATTTGAACCGGGTCGAGGGGAACCACAAAGTTAGTATAGACGAACTTGTGGAGAGGACCTGGCAAAGCCCCATCTGGTCTGGGAAAAGGACCTAGGCGAGCTGCAGTGTGCCATCAAATCAGATTTCGTGAACATCATTCTGGGTCGCCAGTTCTGTACGGGTTATAAAGTCGGTTCAGTTAGAGAGCCTGACACCATGACAGTGTGATATGGCAGTTCAGATCACGCATCGCTGTCATGTCCCAATGTCTTTGATATCTGGCTATTCTCTACTTTTTCTATTCTGTATCCCGGCCTGCTCTTATTTTACAAGAAACGCCCGCTTATATGCACCTGCCAATTCTAGTATACAGTTGGACTCAACGCAAACCGAATGTATGCAATTTGCGCCCTCTCAGATTGACAACAATCCCGGATTCCTACCAAGAAAACAAAAATACCGAGACTCTTTTTATGTGTGCCGCTCGCTAGGACATTGTTAACTCAGGAAAGTATCTTGACAGCTTATTGGGATGTCCAAATTCTGTTCTGTTCTGAGTTTGGTCATCGGGAAGCAGTGACTCAGTGTCACTGTCGACATTAGGGGAAACCTGCTCTGGCGCAGTCCGTTTCACCTTGATATTGCCCTGCACCGGAGGCCGTGGTGTGTTGATTTGCGCGCTCGAGGTAGTCTTGATTGATCTCGAGTCTGCTGGCGTAGACACCTCGTGAAGCTGGCTGGGCGGCCGTGATTTGCCAGTGAAACCAGGCTCCGGTGTGTGTGTGCGAGAGACGCCGAAAGGAATGGTTGGGCCAAGGTTCTTTTTCGTAGTCTCAGGGCTAGGCAGCGGCGTTGCCGCCGGACTAAGCAGCGATGAAATTTTCTCATTCGCCATCAGCCCCTTCGTCTGAACGAAGGCGCTGGATCTGGCGTGGTACGGGCTTCGATCGAAGTACTTATCAATGATCGGATGAACCATAACAGTTTGGTTGTGGATTGTCAGAATCGAGTTCGTGGGGACATTCACCCAATTTTCTATGGGAGGGTTAGCACGTGCTCGTAGTATGTGCCACTTGACATCTCCCAAAACGTACCTCTTTCAAAAGTCAGCGGTTCGCTCGCAACCAGAACAATATCAGCGCCTTTATCTTGACGTTCCATTTGGTAGTTTCGGTCGCTGGCAGCCGATGTCCTCGTTCCCCACTCAGTTCCAGATGAGTAGTACAGGCTTGCCGCTTCATCCGTAGCACTGCTGATGTACCGTGTGCAGATAACACTTTTCCCGTCCGTAACGGCGAAGTTGAGCAAGCTTCGGGTATCAACGTTCTCCGACTGGATCGTGCTCTCCGGGATACCGTCAATCAGCTCGTTGATGGTGGCAATAGTCTTAAGCATAGCCTTTCTCAGCACCGTAGGACCAAATCCGTTGGCGGGCTGTGAGCTGGGGTCAAAACCCATCCTTTGAAGGGTGTCGAGGAACAGGGCAAACGCCCATTCACTGTCTGTTCCACCCTGAACTCCCAGGTACCACTTGTCGGCCAACCTTTCTCCTAGCCTCCTCTTGATGTATTTCCAACCTCCCAGACCTCCATTGTGCATCCACATCAAACTGCCGTGGCAAAACGGATGGCAGTTGTCTTCGCTCAGCGATCCCTCGGTCGTGGCTCGGACATGGGCGAAAATGAGTTGTGAGGCAGTCTTGGAGGCGATTCGCTGGAGGTTGGTGCAGTTCCACGCGGGAATTGTCGATGTAAAGAGGCAAGGAGCGTGGCCCAACTTGGGATCGGTATAGAAGCCGATTCCGAAGCCATCGGCGTTGTTCTGGCCTCGTCGGGTGTCCTATTCGACCAGCCAAAATTTGTCAGTAAGGTGTGTTAGATGCCAAGGACAGGTTTAGGAGACATACCAATCTGAGCCTGGAATCGAACGATTGCTTCAAGATGGAGTGAGTCGGGTCAAGGATGAGCTTTGAGAGAAGGATCTCGTCACTTCCCCGGTAGACCTTGACGCAGTCAGCATCTGTTTGAGTGTGTCCAGCGACGCGAAACCTACCAAGAACCGGCACATGTTGGTTGTGTTACGGCCGGCAACTTCGTGGGGAAGGAGTGGACAGAAAGGGAGAGAAGCGGGACAGACGCTGCAAGAGCGGTGCGAGTTGGGTCGACAACAGGTGACTCTATTTGTATACCACCGGCAAGAGATAGATGGGACGAAGAAGCATTCCGCGGGATACGGATTTGCGAATAGGAGCTGGAGGAAGGTGTCGGCCAGATATTGTATGTTTGACGAGCTATGGCGCGATCAGAAACCCCAGGGCGGTGGCGCAAGTTGATAGGGATATTGATTGATAGAGCACGGAGTACCGAGTAAGGTCAGTTGGGACACCGGTGGTGAAAGATACGGGGGCTGATTCTGGGCGCGCGGCAGCTGATAGTCCGTGCTGGCAGGAAAAAGGAACGGTAAAATGGATGTACGCGGAATGGGCGATTGCGCCTTCGGACTGAGCTCTGAGTAACTGACAACTGAGAGAGTGCCCCAAGGTGGCTTGGTCGTTTCTGGGTCTCGAAGATGGGGAAGCAGAGAGTTGCAGTGAGTCATTTGATATTGGTATGGATACGCACAGCTGGACGGCTGCTGGGATGTTCAATCTCTCAAAAGGTCGGGTGCGACTGGTGATGTGGTGCAGCGCCATCGGAGCACTTATCAAGTTACTGAGAGTATGACGAGGGCGATAAGCATTTAGCAATTATATGATAGAGAAGCATGCTAGCTCATTCTAGTATGCAGTAAGCCAAATTCTGGGGAGCAGCTGCAGACCCGCTGGTGGCTAATTCCTCCCCCCCTTGGGCCCCCCTGAGGCGACTCGGAGACCGGCAGGCGATTGCATTACAGTGTCGAGAGAGCCACTGAGCTGAAGCCTAAGGTTACAGACGCCTCTCGCCTGGTGGAGAGGCATCAAGTGGCAGGTAACAAAGTACCTTTTTTGGAGAAAGTACGTCAATATTGTCCCCACTACTGCAAATGGGGTCTTCATGCAACCCGCGAGAACCCGCTTGCTTTCTCTGCTCTGGCTGGTCCATCCACGCCACTCCTGTTCGCGACATTTCCATCCCAACGGATTTTGATGTCCACGTCTTCCCGGCGGACCAGAAGCGCTGGAGACAAGAACAAGAACAAGAACAGCAACAACAACAACAACAACAACAACAACAACAACAACAACAACGACGAGAACAACAGCATTTGACGTACTCGATAATTCAAATCTGGCTTCATCGCTTGCTTTCAAATCTCGCATGTAAACGAACCATCACCGCTTCTCATTGAACGCGTCCCGTGCTTCGCCGGCAGCATGAGCGGACGTCTCCTGGCCGCTGGGCTTTCGCCCTTGGCGCGACGCGCTCCAGTCCAAGCCGTACGACACTTCCATCGATTTCCCGCAGGCGGTCTTCAGCGAGCTGATGCAGCCGTTCGGGCCACCCAGCGCCGTATGTGGTTTCCTGGTAATGCCTTCCACAACGCTGTCATCGTGCGGAATGCATCTTTCGCCCGCTTTCTGCCAAAGTTGGTCGTCAAGTTTGCCAGGATCCCCGCCATGTTTGGCGGCCTAGCTGTAGGAACACTCGCCTGGATTCAGTATCAAGCCAACCGTACGTCTATCCCTCCCGAGTCCCCAGCAGCTTACCACTGACAATATCATCTACAGAGATCACCAATAATGCTTGGGACATGGTTACCAAGACGGCAGATGGCGTTTCGGAGACCGCATCGAGCTTCTTCGGAGGGGCGAAGGGCATTGTAGACCAAACCATGCGCGGATGGGAAAACACGAAAGAACAAATCGAGACGCCCGAATGGCTGCAGAAAGTCTTGCGTATCCACGAGGATATTGGAACCGGCGGAGGCGGGTCTGGGGCCCTGGAGGGGAGCAGCCTAAACAGAGCAAAGCGGGTGCGGCCGTTGTAGCGGGCGGTTCAGCTGCAGCATATGGTTACGATCAATCTTCGGAGGACGACCCGCGAGACCCCGACGAGGTGGCCAACGATGACCAAATGATGGTCCTGACAAAGAAGATGATCGAGATTCGGAGTATGCTGCAGCAGGTCGGACAATCGAGCACTCTGACACTCCCTTCGATTGTCGTGATTGGATCTCAATCTTCGGGAAAGAGCTCTGTCCTCGAGGCGCTTGTGGGCCATGAGTTCTTACCCAAAGGAACTAACATGGTCACTCGCCGGCCGATAGAGTTGACACTCGTCAACACTCCTGAATCAGATACTGAGTACGGCGAATTCCCTGACTTGGGTCTCCGACGCATTACCGACTTTTCATCTATTCAGAGGACATTAACTGAGCTCAACTTGGCAGTCCCTGATACACAATGCGTATCGGACGACCCTATCCACCTCACCATCTACTCACCCAACGTCCCGGATCTGTCTCTCATCGATCTTCCCGGATATATCCAAGTGGTAGGACAAGGCCAGCCGCTTGAGCTGAAGCAGAAGATCTCCGAGCTCTGCGATAAGTACATACAGCCTCCCAACGTTATTTTGGCCATCTCCGCCGCCGACGTGGACCTGGCAAACTCCACTGCCCTGCGTGCAAGCCGCCGCGTGGATCCCAGAGGTGAACGAACCATTGGGGTAGTGACCAAAATGGACTTGGTGGATGCTCCTCGCGGTGCAGCCATCTTGAGCGATAAGCAATACCCTCTCAGGCTCGGCTACGTGGGCGTTGTATCCAAGGTTCCGCAAACTGGTGGTTTGTTCAAGCGGTCTGGTAGCGTCATGTCTGCGATTGCAAAAAACGAGAACACATTCTTCTCGGCACACCCACTCGAATTTGGCGAGGGTGCAGGCGTCAACGTAGGGACGATTAATCTGCGTAAGAAGCTTATGACCGTTCTCGAACAAACAATGTCTGCCAGCTTGGCAACCACCAGCGACGCCATCAGGCAAGAGCTCGAGGAGGCGACTTATGAGTTCAAGGTCCAGTACAATGACCGCCCCCTGTCTGCTGAGTCCTACTTGGCGGAAAGCCTGGATGGCTTCAAGCACTCGTTCAAGCAGTTCACTGAGGAGTTTGGGCGCCCCCAGATGCACCAGCTTCTCAAGCAAGAGCTGGACCAGAAAGTTCTCGACCTACTGGCAGCCCGGTACTGGAACAAGCCCGTTCAAGACTTGTCCCCTGCCAGGCCTGAGCCAGACAGCTTGGCGGACCTTCCCAAGGCCGATCCCAACTCTCTGTACTGGCACCGCCAACTCGACGCCTCAACCTCTTCGTTGACGAAGCTTGGTGTTGGCAGACTGGCCACGACTGTCGTTGCTTCCGCCATCCAGGCACACATCGACAAGCTGATCAAGCACTCGACGTTCAGCAGCCACCCGTTCGCTCGGGAAGCGATTAATGAAGCCGCCTCAACGATCTTGAACGAACGATTCTATAGCACAAGCGACCAGGTTGAAAATTGCATCAAGCCTTACAAGTTCGAAATTGACATTGACGAGAGGGAATGGACTCAAGGCCGCGATCACTCGGCTGTTGTCCTAAAGAAGGAGCTTCAGGACTGTGAAGGTGCGCTCAAGGGTATCGAAGATACTGTTGGCGGTCGCAGGAAGTTGAGAGAGGTGATGAACTTTGTTGACCGCGCTCGCAAGGGAGAGGTTGTGGTTGAGGGAGAAAGCCGAAGTGGTGCTGGAGGGTTCAGTGCCTCCCTCCTCAAAAGAGGTAAGTTGAAACAATTGCGCTTATCCATGATAGTTACTAATGGTTCTCAGGACGCGAGGCTGTCTTCCTTCGAGACCGCGCCGACATTATCAAGATGCGCCTGATGGCAGTCAAGTCGAAGCAATGTGCCAATCTCAAGAATAAATACTACTGCCCCGAGGTCTTCCTCGATGCGGCAGCCACAAAGCTTGCCTCGACAGCTGTTCTTTTCCTTAACGTGGAGCTCCTTTCGGAGTTTTACTACAACTTCCCGCGTGAGCTTGACCTCCGCCTCGGAAGACATCTCTCCGATGAAGACATTGAGAGGTTTGCCAAGGAAGACCCCAAGATCAGAAGACATTTGGAGGTCATCCGTCGCAAGGAGCTGCTCGAGTTGGTCCTCGAGAAGATGGAGAGCCTGAGACAGCTCGAGGGCCGCGAGCGGGAGCGATTGAAAGGCGGCAACAGCAGGCCCGCCAAGGATGACAAGCAGCGCGGACGCTGGGGACTCTTCTAAAAGGACGAAGCAGTTGTGCTGCGAAACACCCGAAGATTGCCTTTCTGCCTTGGGGACCTGTAACGCGTTTATGACTTGGGTGTACAAGGAGTTGTGGGTTTGAAAGATGAATATTCTGCTTATTGGCCTTGGCCTGGCCCTCGTCACATGGACGTTATAGAGCAGGCCACAGTCTATTTACAAGTTTTCTACGGTATTTTTTGTACAAAGTGGTATATAACACGGAAGGATACCCTCCTCGACTCGGCCTGTTGAAAGAATAGACTTTTTTCTCCCTCTTCGCCTCTCTTGAAACCCCATTTCCATTTGCAGTTAGCCAGACGGTGACTCTGATGCCAGCACGCTGGCGTGATGCCCATTCCAGAAACAGTAGCGCCAACCCTCATGCCCGCAGAATCATATTTGCCCAATTTTTTGTCAAAATGTCGCATCCACGCTCGTTTGTAACGTGACTTCCCATCTAAGGCTCGTACCGCGGCCATAACCCTCGCCTAGTCTGTTCTGGATGAGGGTAGATATCCGACTTCGCAGCTTGCTGATAGCACCCTCGTCGCAGCCTTTGGCTACGGAGATCTTGAGGTTAGCCATGCACAGGCCGTAGTGGACCTGCCAGAACTGCGCGTCCTCGATTCGTGCGACGCCCGGCTCGGCTTCGATATCCCGCATCACAGATGACACGCCCTCATTGCCCCCAATGCCGCCGTACGACATGAGCAACATCATGGCCTGGGCCATGGCCAACTTGGCGCCAAAGAGGAACATCGAAGCGGCGATCGCAGCGCAGAGCGTGCGGTCGAGCCAGATATAGCTCTTAATGGACAGAAGCGGCAGCAGGAGCAGTAGACTCGAAAAGAAAACGGTCAGAAAGTGGAAAATGTTGGAGAAGTGGGTGGGCAGCTTGGCCAACCATGATACACGCATGATTCTGGCGATGCGCGCGTGATTTTTAAGGCCGTATGCCGAAACGGCTGTGCTGGTGATGGCGGCGAAGGCGGCCCAGTCCACCTCGCCTGCCGAAACGCGCTCGTGGATATGTTCATGGTGCGGCTCATGGCCACCCTTGGTCTCCAACCAGTGCTTGAGGTTATGTGACACGAGATCGAAACCGCCGAAGAGGAGGAAGATGGACATGGCAAAGCCGGCGAGAACCTCGGCTCTCTCAAGACCAAAGGGATGCCGGATACTGCTGCGGCGCCAGACCTCGAAGTTGCCGAGAACATCGACAGCGACACAGACGGCAGCACTACCAGCGTCAAAAAAGACGAGGTGGGACAATGCCATCATGGCGAGGGAGCCCTCCGAGATAAAGAAGAGCCATGACGCAACGGTCAAATGGCACAGACTCCAGTAGAGCCTGACGCGCTGGTCGCGGGACATGCTCTTCCATGCTTCTCGGACCGTGGGCACAGGAAGAGAGGCAGGGAGGACCGGCGGCGGTCGCTGAGGGGGCTCCTGGAAGATCTGATGTTGTGTCGAAATGGAACTATGCTTGTATCGATGGCCGCGACGCTGGCCAATGTTCTGCGAGGCGCCATTGTCAGCGGTCAATTGGTGAGTAGCGGAGAACGAGGACGCGCGCATCATCATTTCACGATGTTATCTCTAGACTTACCGACTTGACAGGCGAGGTCGAGATGACCTGCGTCTGGAAGTTGAACGGGCCTGGGACGGTCGAGCCACCAGCAGAGGGAGGGTCGTCTTCGGCCATGGCTGGCGTTGCTGTGTCTGGCCGAAGCAAACCAGGTTTCAGGTCAGCGGGAGCGAGAAGTCCAGGGCTGCCTAGGGGTGTCGATGCTACTCGGGGGGAGTAGGGGGTGCTACGGTCGTGGCTGTGATCCTCGTGGCTGTCGCCGTCGTCGATGTTAATAGATGGGAAGGCGAGTTGAGGAGGGGGACAGTCGACATGGGTTGTTGATGTTGATGCGTTATCGTCTTTGCCGTAACCGCTTTCGGGGCTCGGTGGGGTGAAGGTTGCAGCAGGTCTTCTTGGTCTTGGAGGGGTGGAGGATGAAGATAGGCCCGGTGCAGTAGGGCTGGAATCCATGGAACCTCTTTTTATTTCTTCCCAGCAACCAGTGGCATTCCCCAAGGAGTGACAGTCAAGAGCCGTGTCTGCGACGGTGTCAATAGCGATGTTGTCCGACAATGGCCGGGCCGGCATTCATAATGCGTACGCGCAAGAGAGGCTCAAGGCGGTAGGGAATTGGCTCCTGTGAGTCCGCGTACGAATCCTGTGGTATGGTTTGCAAGACAAAAACACTGGGATAAGATAGGACGAAATGTGCAATACCTAATTGGCAAGTGCTTCTTTGGAGGTTGGAATTCAAGACTGCCTTAGATTCGGGGGGGGGGAAGTTCCAGCCAAAGACGGGACGGAGATCTGTCTCCGTCTCCAGGTTCCATCCCCCACACAATCAGTCCTGCTTAGTTGCATGTGAATGCTAGCAATATGCTTCTATGCCCGACACGTGTCTTTCGCAGGTGCAATTCTAAGGGGCTCTAGCACCCACTTTCCGTACCTAGTGACTGCTCTGCTCCGTAGCGGAAACGACATTGACTTTACTGCGCATTGGGCGGACCACGTTACGATGCAGGGTCCTACTTCTTTTACCTATTTGCAGTTAGTCCCCCTCGACTTCGACCCCGTTACCCAAGTTTGACCTGCAGCTAGTTTTTTGACTGGCGAGTTTTCCAGTTGTATGGTTGTCGCCTTCAACCATTTTCATCTTTACTTTGTTTATTGTTTTACCTATTTCTGCTTGTCCAAGGCGGCGATGTTGAGAGAAGCCCCTTGCAGTGGACATCTCGAACACGGTCCCAAGTCTCTGACCTGAACTGAAGGCTCCCCACCCCACCCATCCCTACCGACTCGATCCACCCTCCAACGGGACCAACCCGCTGCGATAAGGGATTATCGCAGTTCGAACACAAACGCAATGGACCGCACCACCACCACCACTGGCGGCGATGACGCTGCCTTCGAAAGTCTCGCGGACTTGACGAACACAGCCTCGCCGAAATCGATCTCGGAGCACGAGCGCCATATTCTCAATAACCACCAGCAACCGGTGCTGCCGCCGGTTCCCCACCGACGCACCTCGTCTGGCGCAAACTTCTTCTCCAAGTTCCCCTTCATGCGCTCCCTTTCCGATGGGAAACAACAGCAGCAGCAGCATCATCATCAGTATCAAGAAGGTGACGAAGACGCATCCCGCTCTCCGCCGACATCCATGTCGACCATCACCCAGCAGCAGCAGCAGCAGCAGCAGCAGCAGCAAAAGTCGCGACGGAGAAAGGGCTCCCTTAGGAAGGTAGCCTTGCTGGGGAGGGGCGCGCAAAGGGAGCGCAGGGAAGCGAAGCAGCTCACCATTGACACATCACATAGCGTCTCTCGCGACATGGACAGCGGCGCGTCCCGATCGCACGCGACTCTCGAGCAGGACCCTCTCGGACTAAACATCTCGGACCTGACGCCGCGTCCTTCGATGGATGGGTACGCGAGCAGGTCGAGCGTCGCGGAGTCCTCTCTGCTGCCGTCGACGAGTCCTCCGCGACCCAACGATACGGAATCCGGCATCACGAGTCCCACGATATCCTACACCTCTACGACGGACGAGGATGATGTATTGCACATCCCAAACCATATCCCCTCCCCGTTACGGCCAGACCTATCGCTGTCGTCAGGCTCCGATTCGTACTTTGGGAACCGTTCAAGGCGCCGGTCTATACTACAAGCCAAGTCACCGCTCTCGTATAGCGGGCTCTCTACAACGCCATTACCGCCCAATGACGCGGAATGGGATTACTCGGAAACGGAGTGGTGGGGCTGGGTTGTCCTGATCGTTACGTGGATTGTGTTCGTCGTCGGCATGGGCTCGGTCCTGGGAATCTGGAGCTGGGCCTGGGACGTCGGGACGACGCCGTATGCTCCCCCGGAGCTCGAGGACGACCCGACGCTGCCCATCGTGGGCTACTATCCGGCCCTCATCATTCTCACTTGTATCATGGCTTGGGTGTGGGTTGTCGTGGCATGGGTGGGCATGAAGTACTTTCGCCATGCTAAGATCAGTGGGGAGTGAAGAAGGCTTGGCTTGCTGGGTGGCCGCTTTGTTTACGATACTCGACTGGCGTATGTCCAGGGCAGGCATGCCTCAATGCGGCTGTCCATATCGGAACGGCGCTGTTACGATCAAGTGTTTTATTTTTTATTTATTTTTTTGGGGCGGGGGGGGGAGGCGTTGGCTAGAGCGGATATTGAGCCCAAAAGCAAGCAAGCGTGTTTGGCTTTGCTTGTGCTTGACAGGCGTATGGGAAAAGCTGGTGTTGTGGGCACTCGGCAACAGAGATCCTGTCATTTCCAACGAAACTCTTCAACGGTTTTGATCAAGCGCGTGGTTTATCACCCGCAGTGATCGGCTCTCGACGTCCTACTGTAGTGATTTCTGAGGACAGCCCTGCGAGACCACGGCAGATCCAGAATCGATGGAACGCGGCGCCCAGCAACCTGGGAGTTGGCATACACTACCACCGCGACAGCCAGTAGACCACGACTGACGCTGCTCCCCAGTGACCTTGTTAAGTTGTGTTGCAACAGTTTGGACATGCGCAGACGGAATTGCGGTCAGACAGCGGGGGCGACCATCAATCGACACGTTTACACGTCCGCGTTGCTGGCAAGGCGAAGCCGGGGCTGGAAGAAGCGAAGTTGGAAGAGAGGGCGTGATCCACCGTCTGCGCGTAATCACCAAGGGGAGAGGAAACCCGGGCTGGGTCCTTGCGACTTTGCCGGGTTCCCTTTTTTTTTCCTTTTCCTCTGTTGTTCTCCCTTTTTGTGCTCACCTTTTGGGCGGAGAAACAAGGGTCCACGGACCGCAACTTTGCAGGATCTCGGTGGTGGGGGTTGACGTGGTTGGTTGGGGAGGGAAGGCCGCAGGACAGTTGGCTACGTAGAGTACGCCGGACGTAGTGGTACAGTCGAGCTGCCCGTGGCATACGTAGAGCTAGATTGTTGTCGTGATCTGTTCTGGCGTATGCAACAACACAGACCCCCCCAGGTCATGTCGAGGTTGGGTTGGGGTTGGGTTATTGGCGCTTGCTCAGGGCTTACACTATCTCACCTGTGCGATGCCAACCCAGTCCTGAAAAGACAGTAATTGACACCAAAAAAACCCCCGACTTGCTGTTTTCTGCCTGCCTACAGTCCAACTCACGAGACGGCATGTGACGGCAGAGGATCTTCATAGGCTAGAAGACGAAAGGGGAGGGGGAAAGGGTCGTAGACCTGGTGAGTCCCTGTTGAGACATATCATCTGAAACAATCATGTTGGTGGCACAGCACAGGAAACGCAACAGTCTCGTCCCAGTCGTGCCCAAAAGTGACAGCCGACGACCGTAGCAGGCTCTTGGGGAGGCCAAGTTGGATCGACAAAAAGGCGAGACATTTTCGACTGGAGCATGGTGGTCCTTTGCGATGAGTGTGGAGTGTCTGGGCGGACCGCGTGCATGGTCTGGTGTACACTACAGTTAGTAGTGGCTGGTGCCAACCGAGTGGTCTGGTGCGTTGGCACGATAAGCACATTGCGACTGGCTGCGAGATGGGTTCAACTCAAGTAAGCCAGTGTCAGACGCATCACGATGCACCTGGATGGTCAACCTCAGGGGAAATGAGGAGAGAGAGTCAGTGGGCAGTCACGGACACGGCAAGCCCCTTCCTGCCGGGGAGGGGGTCCCCCTTCCGTTCCTTGAGTTGGTCGAGGGCACGAGCTGGCGTACAGCGGCCGGATAAGAAAAAGAAGAAGAAGGGAAAGGATTGAGGGGAGGAGTTCAGGCCTCGGACCCTTGAGAGATTTGGAGAGGTGTGAATGGAGTCTTGGCGGTGGTGGTGGCACCCGATCCAGGCCCACTGAGTGGAGGGTCAAGTGGGAAGGGGAACGGGCTCTGCAGGTCGATTTAAGCGCTGTTGAGAATTGAGATGGCAGAGGCGGCAAGGAAAAGAGAGAGAAAGGGCGGCGGGCCCGCACGGCCAATCAGCAGGATCCCAGCCCCCGTTGCAAGTCACCTCACTTTAGATAGTACCTTGCCATGAGGAGACAGGATGCTCGTGCGCCATTTGCATCGCTGGATGGCTTGTGTATATTGCGTGAATCGAGGGGGTGGGGTACGTGGATTGGTTGGCTGGATTCGGCGGCAAGCGTTGGGCTCACCAAAGCAGCGCTTCGTTGCCTACCTATGGAGCTTTCCCAGTGGACTTGTCAACCGCTCGAACAGTGTTGGAACTCGTGGCAAATGGGCGACAAAGGGCAAAGCAAAAACAAAGAATGTCGACAGAGAGAAAGGATTCTGCATTGCATGGAGGAGCCCAGCGGCAGCGGCAACGGCAGCGGCAAAGCGCCTAACGTGCCCCAATCGCAAGCATCGAAGGCATGCAAGCAAGACGCAGAAAAAGCCGACAGTGTCTTGGTGGATAACTGCCGCCACCACTGCCAATGCCAATGCCAATGCACTTGAACATACGAGAAGTGTTGCTGCCCATGTCCGGGCCGTACTGCACTGCATTACGTTGCGCATGCTTGGTCGGTTGCGTCGCGCTCGCATTCGACGTTGCATGTCGTTAGCTCCGGTCGAGCCCAGCCCATTTTTGGCAGATGGTTCGGAGATGTTCCGCCAAGGAGACCAGGACTGATGTGGTCCAAGGTGTCCAAGACGGCACAGGTGGGGAACATGGATTTGGGGCTCGAAGGGTCGGAGCCTTGTGATCGTCGCTTGCCTGTCCATTCAGAAGGATTCTCGGACGGTTTTGTCTGCAAATAACAAAACACCCTGCAGGCTGATGATTGTTCAGATGTGTGCGCGCCTTGTCGGCTGAAGAGAAGCAGCAGAACACAACAGCCAGGAATGGGCACCTACCGCTTCTACTGTACGAGGTAACGTACCTGTATGCACGCCACCTAGGCAGGTGGGTAGAAAGCGGAAGGAAGGAATTGAGCTGGAACAAATGAATGGGCGGGGCGGGTCCGGCGGGTATTACCATCTCTCCCCTGTCCACGTCGTAAAAGGTCCTGCCTGTCTCCGCGCTAATGTGAGATTGAGATTGAGATTGCTACATGGTCGTGTCTGTGCCCGTGCGGTGCGGTCCTTCCTCCGCCACAGCATGACCTCACAGCTCCCTCGGGGAACAGCAGAGGCCCAGTACCGGCAAAGCAAAACATGAGCGCCAACGAGGCCCCGGAGGCAGAGACAGGCGGCGCCCATTACGAAAACGGCGCTCTGTGGAATGCGCAAGAGAGACCGTTGGATCTGGGACAAGTGCCGTTTGCTGACGATTGCTAAAGACACTGAAGCACCATTCCATCCGGCTTCCACCGAAGCATTCCAGTTGGACTCCGCAAGCGCCACGGACACGGGAACAGGAGAGGGAGACGCCGACGCCAACGCAAGGGATACAGAAATGCAAATGACATTCGCTCGGTTCTTGCTCCGCTTCCCAAAGCATGGCATGCCTACCCTGATGGTTACGATTATTGTGAAGATAACGATGATGTTGATGTTGAAGATGGTGGTGATGATGACAATCCGGCGGTGCAGGGGAGAAAGAAAAGAGTCCCGTTCAACAAAATAATAGCATACAACTAGTACCTACTACGTAGAGAGCACCAAGGTGTGCTGTGTTGGTACTGGTAGTGGCACAGAACCCCCTCCTGTGTTAAGGAAGTCTTGGAGACGGGAGCATCCTTGCATCCCGCCGATGAGGTGCAAATTGTTGTCGGACCACCACCACGAGACCCCGGGGGGCCGCTGTCCCTTCCTGTGCCAAATGGGAGATGCTGGGTGGTAAAGGGCTGCTTGCCTTACAGAATACATGCTTTGGCAAGTTGCTGGTCGGTACATGGCCCGTCAGTCCATTAAACTAAAGACAAGGATAGCGTAGGCTGCCAACATCCAACCGGACCAGCAACAAGTGGTAACGAACGGTCGTCGCATGTCAGCCCGTCGTCTTCCTCACGACCGAGCCCCTACTGTATCTTTATAGGCTCTCCGGCCCCCCCTTTAGCACTCCACAACTCAAACTCTGAGCAAGTCACTGCAAGGCTTACGGCCCTGACGTAAAGCTGCCGGGCTAGCGACCGCATGGCTCGGAAGTTTGTTGGCCTGCCTGAGGTGCCACAAGCCTCTGGCGACGGGTCAGCTTGGTCTTAGCAAGGGCACGGGATCTCTGGACGACACATGCAATACACGGCCATTCATGCAGCTGCGCGCAAGCTCGCTTTACCCAAGGCCGGCCGCCAATCTCGCATCTTTCCGGATTGACCACTTGGATCCCTATGCTTATTGATCTTCGATGGCTGTTCCAAGAATTCCGCCAGTTGTTTTGAATTGAGCGGGTGCGGCCGTGACTTGGTCTTTCCTCTGTCAAGCCTCTCAATGCAGGTAGCGAATTCTTGCAATGCGTCGCAATAGGCACAGACGGCTTACGAAGTTACGCGGTACCTAGATACGACCCATTCGTCGCCGCCTCAGCGGAGATTCCGCCCGTACGAACAGAGGCACGTACATGCAGAGAGACTGGTGCATGCAGAAACGGCATCCTTGGAACGAATGAATCAATGTCCGGCTTTCGAAAGCGCAACAATGGAATAACCCAACGACCCGAAGCGGCGGCAACGGAATTCGGGACGCGGCAGGGACGACGCTAGAAGCCGCCGTAAGTGGCTTGTTGGCATTGGGAATGACTGTCAAAGACAACAAGGGAATCCGAGTCGTTTCAAGGGACAAAGAGGACGGATGTGTGAAAGGCAAGCAGGCAGGGTACCTGAAGAAGGGGGGAGACGGCGGGCGACGGCAGGCGGTCCCAGGCACCTGGAAAAGAGAGGGTCAAAAGACGGTGAAGGGATGGGATGGGGTTGGCCGCGGTAGTGGGAGTGAAGGGGAGCGGGAGCTACCTTGGAGAGCAAACCGTGACCCCCTCGGGCGACGAAACATGCGATTCTGGAGGTGGGAAAAGCTCTCCGTCTCCTTCACAGTGGTTTCCCAGTGGGTAGGAGGTGCCAAGATGCAGGGCCGAATGCGGCCGAGTGGCGGGTGCGAAATCGTGGGTTTGCAGAGCGGCGTGACCGGTACCTGGTGCCTTTGCCTGATGCGGTACCTCTTTTTTTTTCCATCTTTTTTTTCTGTTTGATTTTGCACCAGCACGTCAGACTTGGACGGCTTAGGTACTTCAGGGGGGCCGTGCTTCAGATTCTCGACCCAAGAGATTCCAAGATTCCAACAAGCATCAAAGTCGAACAGGGCCTTGCAGCAGTTGCAGCAGCAAACGATGTAGGGGAACGTGATTATGACTAGTGGAGCAGCCTCTAATCCTGCTGTGTTGTGCAGTTCTGTACTGGCTTTTACCACTGCACACAGCAAGGCTGAACTGGGATGAATGTCAGGTGTCGCTTTCTCGACGACGGCCAGTATCAAATGCAACAAGATGTGTGGGTTCACAGCGTCGGGTTGGGTTGTTGACATGGTCAGGCTTTGTCCGGCGGCAGAAGGAACGCTGCTAACGTTAACTCGGATAAGCTGCCGCTAATAGATGGATCTGAGAACACTGTTTGCGAATGACGGGAAGGAAGAGAAGGCCATGGGGTGGGATACAGAAAGGAAAAGTGATGCTGTCTCGCTTGGGACACTCGCCGCGCTTGCCCGCGGGAAATGAAAATTGGGAGAGCATGAGCGGAGAGAGAGACAAGCTAATATAAAGATTGAAGAGGGGGAGAAATAATGAAAACTGCCGGGGAAAAGAATAACAATGGTTCAATGACAAGCCTTAAATCCCTAACAATGATTGGACTATTCTGTCAGGCTCAGGCTGCAGCGCGTCCAAGATTACTGGTCGTTGCTTCCACCCAGCAAAATCCACCACCCACCTATCATCATTTTTCCCACCGGCTTGCGATGACCCCGAGAGAGAGGAAACCCAGGGACCTCGCACCCGTGAAAGTCCCCAACCCCTGCCGCCGACCGGGCGTGGCGCGGCGGCCCTCCAGCAGCGTCCCAGCTTCCTCTTGCTCCTCCCGCCGCTGGTTCCCAGGTCCTGTCCCAGCCCGCCCAGCCTGCCCAGCCTGCCCGCTCCTATGTACTGCGTGCTGGGTCTAGCATCCCGCTGACTCTGGCCTGTGGGCTGTGGATTGATATGTTGTGTGCGCGTGTCGGCCCAGTGCGTTGTTCACCGGCCTGTGTGGGTATCGCACATACCCTGTCAGGAACGACGTGATGCCCTGTCTCAATTGCTCATCCCGCTGCTGCTAGGTTCCAACTGCGTGCTGCTGTAGTGCTGCACCGCTGGGCTGGTGGTGCTGGGCTGGGCTGGGCTGGCCACCACTGCACAAATCTCGCGTGCGCAGGACGTGCGGACCTGATGCATCCATCATCGTCTGCTTCTCCTCTCTCGCTCTCTCCTGTCCCATCTTCCTCTCCCTCCTCCTCTTTCCTCCCCTTCCCCAACCTCCTCGTCATCTTTTTCTCTCACTCCCATCCATACTCGCCTTCTCCTGATCTGGGCGACAAACGTCCGTCTGCACTTGTCTTGCTGCTGTCGTTGCATGCCAGCATTCGCTTGCGTACATTTCGGCTGCCTTGTCTTCCAGTTGTGTCTCGGCTCAGACCTTGGTTCTGGCTGACGCTATAGGTACTTGCTGCTCACTGCATTTGCTACTGGTACTTGCCGCCGCTGCCACTGGGCCAATTCACCGCACTCCTCCGAGTCACGCTTCCGGGTGTCGGTCCTGAAACACAACCAGACCAGTCCATCACCCTCGCCCTCGACCGACCGTCTTTCTTGTGTCTACACATCCATCCGCACACTCTTCATCCTCCCCCCTTCTACACCCTTCTTCCTCAAGACCTACGACCAGCTCCGCCCGCCTCCATTTGTTCCATCAAAGCGAAAAGGGGATTCCCTCTCACGACCGCAACGAAAGAAAATCATAGGGCCTCGCAACGTCCTTGACCTTCGCATCCAACCCGTCGTGCCGCACGAAACTAGCATCGAATCGAGACGAGTCCGCTCACGCACGATCCGATCCAATCCAACCCAATTCTCATACACACACATAAACCCATTGTCGCCACCCTCGAGCAACCCGACCCCAAAAGCAACTCACACACTCATACACTCTCTGTCTCTCTCTCTCTCTCTCTCTCACACACTCTCTCTCTCTTCTCCCTACCTCCTGTCTTGCACATTCAACAGTGCATTTCTCGAATCCATCGAGCCCGATACTACAACCCTTTCCGCAAAACCCTGTCAAAGGGGCCATCCAAGCTGGAAGGGATTTATCACTCTCCTACCTTCCCACGGCTGCACTGCCTGGCCCCATTCGACCCGACTCATACCTCAGCCGATATATCGTCACATTGATCGCCTTTCAAGATGAGAGAAGTCAACTTCAGTATTCCCAACGTCAACAAGGCGTCGGTCGGCATCACGACCGCCCTTTACGACCGTCGGGCCCTCGACTGCACATCCACCCTTCCTCTCATCAACTCTCTCAACCATCTTGCCTACCTTACCACCTCCTCCGCTCGCATCCGCGACATCCTCACCGTCGATGGCGGCATCGAGCGCTTGGTTTGCATTCTGAAACGCGGCCGCAGCAAGGACATGATGGACATGTGGAAATGGAATTTGGCCTTTCAGTGCGTCGTCAACATTGGTGTCAGGGGCACTGAAAACGTTCGCACTCGCGTCGTCGAGGCTGACATGGTCCCTGTCATTGCTACCATCCTCGACAACTACATCAAGGTCACGGAAAAGTGCAGAGACAAGTCGGACGACAAGAGCAAAGATCATCACCACCGTCACAGGAGCCACGAGCACCGCAGTGTCCACAAGGCTCCTTCCTTCACCAACAGATCTAGCCGAGCTGAGGTTGATCAGAGAGCCTCCCGCCGTCAGGCGCCTCCTCCATCCATCGACGTTTCTGCGACCTATGCAGGGTCCTCATCGTCCAGTTCTGCAGTCGACCAGCAAACCACCGAGTCCACGCCCACTCCGTCCCAGTACCCGCTCGCGTCCTCGGCCGAGCGGCCTGCCTTCCCGGCTCACCGACACCACCATCATCACCATCACCACCACCACTACCGCGCTGCCGAGGCCCGCCATGCTGTTGCTTCTCCGCCTCGTCAGACGGTTCAGCCCCTGGCGCCCGCTGTACCTCCTACGGAAACCATGGAAGGCTTCGTGCGACCTGTCCGCGATGTCGATCGTCTTGCATCGATGATGAGCTTTGGCAACGCAAACTTGACCTCGCAGCCATCCTCTCCCACTACCCCCTTGGCACCCCCTCAAATGCGTTCTCCCACCGTCCGACCCACCTCTGGACTCGCGCCAACCAGCCGATCCCGCCGCCGCCCTTCCATCCGACATCAGAACTCGACTGTCGACTCGGACGATTTGGTCGGCGATGACGCGCCCTCTGACGAGTCTCCTGACGCCGAAATGTCGGGGACTGGCACCGAGATCCAGGCTGCTGTCAACATCCAAGATATCACCATGGAGGAGGGAGACAGCATGCTTGCTGGCTCTACCACTATGGACCTGAACACTCCCACCGTGTCAGAGACGCAGGATACCGGAACCTTCAACATCACGCACCGTGGCCCCGTTGAGACGAGCAACACCACTGCCACGACTCCTGCACCTGTGCCCACCATCGGTCTTTCACCGAACCGCCCTACAATGGTCACTCCACCCCAGCCAGCCATTCCTAACGCCAGCGTCCCTCGGTATTTGCTCGACCGGCAATTCGTCCCCAACGCCCAGATGCTTGCTGCCATGCCTCGCGAAGAGGACGTCTTGATGTCCCTTCAGCTGCTTGCCTACGTCTCAAAATACTGCGGGCTGCGATCATACTTCCAAAAAAGCCACCTGGTTCCTAGGCTCAAGATTGGCAAGGAACTTCGTTATTTGGACGGCGAGAACGCCGCAGCGGATCAGGTCGAAGACGAGGAATTGGAGGAGGAATATCTGCTGCCCAACGATTTCAATATCTTCCCCTCGTGGAGAAGTTCACAGTTCGACATCACAGTACAGATATGCAGTACTGGGCTGGCGTTGTCATGAGAAACTTGTGCCGAAAGGACGATACTCGCGGAGGTATCCGACAGTGCGCCTACTACCAGTGCGGCAAGTGGGAAGAGTTCACCCGCCAGTTTGCCAAGTGTCGCCGCTGCCGTCGCACCAAGTACTGCAGCAAGGAATGCCAAAAGAGTGCATGGGCTTTCCATCGACACTGGTGCGTTGCCGCAACCCAGTGAAAAACAAACCACTCGGCGCATCAGCATGTTCGACTATACCCGGAACACGCCTCCTTCAGGCGTAATGTTTATAATACGGATCCTACGCCCCCACGGGTGGCACTGCATTGCACAGCACAGCGTTTTTTGAAATGCATGGCGTTTCCCTCGATACCACTGGTCTTTCAGCAGCATATTCAAGGTTCGGCATTGGGTGCTTGCTATTAATGGAGGCGGCACGACTTCCCTTTTTTTTTCTTTTTTTTTCTTTTTTTTCTGTCTGCCAGGACGATATATCATCAGCTTCTTTCTTCCCCTAGCACATTTCGCAAGACAATCGTCGAAGCCAAGGGGGTGGCACGACAAGTGCCTCTTACTGTATACATTTCCGAACACAGAAAGGTGCGAGCTTCAGTTTCTCGATGCAGGCTCGCTTCGACAGCGCCCAACGAGGTTTCGCGGACGACCTAGCATGAAACTGCAATGGGCAGCGCACGCCCTCAGCCAACCCTAGCTGACGCAACTTGCGTTTGCTCAGAGCCGATGCCCAGCGTCCCGCATAGGGCACCATCTTGCGTCTTTGTGGACTGCCTTTTATGTTTTGGATTGGCAGGTGTCTTGGTCTTTGGCTACTAGACTGGCGAACTTCGCAACAGCTTGGAAGGAGACTATGGATAACACTGGCGGCAGTTCTGATTCGAGTCTCGATCATCCGCCTGACCATATTCAAGGTGGCGGAGGAACCAACAGAGCAGAGCGGCTTTATCAAATTCCTTGGGACTTGGATAGCATTGACGGGCGGGAAAGCATGGATCGGCGCTCAAGGAGCATATGTTCCGAGCAGCCAGCGGAGGATGATGTACGTATTGTTATGAGAGTTTACCAGCTATAATGTCAGGATTTATACGGTCTTCCAGAATCACTTACTCTTTCCTTTCGTGATTGTTGTCGAAGGCTCTGCCAATGGGGGAGTGCCGGTGGGAAGTGCCAATGAACGATGCTCATGACGTAGTTCGCCGTGTATTTTGCGACAAGGAGTTGATTCAAAGTCGTCGGGGCTAAACTCAACTCGGCGGCTTGTAGGCGCGCCTGTGCGGAAAAGTTTGTTGTATGCCGTCAACGCTGAATCCGGGACGGAGCTAGGTTCGTGGAGACGCTCTGCTTTGGTGCAGGGGGTATCGGAAAGTCTATTTGGGAGGGCCGCGAGAGCAAGGTGAATGCGTAAAAGTTCAAATTAGATATCTACAGTCAACAGAAAGGGGTGATTGATTTCTTTTGGCAGTCCATCCAGCCCGAGGGTATTTGCTCCTCCTCCATTCTTTTGCCCTTATTTTATTTTCATGGGATCCCTTTCCAATCCACCGCCCGACGCGCTCTCATCCCATCCGACGATCGCTCCCTCCTACAGAGATTCTTTTATTTATTTGACAGAGCCTTTCTCCTGTTCTTGCCTGGGCGCTGCTGGGGCTTCTTGCCGACGCCGCCCTTCATGCGCTTGGGGTTGAAGGCGCTGAGGTCGCCGGAGCTGACGGCGTCGCCCGACTTTGCGTGGCGCTTCTTGCCGCCGAAGCCGTATTTGTCGTTCTTCTTGGCCCGCTTGGCGTTGACGCCGCTTCCGGACCGGCCGCCGTCGCGCTTGCCGTCGCGCTTGCCGGACGAGTTGGTGTGGCTCTTGATCTCGTTGTCGACACCGACGTCGAACAGGTCGGCCTCGTGCGTGTCGAGGTTGGAAGAGCCTTCTTGGCGTTCTGGGCGGGGTAGTCAGTACAACGTAGGGCATTGGTCAAAGGGGGCCAAGCAAAGCAACTTACTCCTCTTGAGCGTCTTGATCTTGTCGAGTGTGTCCTTCTTGGCCTTCTGGCGCTCCTGCAGCTTGGCGACTTGCACCTGCTTGCCAAACTTCTTGAGGTCGCGGAGCTTCCTCGCCTCGGCGGCGGCCTTTTTGGCGCTGGCCTCCTCGACGAGCTTGGCCTTGACCTTTTGCATCTGGCCGTCGTCCTTGGCCATCTCGGCAAAGTAGTCGTTGGGGCGCGAGAAGGGCACGCCCTCCTTGATGAGCAGGCTGCGGCCCTTGCGCGCCGCCTCAAGCGATTGCGACAGGAGCGCGAGCTCGCGCTGGAGGTCGTCCTCGACGTCGGGGACGGCGTCGGCCGTGGGCTTGGACGATACGACGGACTGGTGCGTCGCAAAAGGAACGGTGGACGAGGTATCGATGCGGATGCGGTTCAGCGAGGCGAGGAGCGCCGTCTTGTTGTTGATGGTGAGCTTGGTGTGCGGGACAATGTCCTCCAAGTCCTCCTCGTCGGCGTCGAGGTCCGACAGGGGCACGTCGTCCGCCTCGGGGTCTTCTTCGTCGTCTTCCGAATCATCATCCTTCTCCTCGACTTCTGTCGGCGTCTTCTTAGTCGTCTTAGCCGTCTTAGTCTTCTTGGCTGGACGCTCAATCTTTTCTTCCATGTCGATCTCGGAATCGGAGTCGCTGTCTGTGTCGTCCAATGCCTCGATGTCGAGCTGTGCAAGTTGGTGTCAGCCGGTGTTCAGGGTTGCGCAGCGCAAATAAAACATACCTTGTCGTCTTCCTCCTCGTCGTCCTCGTCCTCGTCATCCTCCTCCTCTTCCGAGTCGGCATCCTCGAATTCAGCGTTCAGTGTGATTTCACCCTCGACAGAAATGACAGAGGCGTCGTCGTCCTCGTCCTCGCCCATCTCCTCGTCTTCGACATCGTCTTCGGCTTCGGTGCCCTTGGACTTGGCCTTCTTCTCTTTCTCCTTGGCGGTTTCGCGGTGCTTTGCCTTGATCTTTCTCTGTTCCTTAACCTTGCGGAGGTCGACGCCCTTCTCGGCCGCCAAGGCGAGCTTAAGTTTGGATTTGGTGACCATTTTTCTGCAACTTTTGGTGCTTTTCCGAATAGAAATATATGGGAAAGAAGAAGACACTGGCGCTGGGATGGTCGCGGAAAAAGTGTGCTAGTTCGAAGAATTGACCTCTTGCTCGACAAGCGGTTTGAACCAAGGTGGGGAGGGCCTAGGAAAAAATGTCGATTGAAAATAATTCTGCCGTTTCGGTGACCCACTCCCCAAAAGCGGTCAATATTGTAGTGGACTCATGCTCCGTCCTCCGGCATGCGGTGGGGTTTGGTAAGCATTGATTGGTCACTATGCCTTTGTCCTGGCACACGACTCTCGAAGTTGCTAGCAACATCTTAGTATTTAACTCACACGTATGTGCGCTTATAACAAAAGTGACAGTCAGATGGATCACATCCACTTTCTTCATTGGCTGTTCTTTAACTATTGCAATATTACTCAGAAGCTAGTGTAGAAATCGGGCACAAGACTCCAAGGGTTAGATACAGCCGCTCTCAGGAAGCTCGGGCAATAGGTGAGAACAAACGACCACTGCCTCCGTTCGCAAACTTTTGGTTTATAAGTTGCTTCTAAAACCCAACACATCACATACGACCATACCCACTGGAAAACTCGGGATCCCGTCCGCTCTCCCATAGATAAGCCAGTGAGGGCCGGATTAGTAGTTGGGTCGGTGACGACCAGCGAATACCTGGTGTTGTATGTTTTTTTGAAGCATTTTGCAGCTGTTGCATAAAACAGAATTGGCTCAGAGCGCCCAGATAGAGTCTGGGACATAGAAAGGGATATGTTAATGTGACAAAGGCTACGGAAAAGGTTGTTTGTTGCTAAAGTGCCATAGCTAAACTTTGTAATGGCCCGGTCCAGGATGCCTCTGCCTTGGAAACAAATCCAACGTTGCGGCCAACAAGATGTCCCGATTCCAGCTTTCACGAGCCTTGGGGATGCGAGCAAGATCGCCAAGACTTTGCACCTGCTCTCTCTCTCTCCCCCTTCTCTTTTCCTTGTTCGTGTATTTGGGACCTATAGAGGAGACGTGGTAGTGGTTGGTTTGGGTTTTGGTGACTTGTTATCTTGGAAGCGGAAACGGAAACGGACTGCCGATGTGAAATGTAGAATGTTCGACCATGTTGAAGACAAGTACCTGATATTTCGGGCTACATGAGTGGAAAAGAGGTTGTCGTTGTGTTGTTTTGGGTCCTCCGGCGGTTTTTTTCTTTTTTCTTCCGGTTTTTTTCTTGTCTGCTGATCAACTCCCTTGGGCTCGAGCCGCAATGAGCAAGACGGTTGAAATGATGAGAGTGTTTCTTGGTTTCGTCTTGCTCTACAAGATCACACAACCAACAAATGTAGCTCCGCCGAAATCCCCAGGACTGGTGTTCGTCTGCGCCGGGACGGCAGGCTCCTGGGTGCCTGACTTTGGCTTCATCGTGATCTTGCAACAATCTGGCACGGACTCCATTTTAGTGGTTTGGGAGTATGGTTGTTTTGAATTGCTTCTTGTTTGTTTTCTTGGTGGCAGGCGGTATATTCGAAATCTGTCATTTGGTGATGTCCGAGAGAGTGTGTAGACCAAGGAGACACCCGGCCTTTTTAAATATACGAGGTCAGTTCAATCGTGCTTCCTCCATCATCCGCGTGCTCAAAGAAACACATGCTGTTTTACTATCCAAAACATGTGCAATACGCTTCTGGTCGGATGCGGGTATAGCCTGGCTTTGGAATCTGTAAGTCAGGGACGTTGACAACACTGTCCCTTTGACAAGATCAGCTACCCTGCCTGGATCATTGTCTCTGTCACGAATGTCGTTGCTGCCGTAGAACGCGGGCTATAAATGGAGGAAGCAAGGGCTCGAGGGAAGGATGGCTTCTTTGGCTGAACATTAGAGGTATGTTACCGAGCCCTTGGACCTCAAACTTTGGTCGTCCCATGGGGCAGTGAATGTTTTGCTGACCGTGGTCAATAATGCCTAGGTAAAGCAATGTCTTTGGAGCTTCCATCGGTGACATGGTCAGATACGTTGTCGCTTGTGCGACTCGATTCGTGTTGTCTGGATGGTTCAAGCGTATGCCGTTGACCCAGCAGAGAAAGTGGCCGAGGCCGGGGCCTAACGAAGGGATGGACGTGGAGAGTACTCTGAAGAACAAGGCATGGCCAAGGAAATCGTACTGGACCGATTCCTCTAAGCCACCGCCTGTTCAAAGGGTTGAGAACTGTTCAGGTTTCTATTGCGTCGCCACCTGTCTCCCTTCTGCCACACCGAGTTGTCTCTCAGTGTCACGTTCGCGAGTTGTTCCACTCTGTTTTTGAGACGTTTGGCCTCGGCTTCTCTCCCTTGCGTCATCCCAGAACGATGAGAACGATGGTACGTTGGCTGTTCTGGAAACATGCAAGAGAATACACTCGATTCGGTGCAGCAACGCCCAAGTCAGGAAGGCGCTGGATGCGGTGAGACAGTATGGACATTCGAATATCTAAAGCGACGCTATATACCGAGTGTCTAACATGGGCTCTCTTCTTCTCGGACATAGGCTGTTTCATTTGGAGCAGCAATCGCTGCCAGTGCTCGCCTCTGCCTTCGCATGGGAGACTACGAGTAGCATGATAAGACGCATAGAAAAGAAAAAAGTTGAGAGTTGAGCTGTTGAAGTCGTTTATTTTTTCCCAATACTATTCTCATCCTGGAACTCCACGCTCCCAACCGTGCCGACGTTGACCGACAAACGACGGTGACAACAATGATTCGCAATGCTTGATGTACCAGCATATCTGTGCCAATGGAAACCTGCTACGCCCTTGCTTTAGAAGCGGGTAAAAGGGAGCCTTTGACTAGTCAGCACAACCTTGCTCAATGTCCAGAAGCAAGGAAAAACTCCAACGTGGAACCACACAGTATACATACCATTTGCCCTTGAGGGTAATGACAACCCACGGGTTCCCTGCCTCATCGGTCTCCTTCTCGACACTGGTGTTGAAGCAGATGGCGCTCATGATACCGTCGCCAAACTTCTCGTTCAAAATGGCCTTGTAGGCGTAACCGTAGTTCTGCACGATCTCGTACAGACGGTAGATGAGCGGCTCAACAGGTGGCATGGGCCCTGCGCGACCACGGTCAGGGAAGGCAGTCAGTTTGGGCTTCAAGGACGCAGCGTCGACGCCGAGAAGTCCCGACAACTTCTCGACATCTTCATCCGACGCTTGCACCTGGCCGTAGAAGATGCCCGCAACCGCCACCTCACTGCGGCCCAGGTGCTTGGCGATAGCCTCAAAGGTATGGCCGCTCTGCGCCTTTGCGTCGAAAAGGACCTGGGAGTGAGGGGGGAGACGATCGGCCATCGAGGGCTAGGATCAGGTTAGCTGATGGCCATTCTCATTATGCATAGGCATTTCGCCCAGGTATTGACTCCTTCACTCACGTCAAGGCTTGCGAGCTTTCCGGACATTGTAGGCTTTAGATGTAGTCTGTGACGTTAATCTGCAAAGTCAACTGTCCAATGTGATGAAACCGTTGCCAAGTTTCGAGTTCGGAGGAAAGTTCGTCCTAAGTGTGGTGAATGAGATAGAACAAGACAGCCAGCTTCAGGTGCAGGTCTGATTATGAATCACAGACATGAGATACAAGTCTGATGTCTCTTTATATAGGTTTCCGCTACCGGGTTATGCGGATACATCGCGTCCGGACGTCATTCATACAGATCGGCCATGGATAATGCGGGGTCGTGAGCTAACAAAAGCATCAGTCTGAAATGCGTCTCTTGTTGGCTGCTGCCGAGGCCGAAGCCGCCCCCTCCGGAGAAAACACGGCGTTTCGGCTTCACTCATAACAAACGGTGCACCGTTGATCTCTTGCAAATCCCGACGAGGAATTGATGACTAATTCCGTATAGTATTCATTATTCATTATGGCGGGCCCCGGGCACACGGAGCTGAGCGGAAGCGGCCCGGTCGGCAAGCACATCCAAGGCTTGGCCCGGGTCGGACTTGATAGAACTGGGGCTGCTGGCCTGGCCCACCCTTCGAGTTTCGCCTTTAGCTGTTGCTGAACAGATAGACTATGCTCTGTTCTACGCAGTTTTGGGAGCTTCTGGGTATTGGCTCCTGATGCTCCTCCCTCTCTTCGAGGGCAACAGATATTGCGTACCCACTGTCTAGTTCCGATCAACAAACTTGAGTAGTCGATACTCCAAAAGAACTGCGTATCCCAAGACAACCCCCAATGATCGCGCTACAAACCCATCGTTGGAGGTCGGGAGTAGGCCGATCAATCTTCCAGTCGCTCCCAATGTTTCAGCAGAACAGTGTTACTGGGTGAGTATGTCCTGTAGAGCCTTGTGGCATTTCCGACACCCACGACCGTCGGCTGCATTTGACGTATTGATCACTCACACACATGGTGTAAGTTGCACTTTCTGTACAGTCCTTTGTGCGGGACCAAAACAGATACTCCTGGCCGACCTATTGCTCGAGAATGGCTCGAATGGCTATGCGGATTCCGGCTCAGCAAACACTTTGCTGGGGCTCAGTTTCTGGTATTGGTGCTGACAGTCCGTCCATATGGCGACATGTTACGTTCTCGTGCAAAAATTCCATCAGGCCGGTACCGTCCGATTGGCAGTGAGCGTTGGCCAACCTCTGAGATCCCATTCTTTCTTGGCACCCTTCAGGTCATCCACATTCAGGATATCGACGCCTTCCCGGATGAGTACATCCCAAATGTGGTTTCTGATACTGATAGGCCACGCGGGAAGATCCCAGTATCGAACCTTCAAGCCGCGAGAGTGAGCTTCCTTAATCTGATTTCTCAGCTTTGTCATCTGCGCCTCCGACAGGTCCCCAAACCAAACAGTACCAATCGCCTTTTTGAACGATACACTGGTATAGAACGAGTTGGTCGGGTTGAAATCGTGGCTGTCCAGTTTGAGAAGAGGGGCGTCGAAGAAGGTATCTCTATAGGTAGAGTTATCGGCGACCAGCTCGAAGGGTGTATTCCCCGTACCGACAACGGTGATAGGTCCATAGTGAATCCTGCCATCCACGACCTTACTCAGCCAACCTCGCTCGCGCAAGGGCTCCAGTTGACGCACCACCTGCGGCCAGGTCTCGGGGCCGCTCGTCTTCAAGTCCACGAGAAGTACCATTGTTTGTGTTGGGTTCGCCTCATAGATACCTCGAGGAGACCTCTGGGTGGAGTTGTCGAGGTCCATGTTGCGTTCCTCCAGTAGTCGAACGAGGGGATCGACGTAAAGGTTCGTGAATGTGTTCTTCTCGTGAAGGGACCACTTGTTGTGGCCAACAAACAGCTCGGTGCCATATAGCCAAACATCAGCTTCGATGCCGATGCAGCCTACTTGGAGAGCATCGTAGATTGGCCGTTTTCTCCAGTAGTCGTTATGAGAGTGACAAGGTATGGGCACGACGACGCTCGCTTCTTCAAATTCCTCAGGCGTAGTGTCCCAAACCTCACGGGCCACGAACAGAACTAGGTTCAAGAGAACGAATATCAACCTGTTCAGGCATCAGCTAAACATCCCCGAGTTTTCTCGGTCAGAGAACCTACAGCATGGCCAACCAAACAGCGCCGCACATGAAGAAGGAACGCTTCCGTGTCCAGGGCTTCGGAATCATGTAGGCAGGAGGCAGTAACTCGTCCTCGGAAGTGTAGCTTTCGGCTGGAGTCGGCGGCACCTCAATATCCCTGTCACCTGCGACATCGCCATCTTCGGATGAGTCTCTGTACCGGGCCATCGTGTTGCTCTCTCGGGACCAAAATAGACGGAAGCGATCACGTACGGCGTCGATACCGGGGCTAACAGGGGTGGACATCGTCAAATGGTGGTAATATTCGAGTTACGTCGATACTCTTCAAGCAACTGAAAGGCACGAATTGACGGCTGCTGACCCAAATTCAATGCTGCAATGTTGCAGGGCGCAATCGTAGAGGTACCCGAGATGTTCCTACTGAGAGGACATGCCGGAATTGTGACTAGCCGGGGATAATCTCTGGTGTCCTGAGTGCGGCAAAACTCTGAATGATAAGACGTGGTCTAAGTCTGTCAGAGGTGGAGGCGAAGAAAATTCAAGGGTAAGAGGGGAGGTAGGTTTGTAATATAACACAGAAGTGGTAGTGGTGTTCAGTTGTGCACAAAGAGGGCAGCAACAAAGGCGAGAATCAAGGGATGCAGACGTTTGCAGAGAGACCGAGAGAAGGAGGAGTCGTCGAAAGGAGAAACACCAAATATAGCAGGAGCTATCGCGGTGGCTTTAAAGCTTGGGTTGCTGCTTGCTTTCAGAGTGAAAGGGAACCCGCAGCTACCTTGTCAATCACCATGAGGTTGGTCCGGGTACTTCGAGTCGAAAAGGCAGGGCGGGATGGGGAAGGTCATATAAAGGTTTAAACGGCAAGTAGATCCGAGCATGGATAGGGATGATTGGGGGCTAAGGATGGTTGAGAACAGACTTTTAGAAGAGCTGAGGGGTCTGAGAGCGGGACAAGAGATACACGAAGGACAGGGTGAAGAAAAAGAGACGGGGGGTGGCTGGTGAGAATGTGGGCAATACGCCGTACGGTGGGCGGGACTGGCGTCTGGCGTCTGGCGTGTGGTTCCAGAAGATGTGATGTTTCCGGTTATGCATCTGTGTGAGTGAGTGAGTACGTGTAAGCGCGTGAGGTACAAGTGAGTGAGCGTATTGTCTGGGCCGTTCATCAGCGGCTGGCTGTGTGAGGCAAGTGTCTCGAGAAGAAGGTACTCATACTAGTCAGGTGGCGGCGCATTCAAGCATTTCCAACCCATCCATGTCACCGTCCCACGGCGAGGGAGGGGGCGATCAAGGAACACTACCATGAGCTTAGTTAGCCCAAAGTTGGTGGGGGGTGCGGGACCCGAGGGATTGTCTCTGGCGCCTGGTTTGTTTGTGTTTGCTGCCCTGTCTGGGGAGGGGGGTTTGGCCAAGGCCAGAGCCCGCATTGAGTGGATGCAATTGTGAGGATGGATCCGAGTGTCAGTTATTGTTTTGTAGTGTAGATATAGTGAATGCGGGTATCAACTTCGTCAGTCATACGTGGTACCGGTACACAAGGAGACGCATCGTGTCAGGACATTGAGGTACCTCTTGAGGTAAGGGAACCTTCAAAGAGACGCTCGGGGCAAATAGGGCCCACCGAGAAAAGTGAGGCCAGGCCCAGGAAGAGAAGCAGCAGCACAGCTGAGCATGGATGATGACCCTGCGACAGCGCAGCAAGTTCCTGTTGTCGTTAGGCGCAAAACAAGAGCCCCAAACTAAGGTTAATCAGCATATCCCCCAAACCAGAATGGTCGTGTCGGAATGCCTCAGTCGAATGGCGACAGTGAGCCCATCGGGGCCTAGCCCACAGGGAAAGCCCTGCCCCTTCGCCGATAAGCTTAGCACATATTCCGTAGTACCCAACGCTAAGTCAATGATTCGAGGTGTTTGTACTGTATGCAAGTGGACGAATTGTGCTTTTCGGGCCCCCTTTCCCAAGGTCCCCAGATCCAGATGGGAGAAAAAGATGAGGTGCCAAGACAAGTCAGCGCCGCACAGAAGTGCAAGAAACCAAGACTTTGGACGTATTACTCCACGTTCAAGCCGGACAGAAGAGGGGAGGAAAAAGAAGAAGAAGAAAAAAGGGGACCAAAAAGGGACCACGTCTGGGCCTCCAATCCAGTCCAACAGCTGCGCCTACAGCCACGGATACGAGTTTCTCAGTGGTCAACTGTCTGTCCTCTGCACCTGTTCCCGGCCGCCGCATCCCCCGCGTGGCCCGTGCCAGCGCTGTCTCGACCCCTTGTAGAACCACCCTTTAGCCTTAGAAGGTGTGGGCACGTAGCTCGTACACATCAATAGATTGGGTCTCACATGGGTCTTTCTCTCTTTCTTCCTCTATTTACACCGTCGTCTCTCCTCCTCCTTTCCCCCACCGCCTTAGCACCAGTGAAGCCATTCCCATCCGAGCACGTGGCGCAGCCTATAGGCGGATAAACAACCTAGATACTCTAAGCGCCTGCCAACTACTACCCTTTTCCATGTACCTTGTCTGTCACGCGCACCCTGTTTTCACGTAGGGTGCTGTGCTACCCTGCGGCGTTTTCCGCTGCATCACTGCTGGCGCATGAGTATTTCACGTTGGCGCCGCACCGGACCAGACTGGGCCATCCCCAAAGTCCCCCTCCCCCAAGACTGAGCGCCATACACTAAGACCCGGGGGGGACCAGACCGAATTTGCCTATTACAAATTGCATCGGTCCCTCGTGGCTGATGAGTCCGCACGTAGTAAATGCTCGACAATGGGCACAGACTCACTCGACAGTGATGCCGTGGGTCGCGCGGCACATGCAGTCTCTGTCCTCCCGCCAGACGCACCAACCAGATGCCATATGCCATGCCGTCGTGGTATACCTGTGTGTGTGTGTGTGTGTGTTCGACTCGACCTGATCGTGGGCTGCCTGACCGATGATTCACCCGAAGGGGACGAGAGGCACGGAATGGTCAAGGCGGTTGAATACGTACGCAAACTCATCAGCCGCAGACACTGAGACACGCCTGAAAACATCTTCCAGTGTCACAAATTCAGACGGTCGCAATTGACTTTGTCCCCTCTTCGTCAACGGCCGTTCGATAACCCCGACACGCGAAACAAAAGAAGCCGAGTTTGAGCATTGCGCGTTTTGTTTGGGACAGAATCGGGTTTCTCTGCCCTACGTCCGCAGCACAGCCCATCGTGCTGCGACTTCGACCACCATGCGCACCTGGGACATGGCGGCGTCTCCGTAACTGACTTGATGGCTGCACCTGGCGTCATTTAGCATCCTCAGTACCGTCACCGAGCTCACGAGAAACACTGACCATGCCTCACCCACATTCCGCAGGGCATTCCAGCGTGAGGTAACCTAACGAGTTGAACCAGAGCGAACTACCTCAGGTATCCCGCCTTAATTACTCGGTTGAACAAGCTTTCACCCAACGCGCTTCGGCTAAGACGCCGGTTCTACCATCCTTCGGCTTATGCTAAATGGTGCCTCTGGGTAAGGTGTTGAGACGACGCGAGGATGCAAGAAAAACTTTCTAGGCCAAGCACTCGAGAGGACCAAAACTTCTGCAGGCGGCCACCTCGATCCCGAGCAGAGTTTCCGTTCCTCCATCGGGATGAAGCCAGTCCATGTGCTGAAGAACTGTCATTGATCAGGTGCCAAGATGCCAGATTGTGGGATTCCCGCTTGTGATCTCTCGACTGTGGATCGCCCCTGGGACCTCTTGCATGGATACCCCTGCCATATTCGCATCGATTACAGGGAGCTGGTTTCATTGAGCGGGACAAAAGTCTGAGGTCCATGTAGTGTAAGAGCGGCGTCAGTTGTTATCAGATAAACCTTTTCTTATCTACGCTGACATAATCCAAAATTTTCGAAAAAAAAAGTCCTTCCAGGATCATCACTAGCCACCCGTGTCGCATCCCATGTGCCCGCCTCATTTCATCGGCAAGGCTTGACGACGACGCGTTTCTCGACTGAATCGTTCATTTACCGGTGACATCAATCAAAAATGCCTCATAAGCACACAAGAAGGGATCACGATCCAGCATCGTATGTTTCGCCCGCCCCAAACAACATGGCCCATGCTGACCCCTCGCTGCAGGTTCGATCTTCCTCCATCCCAGATCGCGAGGCCGTTGCCCGTTCAACAGAGAAGCCGGAAAGCTCTGGCTGCCGCTGCCAAAAATGGCAAGAACGGAAAAAACCCAAAGACAGAGAATGATGGAGTCAAGAAGAGAAAGGGTCGTAGCAAAGATGACGACGCCCCAAGAGCGTTTAAGCGTATGATGGCGCTGGCATCCGGCAAGAAACAACGGTCCGGCCTCGACAACGGCGAAACGGTAAATCAGAAGAAGAAGGCGGCCAGGAAAGCTGCTGCTGCGGCCGAAAACAAAGACGAATCCGGCGGTCATGTCGATAAGCCCGAAGTGCCGACCATCCGTCCGGGAGAGAAGATGTCTGATTTCTCTGCGCGTGTTAACGCTGCTCTGCCGCTCGCTGGTTTGGTCAACAAGACGGAAAGGGGTGGAAAGGATCCTCTAGGGCTCAAGGTCCATAAGACGCGGAAAGAACGCAAGATGCATAAACTCTACGACCAGTGGAGGGAGGAGGAGCGAAAGATCCAGGAGCAGAAGGAAGAGGAACTGGAGGAGATTGCCGAACGCGAGCTGGACGAGGAGATCAACGGCGGTACTTTTGGCAACTTTGGCCAGACATCCACAGCCTTCTACGAGCCAGGTCAGGACGGCAAGAAGAAGAAGAAGAAGGGCAAGAAGGGCAAGGGGGCAGACCGCGAAGAAGATCCATGGGCAGTGCTCAAGAAAATGCGCGCAGAGGCTAAGGTGGGACTTCACGATGTCGCGCAAGCGCCGCCAGAGCTTCACAAGGCCGGACGAGACAAGCTCTTAGTGCGCGGTGCTGCAGTCGATGTTTCCAACGTGCCCAAATCTGCGGGGAGTTTGAGAAGGCGTGAGGAGCTTCAGGAGATTCGGGACCAACTGGTCTCGTCATACAGGAAAAAGAGGGAGGAAAAACTAGCTCGTCTTGCTGCCGAAGCTTCCCCTTCCACCTCATAAGATACCCGAAGTAGTATTTCATCGTTCATGAATCTGATGCAGATACTTTAGTGCATAGCTGGATCCTTCTAACTTCACCATGTGCACATCAATGGTGGACTGTCCATGTTCACAGTCGCCATATCTGGTGCCGTTGATTTGATGAATTTGAGGGATGGTCGGCGATTTAGGTCCGTGCCCGCCGATCGCTGGAAGAAAGACCGACCACCGATACAGCATCACGTGCCTTTCCTCAAGCGCTGGAAACACAAATCTCGCTGTACCAGCCACAGTTCCCCACCTCAGTCTGCAATTTCACCTTTCCTGTGCCAAGGGTCTCGACACCCAAGTGGTAGCTCCCATCCCCAGCGGGGTCCCGACGCTGCACCTGCACCTGCACCTGCCACCAAGTCCCGTCTCTCCACCCACTCCAGCAGACCTCGTCGGCCGACTCAAACGCAGAAGAGGCAAGGGACAAAAAAAATTAAGGCCAGAGGAAATTCCGACCAACCCCGAACGCCATTTTCAAAAGCCTCGGGTTCGAGTTGCCCTTGTCGACCTTCCACGCTCAAATTCTATGCAGTTTTTTCTCTCCATCAAGTCGCCCACCTAAGAATGTCAAAACGGTACCAACGGTCATAATGTCTCGCGACCTTGAGCGACTGATAGAGTCACTCATTACTGACATTTCATGTTACGGTGATTTGGGTGAGTGAATCCTGCTGCTTCACTAAGCGAGAGAACTGGGTCGCAGCTCGTTTTCATGTTTTTCACCCTAACCCGCTTCTTGCTTCTCATGTTGCAAGTGCAACAAGTTGGAAGACGTAAGGTTTCGTCTACGTTCAAAATCCTCGGACATAATATCATATCCATCTCTCAGCTAGCACATTGCTTCACTTACTGACAGGCGACGATAGGATGCACTGTGTCGCATGTACTTGAATCACTCGGCACATTTTACAAAGACACTCAACCCAGACAAAATGCATCCGCAAACCCTCTCCCTCAATCAACACCCGCGGAGCCAGAGCATCTCCTTTGGTCGACGGCTTGGGACTGGCTCAGAGCAAGGAAGGATATCTCTGTGGGAGCGAATCGGAAATGGAACCACCTGGCTCTATCCGATATTCTCGCTGTACCAGATACAGACTCTCAGAATGTGTTGACGGTACCTGGTACATCAGGACAGTCCCTGGGAACAGCACCGAACGTCTCTCAACCCAAGGAGCAACCTCAAATGATGGCACGAAAAGACGTTCCCCGGAAGCGACCCCGAATCTATGTTGCTGAGGACCGCATGTGGGAAGCCATCGCTGGACACGCGCCTGACTATCGAAGAGTCCCGAGACTAGAGTGGATGGCCTTGGTTGGCATCGCATCCACGAAGCAGCAGGGCATTTTGCAAGGCGATCTAGGCCGACTTGTGGGCCAAGACAAACGGTCGCTGCCTAAGAGAACTGACGCGCTCGCCGATAAGGGGTACATCTCGAAGCGTACGACTCTCGTCAGGGGCACCAAAACGAGCAAGATGTGGTTGACGCGCTTCGCCCCAGCCCTTCCGACCAACCCGCTCAAAGCGGTCGCCAGTTTGCACACAACTGTGGATATGTCTCGGGATGCCCTCGCACGCGATTTGGAACCCGTCCCATGGCGCAATAGGTGGAACGGGGATTCGGTCGACTACATCTCTCTCGCTCAGACAATCATGGCTGTTGTCAAGGCGTTCGGAATTATCAGATATCACGACCTGCGCTGCAAGCTGGGCATCCTAGGTTTGAGGTGGCAGATGAAAGTTGCAGCAAAAACCTGTCGCTTCTTTGTTCAGACTGGTGCTATTCAGTATGTTGGTGCTACCTTGTCCGGCAAGCTCTTCAAGGACTGTCTCAAATTCGACCATGACCTTACGCATGAGGATTGGGCTGCCTATCTTGCTACAGGCAAGCAGAAAAGCATCTCCTTCTCAACCGCGGACTTGGGTGATGCGGACATTGGGTCTGGTCCGACAGACACAGCTGTGAATGCCGACCCCTCAAACCCTGAACCTGCTCCCCGTCGCGACACTAACAAGCGCACCAATTCACGGACCAACTGGTCGCCAGATAAGCCCCTGATTATCACCGTCTTCGACAACATCTCGGCTGCTGGCGCTGCGGGTCTTTCCAACAAGCAGATAGGAGACTCTACACTGGGATCGTCATTTCGAAGGTACTTGTCCTCGATTTCGTCGACAATTTCTCTTCCAACACAGCAACCCAAGCATCTTGGGCACTTCCAAGTGACGAGTGAGATGCATCGGAAGGGAAAGTCTCAGCAATACCGCTACTTTGCACAGGGCTCGCAGCGGGCTGCTGAGCCGATCGCTGTCGAGCAAACAGTTGATGGCGAAGCCAACAGCCATTCCATGGCTGACGCTGTCCCTGGTGATACTTTAGCAGATTCTTTCACAGACCCAGCTCTTCTCCCCGATACGGCCCGAGCCGCTGGCGGCTTGGCGGCCCTCGCCCATGTTTCCGGCAGAGGGCTGAACGCCATCTCGAAGAGAAGGGCTGAGGTCTTGGAACTCCCACAAGCCAAAGAAAGTCGAGGGATGGGGCCTCGCTCTACAAAGCGGGCGAAGGTATCAGAGCAGGTCGAGGATGAAGCCATGGACGACAGTGGCTTTTCGGGGAGGGTCGGCTCTGAGCCCGAATCTGAACAAACCGTTAGACTTTCGACCAGACGCGGCACGAGAAAACGACTTGTCGAAAACGAACTGACATCGCTGATAGTCACCCTTAAGGTAGACCCCGCAGCATTGTCAGATTTCTTAAGAACCACAAAGACGAAAGCCGAAGTCAACGCCTTTTCTGATACCAAGCATGTCGACAATACTAGAGAAACCAACAAAGCTACACACGCTACCTCTGAGGAAGCTACCCACTCGTCAACGCTCTCAGCGAAAGATGCACCTCCAGAGAACCCCTCGATCGAAGAAAGCACAGTTTCTACTGACGCCCTAGATGTAGAAGAGTCGATTATGGTAGCTCCGGCAATTTCGGGTGAAGATGTGGACATGGACGATACCGAGGTTGTCAATGAGGACCCCATTGACGAGCCCCCTTTGAAGCGTGGAGGACGCCGCAAGAAGAAACAGGCGACAAAGTCTTCGAACCGCGGTCGCTCCAAGGTCTTCAAGTGCGACAAGTGTGGTGGGACGTGGAAAAACGACGTTGGCATCAAATACCACCTCGAGAAATCGAAGACCACCTGCAACCCAAGCTATCTCCCACCACTATCTGGACCTCCTGAAGCTCTGTTCTCAACCGCCAAACGTTCCACTCCAGCTAAACGAGCAGTTGCTGTCCCTCGGCAAATCCAGTCTCGCCACTCGAGGTCGTCAGCCATCGCTGAAGCTCCAGATGACGACAACCAGGATATAGATCAAACACTAGAGGATTCAATATTGACGGTTGACCCGGGAACAAGCACCGGCTCTCTCAGAAGCAGAAACATGCGACGCTATGGAGCAGGACAACCTAACGCATCGTCAGAGAACAGACAGAGTGTGGGGAAGGGTATGGTTAGACGACGAAGGAGCACCAACTCGGCCTCATTTCTGAAGCCACCCGTGTCTTCAACCCAGTCGTCCATGAGCGGGTTGATTGATAATGCTGCTGGAGGAGTGAGAGACATGCCAGCAGAACACACGCCCGTCCAGCCAGCCTTCAAGAGGTCACGAATAGAGGATACCCCAAACGCCGACGAATTAGATACCTCTCCGGAACGTCGTAGACAGGGCTTTGCCGGAATGGATGAGCCCGAACAACCGTCTCCATCGATGCCGAAGAAAAGTCGTGGTAGTTTTGGGCGGAGAGACTCATCTTCAGGTCCTGCTAAACAACGCTTTGTGCGGAATACCACTCGCAATTCCAAGGCGGTAGAATCCAGGGGAACACCTTCATCAGGAACTGGCGGTTCTCAAATATCACATACTGAAGCATTGGGGGCTAGTCTTAATGATAACGGTGCTCTATCAGAGCTCGAAATCATGGAGAGGGCCCTCCTGTACATACTCCGTGCGAACGGCGGAGTCTTCGCCGGCGGGCAGTCACTATGGTACGCTGTCATTGCCACATGGGAAGCTGCATTTCCTTCGGAAGAAGCTCCTGATCACCAACGTTACAAGGATGCTCTGGCCAGATTGGCCAAGAAGAAACAGGTAGTGGTCAGCACCCATGCCTTCAAGGACTCACGAGGCATGATGGCAAACTACCAGTTAATACGAATTCCCGGAGTGGATGCATCGTCTCCAGCGGGTGTGGCCATGAAAGCCAACATTGTTGCCAAACACCCAAGAGTGTACACACCGCCCGCTTTCACGCCTAAAGCAGGGCTTCCCGCAGAGCACAAGCATGACGCTCAGCCTGTATTTTCCAGCCGTAGGAAATTGGTACAGGGAATCGAGGTTCTTGACGCTCCATTCTATGCCACCAAAGCTGCCAACGAAAGACCAGTCACCCCTCCTGAAGGCTTTCAGACCCCCAAAAAGCGCAGGAGAAGGATGGTCACGAAGGAGCAGCTCACTCATGCCGAGGACGAAGGTCCTGACGGCAAACGCAGGAAAGATATCTTCCGCATATTCATGGACGGACGGGGTGGCCCGAGTGACGGGCCTTCGGCCTCGTCAGGAAACTGGAATGGCGGCTTTACTCCTCGGCTTGTCTTCCTCCGCCCTAACACCTACTTGGGGCAAGAGATACCAGAGGATGTTCGGTCTGCATTACGACCTGATCTTCTAGATCCAGAGCCGACGTATCCCGCAACGTTGGTGGAAAGTGGCATTGTCAACAACTATAATGTCACGTTCGCTGACGCCGATGCGATTGTGGGCGAGAATGGCACCTGGCCAGCATATGACAACAGCTTCTTCGAGGTGGAAGATCGCAGTCTGACGATTGGTGGCTGGATGCCGGACTCTCGATGGTTTTTGAGACAGAACCTGCCGCAAAATCTGGCCGAGATGATCAAGTGGCGCGGCCGGCCCAAGACCAGCTTCCCAAGCAGCAGCCAGTACTACGAGTTCACAGAACAGGTCGACGCATGCTTCGATTGGGAACTGTCTACCGAGGGAATGAAGCTTCTTTTGGCCGAATCAATTGCTCCTGATCATGTCTTTATTAACCACGGTGTTGGCGACCTTCCGGGTGAATGGGAGAACCCGCCGCTTGAATGGGATCCTGCCAACCAGCTCAATCCATCTGCCCTATTCGACATACAAATATCAGAACAGGCGACGACTGCAACCGATCATCTCTGGGGCGGTGAACTTGGTCGTCAAAGAAGGCGGAAACGGCGACAGAACAAGCTCGCAACCGAACCAAAGGAGCTTGTCGTCGGTATTGATTTGAAGATCAGAACGCTTATACCTCTTCCCAGGGACATGGATCTGAGAGACGTATCGAGACGCAATGCTGGGCTTGATGAGACAAACGAGACCATCTTGATAGCAGCATTTGTTGTCACGAGAACACTTTTGGGTGGCGCCGATCGAATTATCGAATGGGGTCTAATGATGACTTTGTTTCCTGATATGGCACTCAGCGCTATGCGACGATTTTGGTCGAAGGCTCGAAAAGACCGAGGTACATTCATCAACCAGCTTACGGAACGATTCCAGATTCAGTTCATCTCCGCATACGAGAACAACGAGTTCCCACCCATCAATTTCGACGACTACATTGGTTACGACTGGCCTCGCCTCATCAAGTGGACAGCTGGTTTGATCGAGGATTCGCAGGAACTACCAGCCAGCAAGGCTGCTTTGGAGCGTGGTTACTCTCTTGGCTCGGCATGGACGGATGTTACCAACTGGCGCGACGACTACTACAACTTCCAGATGTCCGTCTTCAACCGATTCGAGGCGGCAACCTCACGTCCAGCGACGTCTCTCGTGGACAGGAACAACGAGTTGGTGTCGAAAGCAGACGCTGACGATCTTGTCACAGCCATGTCATGGCTCCGCTCCCTTTGTTACACACACCGCGATAGGTACGCGCCCCAGGATATCAGGAAAAAAATGGCGAGCATAGGGGGCGGAAACGAGGACCGCATTCAATCCTTGCTTGAGCAGGCAGTCGAGACCCTCCAGGGTCAAGGTGTGATCACGGACAGCAAGCTCAAGGCACTCGAGGGCCGGCCGTACCGCCTTACAGAGACATTCCTGCCAAGGTTCATGAAGTGGACTCATGCGGTCAAGTTCATCGATGCCGCCAGGTTCAAGTCTCAGCTTGACGGGAGCTTCCGGCGAGGCGAGAAGATTCGAATCCCGTACGTGTTAAATGACGGTGAGGTCATGGCTATGATGAACCTACAGGCCAGCGGGCGAGTCATCGTTACCACAGTGGATGTACCGAGCATCCCTCTTGGGTTCGATCCGGGCAACTACGAAAGCAGAAAGTACCCCAAGTCGTACTACAACTTTGGCCTAGAGATCGCGCCCACAGAGACATACATTTACGACGAGGACCTGGACATCCTCCGCCAGGCAAAGGGCGACAAGCCGCCGAGGGAGAACCACAACCGCGCGATACCTCTGTGGTCAGATTTCTTTGGAGAAATGAACACAGACCGCTGGTCTCAGGTTCTCGGCGCGGTTGCGTTTGTTATCGCAACACGGGGGCCTCTGGACGTTCCGTCCGTCTGCGCCGTGCTCAAGCCATACCTACAGGAGTTTGAGGTGCAGATGGTGTTCGACTGGGGAAAACGCAACGGGGTGTTAAAGCGAATGGCCCATGGGGCGAGTTGTACAGTCGACGAGTGGTGGTGGTTGCTGATCGGAAGGCAGCGAGCCAGTGCTGTATAGTCGGCGCGAAGGGACACGATCCGAGGAACTGAAGAGACACCCTTGCAAATGCTTATTGCCAAGACAGTTCTATAACAGCATACCCGAACGTTGCGTAGACGGGCGATTGGCATGACGGCCCTTGTAGCAATAACTCAACATCTAAGAATATTCGAGTATTGAGAAAACTTTGAATACCAAGCTAGTAAAAATGCCGAACACCGTATGACCAGACACCAGCAAATAAATCAAACACCATGTCGCCCACCAGGCTTTGGGTGGAAACGGGGCCCGGATCCCATGACAGCAAAAGGAAACATAAGAACAACAAGTACAAACAGATCCCTACTACATATCAAGTAAGACCTTGAGAATCATAGCCAGCAGAAGTACGACGAGCACGACAATCGCTCGATCAATCCAAAGCGGAACACCCTCGTCGTAGGCACGAGCAGCTGGAGGAGCTTGCTGACGTACACTAACATTCGGAGCCGGGGGCAACGAAACTGTCCTCGTAGGGGCGGGGATCCCCTGACCCGGACGAGCAGGAGGATAAGATACCGCCGAAGTTTGTGAAGCTGGCGCCGTACTCGGGACTGCTGCGTTTGTCTCGGGCGCCGTACGAACAAAACCCTCCGCCAGCTCGGCGCTCTCTGTATCAACCGCTTCAGTCCTCGGTGCCACCGCCACCGCCGCCGCCGTCGTGGTCGCCTCCTGGCCCTCTTCTGAACCCGCCGCAGCCTTGGTCAACTCGTCCTTGTAGCTCAACTTCAGTTCGGACGGGATCTCAACTTCGGTCGTGGCTTCAGAGGAGTCGGCGTTGGCTTTGGCGGCCTCTTCGCACTCTCGAATGATTTCGATATTGGTTTTTGCGCATGTTGAGCACTTGAACGCATGTGATGCTGTGGCGTGGCGCTTTCGTACGGCGTCGCTTGTCTCGAGACCGCCGAGTTGACCTCTGGGATCCGTCTCCATGAAACTTCGCAACCTGTTGCTTTAAGTTAGGGCTACTCGCGGATGCGGGTAAGAGGGCAAGAGGAGGGAACGCACGCTACAAGTGCCGTCCTCACGCCCCAAGCGGGCTGCCATGTCTCCTCGTGGTGGCCGCTGATACTCAGACAGATCTCGCGGTTGGTCTCGAACCGGCCGCTCGGCGTCAGGAAGCGGAAGCTTGGCGGGCGGAGGGGGTAAGTGGGGGGCAGCACGATGCGGCCGTGGTAGATGCCTTCGCTGTAGGACGAGTTGGGAGGGCCTCTGAAGGTGAAGTGCCATTCGAACAGGTCTGATTCTATCGGGTGGCCGTGTAATCTGGCGACGGGGAGCTGGAGAGCTCTTGTGCTTCACGTACTGGGTTGATCGACAGGTAAGCCAGGCATGTCAGAGGAGGGGAAGGCGTCGCAGGGAACTCTTACGTATACGTCGTATCGTAGGCGACTTGGAGTTGAATTTGGGAGTTGCCATGATGGACGATTGGGTGGTTGAAGGACCCTTTGGTGAAATGTGTTACTGCTAACGTTAATACGCCGATTCTCTGATTTGAATGGCGAACAAGAAGATAGAAAGGTTTAGAAGATGGTGACTGTGAAACGATGCATGCACGATTCGGGCGACTTTCAAGGCTATAAGGAGTGACAAACAAGGTACAGACTGTAGGTTTGAGAGTAACTCCGCTGGCCGAGGGCTCAAAGGAAGTGTAAGTATTATTGAAGGGATGCGTGTTGACGGGATAGGTGGCTCCAACTACGTCGCGATAACCAATTGGGGGGTTTATCGGGAGATCCAACGTCGCGGAATCCACGAGCGCTGACGCCGCTAACTGATGCCAAGGGGGGGCACGCCTTTGTGCTGCAGAAAGGCGCGGATGGTCTGTGAAAGAGAGAGGCCTGTATCCGCCCCGCCCCGGGGGTTGCCAGTGGCTTTCGAGGCCCCGCTCGCTCTGAACACCACTGGAAGCCGCGGAGGGTGTCTCCGCTGAGTTGCAGACCCAGGGTACGTACCGAAGGGCAGCAGAAGCAGGGGGCCACCTCCAAATGTACTTTTTGCCATTGGCTCAGAGCGGTGCTCCGTCAGTCTCAATCCGACTTACCTAAGCACCTAAGGCTCAAATCGCTTTCCACACTGTCGGTCTTGAACGACGGTCCGACACCCTACTACCCAGCATCCCCCATCACGACTTGAGCTTCTCGACGTCCCCGCCAGCGAAGTTCCGAGCGCCTAGTGACCAAGGTGATACTCGAGTTCCGTAAACCAACCAAACTGAATCAATTGAGTCCTTTGGGCGGGCAACTAACGATCGCAACTGCAGGATACCGACTTCTCTCATTCCCGAAAGAAGCTTTCTCCTACCCAAACGAGACGCGCCCGGGCGAAACCACCACCTTCACGATGTACCCCGGCCCCAAGCCCCCAACGCCTCACGTCCCTGGCATCTACCGCTTCACAGCGACTGCCCTGGGCGCCGGCATGTGGTTCTTTGTGCGTCCTCTCCCTCCGGCTTTCAACGACTCCGAAAGCCTGTGACATACTGACGTGCTGCACCTTCCACAGTTAATGTACCGCGCGAAGAAGGACGGTTCGTTTTGCTCTATACCCGATAGGGCCGTTACAATTGTAGACATGCTGACGGATCATACGCAGGACCCGTGTTGTTGGGCTGGAAGCACCCTTGGGACCACTGAATAAGACGTCGAGTTAGAAGTTTGGGCAGATAAGTTGGTGTTTTGCATGGGAAACAGTGACGGCGACAAGAAATCGTTTCTTTCGCTAGAGCTGCCAGTCGGACACGTTCACGTGGAAGGGGAAATGGCTGTTCTATTATGGGTACAACCTAAATCTACCTTGAACGCGAATCGTTGCTCGATCCACTCCACGTCTGTGTATTCAGTTGCTGGGCTTCTCGAAGAGGTAGTGCGCCACGCCCCAGGTATCCCCGCCTTGGTAGGCGAACAGCTCAGAGCACGCCATATAAAATATCTGCCACCGGTTGTACCACACGCTGGCGTCCTGTTCACCGTACGTCTCGACCAGGTGCGGCCAAATCTCCTTCTTGTGGGCGATCATTTTGCTTAGCCAATCCTGTGATGCCAGTGTCAGTTGTTGGTCCCCCTGCACCTAACTCGGGATGATAGGGAGGCAATAGGGAGTGCAATACCGACCTCGCATGTCTTGGAGTAGTGCTGGCCGTTGACCCACCACTGCTTTTGGATTTTGAGGTCCCTCTGGAAGAAAAGGAGGAGGTCAGTGGATGGCATGGTGCCTCCGGTGAAGAAATGAGTCGTCATCCAGCCCTCCTCGCTGAGTTTTACAAGGTCAGAGATCACTGTGGAAGCATGATAAGAATGTAGCTGCCACTCACTAGTCGTATGGCGTGGTTTTGTGGGCAAATATGTGAACAAACAACTTGCCGCCAGGTTTCAGTGCCCGCCCGACCTTAGCCATGAGCAGCTCATAGTTCTTCATGTGCTCGAACAGCTGTGGTTTCCTGTGTCAGCAGCAGTTCAACCGCCGAGAGGCGAGAAAATGATGGGGGGCGCATACCTCAATGGAGACAACTCGGTCATACGATTCTTGGTCAAACTCGTAGTCAACTACGTTGCCGGTGATGACAGTGAGGTTCGTGAGCCCCTTCTCCTTGGCTTTGGCGTCAATGTACTCCTTTTGCGTCTTTGAGTTGGAAAAAGCCGTGACCTTGGAGTTGGGGAGGACTTCGGCGAAATAGAGCGCACCTGATCCCCAACCGCAGCTATGAATATCAAGTCAGTTTTGGCTGTTTGATATACCTTCTCTCCCTTCGAAAAAGGCAGGCTGTGACCGGGATAATGGAAAAGGCGACCAACCCAAGGTCCAGAATACTCATGCCGTCCTTCAACTCGGCCTTTTCGACGTAGGTCTGCAGCATAGCTACCTCGGCTTGAGCCAGCGTCTCGCGGCCCTTAGGGTACAAACAGGACGAGTACTTCATGCGGGGTCCCAGACATGCAGCGAGAACGCCGGTGCCGACCTCGTAGTGCTGCTTGTTGGCAGTGGCGGTTTCGATGGCGATGGGTTGGGTGCGAAGCTTCTCGATGAAAGTCATCTTGCGCTCGTAGTCAAGGCTAAGAGACGTGCTCGCGATAGAGTCGAGGCGCTCCTGGAGCTGCCGCCGGATGCCTATCCTAATGACAGCATGGGGCAAGTAGCCGCTGTCAAGGATCCAGTCTGGATCAACGTGTCAGAAGCAATTTCCAGTGTAATCCGACGATGGGCCGTCTCATTTGAGCTGCTGCAGTGGGTGGGACATTGACACTCACCCGTATTCATATCGAGTGTAAGTCGACCAGAAATGCCTCCTATCAGCTTGTTGTATGATGAGAGTGAGAAGAATGGGGAGGCAAGTTCGCCCTGGTCGTCGCCACGATGTTTATCCTCACCGCCTGTATGATCTGAGCCCGGGAATGTTAAACGGTGCTATGCTTCGAAACCGGAAGGGGTGTCCGAGCACACAGGGTATGTGAGGGTATCAGGTACACCGATATTGGATGTGTTACGGAGGGTACCTCGACAAGATTGACTGGCACAAAGAATTCAAAGGAGAAGCAATTAGTAGATCAACGAGCACAAGAACGGTTTCATTCCATCAGTACAGATGTGACTCGACAACGGGCTGTGGTTGCGGTGGTAGGTTGCACGACGCAGCTTTAATCCAGCCCCGAGGGGCTCGGAGCCGGGCTGACCCGCTTGGGCTAGCTCGGCATCGGAATGCGGGTCTTTGTGGACCATCAATGACACGTCCATGTTCGTTTTGCCTACCCTGCGCTGCCTGTTGTAGCTCTTATGGCTTCTAGATAACATGCACATTGAATCAGTCGCAACTGAAATGGAATGGCGTGATGTGAATTTTCAAGACCTCGACAAGCTCTCTTGCGATGGCAGCGGCAGTATACGCACATAATTCAACGTAAACTAATGCTATGGTCTGACCTATTCTGACAACAAGAAACCCGACTAGCTCGATCAACATTACGACCTCGAGGTGGTCGAGAAGTCGTGAATCTCCTACACCTGCATGTTTTCCAAAATGATCTTGTACTCCTTCCTTTGTTTGGGCCTATTCAGGACCCGTTCCTTGAAATATCCCGCCGCCCGAGCCAGCTTCTGAAAGATGTATTTTTCCGATGTCCACGCCGCTGCGAAGTAAACGCCTCCTAGAATAATCATGAAAACCTCAAAGTCCCAGCTTGTCTTGGTAAGCTGCATCAAGTGTCGTACTGAATGTGCAGGTCCAACAATCATGTATAGTGTGATCAAAAGAGTCGCCGCAATGGTTGCCATGAATGGCCCTGGTAGAAGTTAGCAAACTGCGCGATCTTGAAAATTGCAGTACCGACAATTCTTCACCGCTTTCTCTCTGAAGGGCGGGCCAGCATTGAGTACCACGCCCGCTAGGATGTACTCGAAGCAAGACACCAAGAACAGGACTGTGTTTTCCGAGTTCTTGATGTTTGACTTATCATGGTTGACCCGGGGCGGAATATACCTGTTTCGTGTGAGCAAACATGGACATGGCTAAGATTACTAAAGTAGCAGATGCTTACCATGGTTGTTCTCGCACAGCCACGTAGGCGACCGCCTGTATCAGGATACAAATGGCCATCTGGCCAAGCAGCGGAATGAGCACCTTGCGAGAGACAAGGTCTGCTGTTGGCCGTTTCCGTGACAGCACAGGAAATGGTCCGGCCCAACTCACTTGGCATATAAGTCAGTATACTAACTTGAAAACTTCCTCTCAGGCTTGGCTTACTAAAGACAGCGATTGGCAGAATCAACAGCAAGTCGATAAACAAGAACTGAGGATTGGTCAGCAGTCATGCACTTGTGGTGCAGTATGGCAACGAACCTGAAAGTCACCAAGGTTTGAAGCCGTGGCATAGAGAAAGCTGACAGAGGTGAACTGGATGGCCGAGTACAGACTCATATACTTGAAACAGCTGAAGCTAGTCACAAGCGCAGCGCGTCCCTCACTATGATCAAGGTCAGTAGGTGTTACCAGGACGAGGTATTGTCACACTTACCGGATGACCTGAGGCACACATCCAATGTCAAAGACACGCGACGTGAAAGGGGCTGCAACGGAGGCTTCCGCCTCTGAAAGTGAAATACCGACGTCGGCTGCCTTGAGAGCACCGCAGTCGTTCGCACCGTCGCCACAGAACCCACAGCAATACCCAATACTTTGTAACTTCTCAACCAGCTCGTGTTTCTCGTCCGGTGACATCCGCGCGAACACGCGACCACGGACAAGCATCTATGATTGTGAGTGAATAATACCAGAGTACAACTTCAGAGGGCTGACTAACTCTCTGCAAAACCAAAGGAGACGCAAAATCTACGATCCACCGGAAAACGTCGCCACTAACAGCCAACGAATAGTTGCGTATGTCGTTGATATTATACGCAAGGGACGCATCCACATCAGCTGGAGGAGGCGATGGCTGCAGAGTGGTCAGCCAATGCATGCAAGGTTGGAGATGGCTGCTTACCAGTAGTGTCTCCGCGTTCAAATGGAATGCACCATTGTCGATACTCTCCCATTGGAGCTGGGCTTTAGGATCACCAGCATTGCCTACTGGACATTAGAAGACGACTCGGCTTGGTCGAATGTACCACCTACCTTCTATGAACCTTGGGACAAAGCAATGCGCCGTCTTGTTGATCAAGTTGCATTCGCGAGCCACACTTATGGCAGTCAATATGTTGTCGCCGGTTACCATAGTTGTGCTTATATTCGACTCCAGGAGCTCGGTCAGCACCGAAGCCGTAGTTGGTTTCAGCTTGTTCTCGAAAATAATGAACCCAGTGAACTCGAGGTTTGACTCTGCCTCGTGCCGCTTCATCTTCTGCGCCTTCACCCAGCTGAGTTTGGGGATATGGCGAGTGGCGCATCCAATCACACGGTAACCTTTGTGGGTGTAGTAGGCAAGCTGTTCATCGTAATCGATCGGGACTGTTTGAACAAGGAACAACGGTCAGAAAAATTGCCAATCTCGGAAGGATAATACTCCAATGGTGCTGTTTCACGTACAGCTGTCTTCGCGGCAAATTTCCCGCATGCACTCTGGTGCACCTTTGACGTATATATCTCCACTTTGCTGGCCAAATTGTCGGACAATGACACTGGCTCTTCGAAGTTGAGAAACGAATTCGAAGGACCTCAGAACTCCCAGTTCGAATGAGGCCTATTTGTAGTGTGTTAATAGTGATTTTATCGAAGATGGGTGCTTGACCTACTGATTGGTCCCGTCGCGCGGTGGTACCGCGCAGCATGTCACTGTATTCAGCGGGCGGCCTGGCGACCGACGGCGAAAGACTACCTTGGTCTTGGTCATCTGCCTCATTGGGGCCCTGCTTCCCTTCTTCGAAAGACCATCGTGTGAACTCAAACATTTTCAGATCAAGCGGGTCTCCCATCAGCTCGTCGTCAACGGATCGGAGCGAGTGGCATGTTGCCATAGTAAACAAAGCAGCTTTGAGCTTCGATGCCGAATCTCCCGCCTGATCAAGTACCAGGGAGGAAGGGTCTGTGAGCACATTTGTAAACTTGCCTGTTGTCGGTGAGGCAACTCGAACCCCGAAGATATCCAGTCCGTCTTCTGTAAGAGTGCCCGTCTTGTCGAAGCACATGATATCAAGCTTGCCGCCCACGTTGACACGTTGAGGGCTGATACAGAATATTTGCTTCTTCTTGAGCCGACTTAGCGCAAAGTTGGTGCCGATCGTGAGTGTGGCTGGGAGCGCAGGAGGCACCACAATAGTGATGAGATCCAGAGCGCGTACGATGATGAGGTGCCAGGCAAGATGTAAACGCAGGAAGTTGACGAAAGACGCGATGAAACCGAGCATAGCTACTACAGCCATAACGCTGATGTACCGAAAGGAATCGCGGTAGAACTTGAAACCGGAGGGTTTAGGAAAGAGCATGGATCGCACGAGAGAGCCCTTCGTAGTACTGAATCCTGTTCTAACCACAAGCGCGAGGGCAACGGCATCCCCATCACGGTCTTCTTGGGGGCGTCGAGCGCGGATGATCTTGGTACCACAGAAAAGGAAATGCTTGGCAATCTCGGGAGATACTGTAGGCGCAGCCAAGTCAAGATTGTACAAAGTCTCATCCGTGGCTGGAGTCTTAGAGACAGGTACCGATTCGCCTAATACAGGTGTGAGTACATGTTACTTGTTGAATTAAAGAAAGCCCTGCATGTGCTTACCTGTGAGCATGCTCTCATTAACGATACAATCGCCGCTAAGGAGTAGGCCATCACTTGGGAACTGGGTCAAGTTCGGGTCGCTGACTTCGTATACGTCGCCGGGCACAAGTTCGCTTGAAGGCACATATCGCCCTTCTGTTGTTAGTGGTCTCTAGTGTTGATAGTAGCGATTGATATGTTGCTCACAGAATCCGTTTCGAAGAACTCGTACGTCGCACTCAAAGCGAGAAATCTCGCGAAGTCGTTTCATGGTCTGAATTTATCAGGATCCAGTCATGTTTCAAAAGCATGGTTCGAACTTACCGCCCTAGTTTCGATGAGGGTTGTCGTGATACTGCCAAACGACATCAGAAAGATAGCTATGGCGTAGTAGTAATATTCGTCGAGAGACCAGAGAACCAGACTAGCAATCTGAAAGACGTAAAATGGATGGAACACCTGGAGAAATTAACAATTATGGTCCCAATTTAACGTAATAGATGATAACCTACCTCATCCACGAGTAACTGAGGGATCGACTTTTGCTCAATGTCAATGAGGTTGTTGCCAAAGACAACTTCTCGTAGCCCCTTCTCGTCACTGTCAATGCCGGCGCGGACAACGCGAGGATCGGTCCAGTTCGGGTCCACCCATCCATTGAACATGACAAACTTGTCCTTTTGCTGATTGAAGTACAGCCGGACGTAACGATAATTTAACATACGCAGTTCGGTGATGATCGGATCGTATTCATCGTCCATCGCATAGCTCTTTTCACTGGAGCCAAAGATGGTGGACATGGGCCTGCCGTACAGTTTCTTGTCCACATCCATCACGACAAACTCTCCCCATTGATTCTGTGCAAGTTAGTAATCTTTTCAGCTGGCTAAGCGCAACAACATCTTACCTCAACCACTACCCAGTCACACTCAGCTAATGGGAATGGTTTGCCCAACAGCCTCACCTGCCAGCGAGGAAGCCATCTTAACAAAAGCCACGCGAGGCCAAGCGTGGAAAGACATAATGCTGCATAAGCGGCAAACCCCAGACGACTAGTCCGGAAACCAGCAATAGCAATGGTCAGGTCCTCGTTCACCATGTAGATCTTCTGACTTAGACGGTCTCCGCCCATGCTCTTGTTGGTCGTCGCGCTATCCCGGCGTAAAAGACGGGCATGAACAGAGGATCTCGAGTGTGTCGAAGATCGCCTGTGTTGAATCATGTAGTCGTTGACGACGTCCCCATTCTCGATATCGACGTCGCTCTCGTCCTCATCACCAAAGGTGAAGTCCCCGACGTCGGACATGCTTCGGCGTTCATCGTCAAATGAGGTAGGAGAGGGCTCGGGTTCGTCTTGGTAGTATGCAAAACTCGTTGTGGAATCCGCACGAGGCCGGCGGTGGGAGAAGGCGGAAACACTGGTAGGGAGACTTTCGGCGATAGGACCGGAGAAGAGCTATGAGCATCTAAAGTCAGACTTGACGAGTATGTGGTATGTTTTGCAGGTGGGCTAACCTCATCATGGGCCATTTCCACCTCCTCGAATATGCTCGTGCTGCTCTGGTTCGAGTTGAGCCGGTACAGAGGGGCATGACCATTTCTCGATGTCGACAAGGCACAAGAGTGTCCGTTCTCTCTCGGAACCGACATGTTGGCGGATTGTTCAGTGCGACCTAGTCGCTGCAACGGGATCGAGGTTTCCAGATCGAACGGTAGGACCGGAGAGGATTTGTCAAACCGTTGAGGCAGGGTGCGACTGAGGAGGGATTTCGGTGTACGCGATGTGGGCAAGGCGCATGTCCGCAAAACAAAAATACGATGTCGATAACAAGACTGGGTGCCGCTGGTAGCTCGAGGAAGCTTAGAGAGCTGCTACTTGTGATGCGGTTGCAAAGAAAGGCTTGCGATAGATCGGGTTGAAACGATGTTGACCATGAATTTCGGTACAGATGAAGCGCAGCGCAAACGTTGCGCGGTCTGGATCAGCGCTATGAAGTTTGTTCTCCGACTCGGAATCACAACTGAGCAAAGAAAAACAGGCACTGTCGCTGCCCCGTTGAATAACACGGATGGGAGGTTAGCGCATCCCAAGTGCGTCGCGTGCGGTGCGATTGGAAGATGAGGTAAGGTACGGGACCTGGTAGACATGCCTGGCAAGGTACCTAGCTGCAGAGAACCGTGACACTGCCGTGGCCGTATCTAGCCGGGAGCACTCACCTACCGACCTGGAGGGGAGGCGGCTGAAGCAAGTGCATTCCGATGAAACAAGATTTCTGATTGGCCATGATACAGATGTGAGTCTTATCGATCAGTATCAGTCTTATCCGACTACGATAGGGACCCCTCCCTCACTAATAGAGTTGGTAAAAAACCACTGGAACCCACCCGTAGGTAGTGATTTCAGAGGGGCGCGTCCGATATTAGGTAAGCAGACGGGTACGGACTGGGCCAAGCCCGAAACGACGTATGAGCAGTTGCAGCGGGCGAAGAAATAAGAGAGAAAAAAAGCCATTTTTCCGAGTGGAGAAGAGGCAGTACGATGTATCTAGGATTTCTTTTGCCTCCAGTGGAATGCAATCGAGTGCAATGCACCACTGTTGCTGCAGCAAGGCGTCCCTGGGGTGTTTATCTGGCCCTGCCTCCACATGAACACCTGGACATGGATGTAGCACAGCACCGAATGGACGGTGAACTCTTTCCTCTTCTTGACCGACATTGCCTGGCCCAGACACGTAGTGATTGAGGTCATAGTTCGTCTTGGCACATCAAGCAAACATTCTTGATCTCTTAATCAGAGAATAATCAAGATAAATGTATAGGTTTGGGTTTCCAACCACAAAGTTAGCCTTCTATTAGGGTAGTCGGTGCTTTGGGGCGCCTGCCTCGCCTTACGTACCGGCTGGCGACAAAGGTGAGGTAGTAAGGTACAGCATTGAAAGCGTGGAAGGTGCTAGGCCGCCTAGCCTGGTCCTTTAGTGAGGCACCTACCCTGGACACCCCTACACACCTTCGCCGCAATGGGATCTATTGGCAGTTCGCTACCCGCTGTGCCCGCTGTGTCCTCCTAATCATGACCAGAGTCCTAAACGCCTAGGTAGGTAAGGGTAGGAAGGCAGTTGCGGTACCCGCCCCAACGGAGGAGGAGAAACGCCTCTCTCCCAATTTTTTTTTTCCAACACCGCATATTGCCTCCCCCCACCAGAATAAAGTCGGCTGCACATCTACAACCTACCACTCTCGGCACCCGCGTCCTCTGCCCTGTCAACTCCATCAACCTCAACCTCCAAATCAGCCCGGGAATTTTTCATCCCCCGCCTTTCGCAACTGCACTCCATCCCTCTCACCTACGAGAAAGACGAGTTGAACGCCATCATGGCTGAGCCTATTCGCAACAAGCGCCTCGACCCGGCTACTGCGCCGTAAGTAACAAATCCTGCCGCACCGTTTGGCGGTGGCGAGGGGTCGTCTTGCGCATCACTTCCCTCACCCGCCTCGGCCACCCCCCTTCCCCGGAATTGATCATGATTGCTAACACTGATGTCTCTATCTCAAAGCACGCCGCAGAACACTCCTCTTCAGAATGCGCCCATCTCATCGCATGCCCAGCAGCCTGGCGTTGCCAGCATCAAGGAGGGTATGTATCAACTGCCCCTCTCCTCAACCTCGCTTTCCCTGTTTTGCCATGCCCCTCTATCGACCTGCTACTAACATGCACCCCGATCGCAGAGGACTTCGACCGCGCTGCTGCCGCTTCCATCTTCGCCCAGAACCCCAAGCTTGTCCAGATGATTCAGGGAAGACTTGGATCCCTCGTCGGCCGATCCTCCGGTTACATCGAGTCACTGCCCCCTCAGGTGCGCCGTCGTGTTGCCGGCTTGAAGGGTATCCAGAAGGAGCACTCCAAGCTCGAGGCCGAGTTCCAAGAGGAGGTTCTCCAGCTCGAGAAGAAATACTTTGCCAAGTTCACTCCTCTTTATGAGAAGCGTGCCAAGATCGTCAACGGAGGCTCTGAGCCTTCCGAGGAGGAGATCAAGGCCGGTGAGGAAGATGACGAGGAGGAGGACGAGACCGAGGATGCTGAGAAGGCTGATAAGGCCGACAAGCCTGCCGAGTCGTCTGAGCCCGTCTCTGGTATTCCCGAGTTCTGGCTGTCCGCCATGAAGAACCAGATCTCCCTTGCTGAGATGATCACCGACCGTGACGAGGCTGCCCTCAAGCACCTTGTCGACATTCGCATGGAGTACCTCGACAAGCCTGGTTTCCGCCTCATCTTCGAGTTCGCCGAGAACGAGTTCTTCACGAACAAGACCATCACCAAGACCTACTTCTACCAGAACGAGAGCGGTTACGGTGGCGACTTCATTTATGATCACGCTGAGGGCGACAAGATTGAGTGGAAGGAGGGCAAGGATTTGACGGTCAGAATTGAGAGCAAGAAGCAGAGAAACAAGAGTGAGTTCTCATCGAGTCACAATTCACCAATATATGGCCACTAACCTCGGATGCAGACACCAAGCAGACACGTATTGTCAAGAAGACGGTACCCACCGAGTCTTTCTTCAATTTCTTCTCCCCCCCTCAGGCCCCTAGCGATGAGGACGACGACGCCGCCTCCGACATCGAGGAACGCCTCGAGCTCGACTACCAACTTGGCGAGGACATCAAGGAGAAGCTCATTCCCCGTGCGATCGACTGGTTCACTGGTGAGGCATTGGCCTTTGAGGAGCTGGAGGACGACGACTTGGAGGGTGATTACGATGATGAGGATGATGAGGACGAGGATGACCTCAGCGAGGGCGGTGACGACGATGAGGAGTCTGAGGACGACGTAAGCCATTCCCTGCGCCACTGCCTCGAGGCGGTACATTGGAGGGGCGGTCGGAAAACAGATGCTAACCATGGACGCAGGACGATACCGGCAAACCCAAACAGGAGGCGGCCGAGTGCAAGCAGAGCTGAGCGAAGCAAGCATAGGTTACTTCTGTTGCTAGGTTCTTCACGTTCATGACGGTCTGGATTGAGGAAAATTTGATGGTCGGGCAATGGTTCTCTCGCGCCGACAGAGGCGCGGTAGTAACTACGTTATACTTCGCGCCAGGTCAGCATTCCACGTTGAGGATTGGGCCAAGCAGAGCGGCGTCCGACGGCCGGGGCTCCTGCTTGATAGATGGTAACCCACATTTCGGTCCCAGACTCTTTTCGACGATACGACTCTTTACGTCTTGGTCATGAATGATGTTGTACGTTGCTGCTAAAATGGGATTCGTAGACAGGGTGTTTTGAGTTTCTTTTAATGTAAGACGGGTATCGAAGGACCAACAACGCAGGTAGTAGACAGGAAACAAGTCAAGCCAGCATTCGCTCCCTTTTGTACATATGTTGAGGCCCTCAGACGATAACGTAACTTGAATCAGAGAATCCCCAAGCCAATTCAAATGTCGCACCGATGTGAGGATACACATTTCCAGGAAACCCATACTGTGTTCGGGGCAGTGGAAAGTCCTGCTATAGAAGTGAAGTCACAGAGCAAACAACAGATGGTGAGTATGCCGGCTTCGGGGTTCGTAGCGGGTGTGACCAAGATGGTAGCTCCGTTCACATTAAGTTGGGTGTCGGGGGTCGGAGGCGGACGTGGCGGCAGCACGGGTGAACTGGGGCATGGCATAGTCGGAGTAGCCGTGAATGCATCATAGTTAGGTCGTGACGTGACAAGCTGTCGGATGGTAGGTTGCGTGCTTGTGCCATGACTTGATAACTCCTGGATCTCTATTGGGTATAGAATCTCTTTAACAGGTGATGAGGTCAGGTTGGCGTTCGAGCGGGACGGCACCTTCAGGAGTCTTGTGAGTGAGTGGGAGCCATTTCAAGGTACAATGTACGGATTGGCTTAGACAGTAAATAGCCTCCAATTGCGAATGGCTTGTTTGCGGCAGTAGAGGGGTCCGTAACCGGCACTTCAGCCATATCGATGAGGTAAACTAGAGTTGCAGGGTCTCCAATGTTTGAAGTTGCAATGCGTCGGTCAAATCTTCAAACAGGCTGTGACCCACGACAAGTGGCACTTGGGTTCTTCGTCGTTGCGTGATGCGGTGTGCCTCCGCGCCGGCGCTGGGGAAAAGTTTTTCTCTTGCTCTCCCATGCCGAGCGAGTGACTCAAGCTGCTCTGGTGCCGTCAGGTTGGGCGGGACTTGCCTTTGCCCAAGGCATATTCGGTGGATTGGATGGTGTCAGTGTTTCTCCAGAGCCTGCGACCGAGTGCCGGAACCTTGAGGGATCGTGCCGTCTTCGGGCTTGCTCCGCCAGCAATGTCGGACAATGGACACTGTGTGAGTAAGACCATATACTCTACCCAGACACCAATGCGTAGTTGAAGCCCAAGTCGAACCTTCCCTTCAAGACAGTGTCAAGACAGTGTCCAGCTGCGGCGGTAGAATCCTGGACACTAACCCACAACGTCGGGGTCTGTCTCGCTGGGTCTTTCCTTTCCTGCCCCCTCCACTAAGAAGCTGGCGGCTGACGGCGCACGTCGAGAACCTTACGAGCGAGGCAGTATGAAGTATCTTTGGGCGATGAAGCCTAGGAAAGCTACATGGTCAACGATCCGGCACTTGCCTTACCTGACGTTTTTGGTTTTTTTTCCACCTCAGTCACGTCCCTCCCTCACATCCCGCGTCATTTTGACTGTGCCTTTATAAAATCTCTCCTTTCCAGAACACATTAAATTGCCATTCGGTCTCATTTTCTGGCCATCCCGTTGACAATTCCTGCTCCTCGTCTCTTATACTGGTCAAACCCTCTTCATTGTCTTACGCCTGACAGATCGACCGCCTCTAACTGAGTCGTATCCGTGTACTTCTCTCTGCCCCGCATCAAAAATCGCATTGCTCCTCCATCAACATCGGAGTCATCAAGAATATACATCAGACACCACGCACCATGGCCTCAGCACAGGATATCGCCGGCGCCTCCGCCCAGAGTAAGCAGCTCGAAGTTTCAGCCAGCATGGGTCTGTCGACTTCGCCCACGGCCACTTTCCAATCTCCCCCTTCTAGCTTTGCAGGCGCTGCTTTGACCCGGAGACCAGCCCCGAAGCTTTTGAAGCCTTTCGACACCCAAGACATCAAGATTCTGCTTCTTGAGAATGTAAACCAGACAGGCAAGGACATACTCACCGAGCAGGGCTACCAGGTTGAGGCTCTCAAGACCTCCCTGCCCGAGGACCAACTCATAGAGAAGATCCGGTAGGCGTCTTCCCTTGGATCGTGGCTCGACAAGCAAAACGTAGATCCCCTGCTCATACCATGTGATTCATCAGGGACGTGCATGTCATTGGCATTCGCTCCAAGACCAAGTTGACCGAGAAGGTCCTGCGTGAGGCCAAGAACCTGCTCGTTATTGGTTGCTTCTGTATCGGCACCAACCAGGTCAACCTCGAATACGCCGCTGCCCACGGTATTGCCGTCTTCAACTCTCCCTTCGCCAACTCGCGCAGCGTTGCTGAGCTTGTCATTGCTGAGATTATCACTCTCGCCCGTCAGCTTGGTGACCGTTCCAACGAGATGCACCGTGGCACCTGGAACAAGGTCAGCGCCAAGTGTTGGGAGATCCGTGGAAAAACCCTCGGTACGCTGCCCTGCCCCCGTCGGACCGATCCGTGCGGCACACCGGTGATATACTGACGTGTAGCCAGGTATTGTCGGTTACGGCCACATTGGCTCGCAATTGTCTGTTTTGGCTGAGGCTATGGGCATGAACGTTGTTTACTACGATGTTGTGAACCTCATGGCCTTGGGGACTTCGAGACAAGTGCCCACCTTGGACAATTTACTGGAGGAGGCCGATTTCGTCACCCTACACGTGCCGGAGCTCCCGGAGACCAAGAACATGATCTCCACTGCCCAGCTGGAGAAGATGAAGACTGGCGCTTACCTGATCAACGCCAGCCGTGGCAGCGTCGTCGACATCCAGGCTCTCATCAACGCCATGCGCTCTGGTAAGATTGCCGGTGCCGCTCTCGACGTCTACCCCAATGAACCAGCAGCCAATGGCGACTACTTCAACAGCTCGCTTAACTCCTGGGGCGAGGACCTGCGTAGCCTGAACAACATCATCCTGACCCCTCACATTGGTGGTTCCACTGAGGAGGCTCAGCGTGCCATTGGCGTCGAAGGTGAGACGATATCATTGTGAAGTCGGGTTCACAGCGATGCTGACTTGGACTAGTTGCCGAGGCTCTTGTGCGCTACATCAACCAGGGTGTCACACTCAACAGCGTAAACCTGCCCGAAGTCAACCTGAGATCGTTGACCCTGGATGAGCCTGAACACGCTCGTGTAAGTGTTCATTGGTACAGAACGTGCGCGAACGTGGCTGACTGGGGTAAATAGGTCATCTACATTCACCGAAACGTTCCTGGTGTCTTGCGCAGAGGTAAGATGATAGCAACTGCGTAAACCATGAAGTGTGCTTACATATGTTGACCAACAATAGTTAACGAGATCTTGGGTAACCACAACGTCGACAAGCAGATTTCCGACAGCAAGGGTGATGTCAGTCATAAGTCAAAGTTTGCTCGAAACAAGAGCATGTTACTAACACGGAGACAGATTGCCTATTTGATGGCCGATGTCAGCAGTGTCAAGACGGAGGACATCAAGGAGATCTCCGACGGATTGGATTCTCTCAGCTGTAAGTGCAAACCCCGCTCCTGGGATTTCAGTGGGCTTTTACTGACATACGTGACAGCGCGTATCTTAACCCGTGTTCTGTACTAATAGCGGGCACAGTAGTTATGGCATTGGGAGGGCGTTTACGTTGGACATTCTGGGTTCATGATAGCGGCTGACGAGGCTCTCTGCAATTCGAGACAGCATTTCAACATGTCGGCAGGGTCCGCCTGGACGCTTTGGATATTGGAGTATCGGGATTCATATCAACTTGAAGGCATACAGACGTAGGTCGGTATACGAAGACAAAAGCGGCCAGAACAGACAGAGTAGATAAAACAAAATAGAAAAGGAATATTCATCAATCGGAATGGGAGTTTCTGCAAAGGTGTTGAGCGCATCAACGACATGTGACGCGTTCCTAGGTAGTACGCCCAATTCAGAACAACGAATCCCACTAGCAAGATGTGGTTCATGACTAAGCTGGGTAAAGCGTCTCAGGATGGAGTTGTGGGCGTTGTTACTGTTGGGGAAAAGTGGATGCGAACGCAATGCGGTGAGGGAATGAGAGGATGCATGAAGGACCTATCAATTGCAGAAATTGGCCAGCACGAGTTACGAGTGGGCAGGCAAGCCCGGAAATTGTACATGGTGATGCAGCAGATCCGAGCCCGGGCCTTGGACGCAGTAGCCACTACACAGCATAAGCTCTTCCCTCACCGTGCCTGACGCGGGTACGTGTGAACGAAGCCCTTCCTGTTTGTCGGTGTCAAAAGTGACACCTCTCGGATGGCAAAGAGCAGTGCATGGCTGATGTGGTTCATAAGCCATATGCCAGTCAGACCACGGCCATAAGAAAGAAGAAGGAAGAAGGAATAAAATTTGACAGTAAAGAAGCTGCTGACCACAGTTACAGATTGTCAGTGCCAATGTCAAACAAGCATGAGATGGCACGACCGGGGGGTATGCTGGAGACAGCAGAGATGACCCTGGGCGTGCTGAGTTGAGGGAGGGATGAGATTTGCACCTTAGTATGTACACTTGGGAGCGAAGCGGATAGGAAGACCTTCCAGGTGGGAGGGGGGAAAAGGGGGGCATTGGAGACGAGCTAGGAGACAACTGGACAGGACTGGCTGGCTGGCTGAACGGAGGCATAAAATTTAATAATACCTAATCAATCCAAAGGGCGGTAGGCGGACACTGTGCATTCCAACGGTCCTCCAGACCAAAATTGGGGAACCCCCAGGCAACGGTGTAGCGTGGCATGTTTCTGATGACCCAAATGCCCATACGGGGCTGAGAAAAGAAACGGCACTGGGTAACATGCCCGCTTGTTGGAACAAGAAATGGTCAGACTCTGACTCTGCCGGCACATTGGCTGACTGAGTTGACTCAATAACTTGCGCGGACAAGATGGCTTTGTTGACGGGCAGAACCTGAGAGTGTTGCGTCTGTGGTTTGCTCTGGTTCAATAACTTGGGACGATCCACGAAGGCTTGCAAGACTTTTCCTTGGTTGTTCTAGGGCAAAAGCAAGAACCCCCGGCGCAAGGCAAAGACGACAACGCCAAACTCACAGACCAGGAGAAGCTTAAGAGGGTCGGTTGTTTCGTCTTTTTTTTTTTTTTTTGGGCAAGCCAAGGCAAATGGCCACCGCCCGCCAACCAACCAGTCTTTGCGACTCATGTGGCGCTTTACTGCAACACACCGACGCAGGCTGTCAAGAAGCCTGGAAAGCGACTTTGGAGATGAGGCAATGTTGGGCTTGCATAGATGTGTTTCTCGAAGAAATGGTCAAATGGATTCGAGATACTTGCCCGCAGATGGTTGATACCGACCAACTGTTAAGGACGCAGATCTATCCGAATGGCGATGACTTGTCGTGCCCAAACAGCCTCCCGATTCGAGTCGAGCACCGTGAATATTGTTCTCCCGGTGTCTATGCATGGTCTCATGCTCTCCAGATTCGCAGCTTTACTGACTCGGATATCAAGTGCGCTCCTGAGGTTGGATATTGGCCATCGAGCTCGTCGTCTCTTAACATTTCATGTTCGTCGAGGACGAGCGAGCTAGGCCTTGGAGCTCGAATTGAGTCGAGGCAAGAGCCAGTTCCTTTGAACTCCCTATGCCACTATGCCGACAGTCGTAGTGTTGAGGCTACATAGCTACTGGGCCTTTCCCTTCCCCGTCCGTCCACCGTGGATGTCAAATGAAGCTAACTAGGGAAAGGGAAGGCAGCAGAAGACGTTCATTGGATCTTTGTACCTTGGCTGTGGCATTTCTATACGTCCAAACTTGCCATTGGTTATGATCGTCCATGACCGAGAGAAAGTAAAGCAAGGATTCCAGAGTATGTCGTTTACGTTGCTTGAATGGCAGTGTCCCTCATGTGTCGTCGCACTGTCTGTTCCTGGCCACACTCGGCTGCCCGTCCCCTTTCCGTTCCCAAGACCCTCTAGTGTGCGGCGTGCCTCGGATCCTTATGTAAGGCCATTGAAAAGGGGGTGGTGTCTTATGTAAGACGGTGTACAGCTGGCGATACCTACTTGGCTGTGTATCTGCACTTGGAATAGCCTTTGACTTGGTGCTGAAGCATGTGAGAGCCAATGTACCCGACTGTACCAGCACCAGCACCAGCACTAACATGCACTGCTGTAAGGTACCGGCCACCACCACGATGAGGTCAAAGAAACTGAAGGCCGGGTCAGGTTACTTCAGCTTCCCCTGTCTCCCCTAGTGTCAAGGTCGGTCTAATGTGTTCCTCTACGATGCACTCGCCTCACGCACTGCACCTCTCGCACGTTCTCCCAACTTGGGGAAGGAATAGGGGACCACTCAGTATACTACCGGCCCACCCTGTCCTGCTCTGTACCTGTCACACAAAGCACATAGCAGTCCCGAGAGCAAAAAGTGGAGGGATTGGGAGGTACAAGGCAGGGTACCCCTAGTGGCCCGCAGCAGCGGGTGGTATGAGGTACCTCACCGAGTGAGATAGCAGCTGGATGGGCGTCAAGACAAGACGCAGAGTGATGTGCTACAGTGCTCACAACTGGTGCGAAGGTGCTGAACATACTCTGCAGCACGCAGCACTCAGCAGTAACAGCAACAGCAGCAGCAACAGCAAAAGCACCACCACCAAAAGCATCAGTGCGCTCGTCCCTCCCCTGGCGTTTTTCCTTGGAGCCCCTGTCTGTTGGAACCTCAAAAAGTTGTCCAGATCTCTTCCACTTGCATCAGGTCACCCGGGCCCATCCTCCTCCTCCTCCTCCTGCTCCTTTCCCTCACAACTGTCATTAATCTATCCCCGTTCAATTACGACTTTTGCATCTTTGTGCAATCTGCGGTTACCAGCTGGTCTCTCTCAACTTTGGACATATACCCGCTGGCCGTAGTCGAGCACCGAGCATCCAGCATCGCGCTCTCTTGTTCCATCTCAAGCCATCTCCAACAAGATCGTACCGGACCGGACCGCACTCAGGCTGGCCCATCCTTCCTCCCGACAGTCAAACATCCATCCAGTGCTTCAGCGTCTCTTCCGGTCCTCTACCACCCGTCTTCCTCCTCCTCGACGAGACAACGACGCCGGGAGATACGCAGGCAGAATCGATCACTGGCAGCCACCGCCTTCAATCTCTCTTGCTGCTCCTGCCTTGCTCGCCCATGAATCTCACCGGTTGCCCCGAGCTCCCAGCCCTACACCTGCCGAATCCCATACTCCTCTCCTCCAGGACATACTAGCTCTCCCTCCAAACCAACAGCCTCCGGTTTCGACCCGTTCAACTGTGCTCCTTACTCCTTCGCAATGTCTGAGAACTACGACGTCGGAACGCGGGCGTGGCAGCCCGATACAACGGAGGGCTGGGTTGCGTCCGAGGTCATCAACAAGACCGAAGATGGTTCCAAGGTTAAGCTGGTCTTCAAGCTTGACAATGGCGAGGTGCGACACTCTGTTTGTCGGGCTGGGTCCTGGCCGATATTCACACGTCTCCTTACTGATAACCGTGATAGGAAAAAACCATTGAGGTCACTGCCGAGGCTCTCCAGAAAGGCGACTCCTCCCTACCTCCTTTGATGAACCCGACCATGCTCGAGGCCAGCGACGACCTGACGAACTTGTCCCATCTCAACGAGCCTGCCGGTACGGTCTAAACTTTCCACAATCCAAACATCATCAGCTCTGCTTACTGACCTTACCGCTGCTTGTAGTCCTGCAAGCCATTCGCCTCCGATATGCACAGAAAGAAATCTACACATACAGTGGTATTGTCCTGATCGCGGCGAACCCCTTTGCCAGAGTAGACTCCCTCTACGTTCCCGGCATGGTGCAGGTATACGCCGGCAAGCAGAGAGCAACACAAGCACCGCACTTGTTCGCTATTGCGGAAGAGGCTTTCATGTAAGCCAACCTATTCTCGCCATTACCCCTCAAGGGTGCGCCTCGACCATCTGCTAACATGTTGCAGTGACATGGTGCGCAGTGGAAAGAATCAGACTGTTGTTGTGTCGGGAGAGTCCGGTGCTGGGAAGACTGTCAGCGCCAAATATATCATGCGCTACTTCGCGACAAGAGAATCCCCAGACAACCCGGGAACGCGATCTAAGAAAGGTGCCGAATCTATGAGCGAAACGGAAGAGCAGATTTTGGCCACGAACCCCATTATGGAAGCCTTTGGAAACGCGAAAACGACGCGCAACGACAACTCGTCACGATTCGGCAAGTACATCGAGATCATGTTCGACGACAAGACCAATATTATCGGCGCTAAGATCAGAACCTACCTCCTCGAGCGCTCCAGATTGGTTTTCCAACCTCTCAAGGAGCGCAACTACCACATCTTCTACCAACTCGTCGCCGGTGCGTCGGACAAGGAACGCCAAGACCTTCACCTTCTCCCTATCGAGGAGTTCGAGTACCTCAACCAGGGCAATTGCCCCACAATAGACGGCGTCGATGACAAGGCTGAGTTCGAGGCGACAAAGGGTTCTTTGCGGACCATTGGTGTCAATGATGATTACCAGGCGGAAATTTTCAAGCTCCTCTCGGGTCTACTGCACCTTGGAAACATCAAGATCGGAGCGTCGCGCAACGATAGTGTCCTCGCGTCTACCGAGCCCTCTTTGGAGCTGGCTTCTTCGATCCTAGGCGTCAACGGGCCCGAGTTTGCCAAGTGGATTGTGAAGAAGCAGCTGGTCACACGAGGCGAGAAGATCACGTCCAACTTGACACAGGCCCAGGCTATCGTCGTACGTGATTCCGTGGCCAAGTTCATCTACTCAAGTCTGTTCGACTGGCTTGTGGAGATTATCAACCGCAGCTTGGCGACCGAGGAGGTTTTGAACCGCGTTACCTCCTTCATTGGTGTGCTCGATATCTACGGCTTCGAACACTTTGCCAAGAACTCTTTCGAGCAGTTCTGCATCAACTACGCCAACGAGAAGCTCCAGCAAGAATTCAACCAGCATGTCTTCAAGTTGGAACAGGAAGAATATCTGAGAGAGAAAATCGATTGGACATTCATCGAGTTCTCGGACAATCAGCCAGCCATCGATCTGATCGAGGGCAAGCTCGGTATTCTGTCTCTTCTGGATGAAGAGTCCCGTCTGCCCATGGGCTCGGATGAGCAGTTTGTCACAAAACTGCACCACAATTATGGCAGCGACAAGCACAAATTTTATAAGAAGCCCAGGTTTGGCAAGTCTGCTTTCACCGTATGTCATTACGCTGTAGACGTCACCTACGAATCGGAGGGCTTCATTGAGAAGAACCGCGACACCGTGCCCGATGAGCACATGGCGGTTCTCCGCGCCTCCACGAACAAGTTCCTTCGCGATGTGTTGGACGCTGCCTCGGCTGTGCGCGAGAAGGATGTGGCCTCTGCGACGTCCAGCTCTGTGAAGCCTGCCGCTGGTAGGAAGATTGGCGTGGCCGTCAACAGAAAACCAACGTTGGGGGCATTTTCCGTTCTTCGTTGATCGAGCTGATGAATACCATCAACAACACGGATGTCCACTACATCCGATGCATCAAGCCCAATGAAGCCAAGGAGGCATGGAAGTTTGAGGGTCCCATGGTCCTCAGTCAGTTGCGAGCTTGTGGTGTTCTCGAGACTGTGCGCATAAGCTGCGCCGGCTACCCTACTCGATGGACCTACGAAGAGTTTGCACTCCGCTACTACATGCTCATCAACTCAGATCTGTGGACGTCGGAGATTCGGGATATGGCCAACGCTATCCTTACCAAGGCGCTCGGCACCAGCTCCGGCAAGGGCTCAGACAAGTATCAGCTCGGTCTCACTAAGATTTTCTTCCGTGCTGGTATGCTTGCCTTTCTCGAGAACCTGCGTACCAACCGACTCAACGACTGCGCCATTCTCATTCAGAAGAACCTTCGGGCTAAATTTTACCGCCGTCGCTACCTTGAGGCTCGCAACGCCATCGTGACTTTTCAGTCCGCAGTCAGAGCCTACAATGCCCGAAAGCAGGTCCAGGAGCTCCGCACGGTCAAAGCCGCAACAACAATACAGCGGGTTTGGCGTGGCCAAAGGCAAAGAAAAGAGTACTTACGCGTCAGGAACAATGTCGTCCTGGCGCAAGCGGCGGCCAAAGGTTACCTTCGACGAAAAGAAATCATGGAGACCCGCGTAGGCAACGCCGCCATTCTCATCCAGCGTGTATGGCGATCGCGGCGACAAGTCCTGGCTTGGAGGCAATATAGGAAGAAGGTTACCCTCATCCAAAGCTTGTGGCGTGGCAAGCTTGCTCGTCGTGACTACAAGAAGACGCGCGAGGAGGCCCGCGACCTGAAGCAGATCTCGTACAAGCTGGAAAACAAGGTCGTCGAGTTGACACAGTCTCTGGGCACGATGAAGGCGCAAAACAAGAACTTGTCATCTCAGGTCGAGAACTACGAGGGTCAGATCAAGGCGTGGAAAAACCGCCACAATGCTCTCGAGGCCCGGACAAAGGAGCTTCAGACAGAGGCCAACCAGGGCAGTATCGCCGTTGCTCGACTGCAGGCAATGGAAGACGAGATGAAGAAGCTGCAGCAGAGCTTTGAGGAGTCGACTTCCAACATAAAGAGGATGCAGGAGGAGGAGCGGGAACTGAGGGAGTCTCTACGCTCCACGAGCACCGAGCTCGACACAGTCCGCCAGCAGAGCGCCCAGATCGAGAGCGAGAAGCTCTCGCTGCGTCAGCAGCTCGCAGAGCTGCAGGATCAACTGGAGTTGGCGAGACGCCTTGCGCCGACCAACGGCGAGCTTACCAACGGTGCCGCCCAGTCCCAAGCGTCGGCCGCACCCGGTCTCATCAACCTCGTGTCTTCCAAGAAGCCGAAGCGTAGAAGTGCCGGTGCCGAGCCCCGCGAGGTCGACCGCTTCAGTGCTGCCTACAACCCTAGACCCGTCTCAATGGCCATCACCAGCACAGCCCACAGACAAAATCTGCAGGGCACCGGCTTCATGCCCGGTGTCGACAACATCGAGCTGGAGCTCGAGACCCTCTTGGCCGACGAGGACGGCCTCAACGAAGAAGTCACAATGGGCCTTATCCGCAACCTCAAGATACCGTCCCCCAACACCAACCCGCCGCCGTCCGACAAGGAGGTTCTCTTCCCTTCATACCTGATCAACCTGGTCACGTCCGAGATGTGGAACAACGGCTTCGTCAAGGAGTCGGAACGTTTCCTTGCCAATGTCATGCAGTCGATCCAGCAGGAAGTCATGCAGCACGACGGCGACGAAGCCATCAATCCGGGTGCCTTCTGGCTCTCCAACGTCCATGAAATGCTGTCTTTTGTGTTCTTGGCTGAGGACTGGTATGAGGCTCAGAAGACGGATAACTATGAGTACGACCGTCTGTTGGAGATCGTCAAGCATGACCTCGAAAGCTTGGAGTTCAACATCTACCACACTTGGATGAAGGTCTTGAAAAAGAAGCTTCACAAAATGATCATCCCGGCCATCATTGAATCGCAGTCGCTCCCCGGCTTCGTCACCAACGAGAGCAGCCGCTTCCTGGGCAAACTTTTGCAGTCCAACTCGACCCCGGCCTACAGCATGGACAACCTGCTCAGTCTGCTGAACAGCGTGTTCCGCGCCATGAAGGCGTACTACTTGGAGGACTCTATCATTACGCAGACCATCACCGAGCTGCTCCGTCTTGTCGGTGTCACCGCGTTCAATGACCTACTGATGAGGCGTAACTTCCTCTCTTGGAAGCGTGGTCTCCAGATCAACTACAACATCACCCGCATCGAGGAGTGGTGCAAGAGCCACGACATGCCTGAGGGCACTCTCCAGCTCGAGCACTTGATGGTACGTTAGACTACGTCCACTAATGCGTGCAGGCCGTAAGCTGACCCGTTCAACAGCAAGCAACTAAGCTCCTTCAGCTCAAGAAGGCGACCCTGAATGACATTGAGATCATTCAGGATATCTGCTGGATGTAAGTGCAGACACGGTTAGGGATGAGTGTGGTGTCCCATTGCTGACGTCTTCTACCTCGCAGGTTGTCCCCCAACCAGATCCAAAAGCTCCTGAACCAGTACCTTGTTGCAGACTACGAGCAGCCCATCAACGGCGAGATTATGAAGGCCGTTGCGTCTCGGGTCACGGAGAAGAGCGACGTCCTATTGCTGCAGGCCGTCGACATGGACGACAGTGGCCCCTACGAGATCGCCGAGCCCAGAGTCATCACCGCCCTGGAGACTTACACCCCTTCATGTATGTGGATATTCATACTGCCGTCGGTCCGTAATAAACTTGACCTTGCTAACATTGCCAACCCAGGGCTTCAAACCCCGCGCTTGAAGCGTCTTGCTGAAATTGTGTCTGCTCAGGCCATTGCTCAGCAAGAAAAGCTGGAGTACGATCCTGAAGACGGCTTTGAGCCCAATGGCGACCTTGCCGAGGTTGATGAGGAAGATGTAGCCGCATAAGCTTGCGTAGCCCATGAGTACGGAGGAAAAGAGCGTCTGTATTTTGATTGGGAGCTTGGCCGGGCATTAGAGCCTGTCCTGCAGAGCATTTCTCTGTTTGCTGCTCACTACCCTATGGTCCAGGTTGACCACTGACATAATGACGCTGTCAAGTGGATGGTGGCCTGTGCATGGGCGGCGAAGTGTCTGTAACTCCATCGTTATGAGCTAGAATTGGGGATTTACTACAGCAGGTTCTCGTATGGATAATGTAGAAGCAATAGTTGTAAGGGCGTAAAGTGTTGTTATGGATATGGCCGATGGTGTGAACGGTCCGGAAGGGTAGTAAGAGAGGTTTGTACAGACGCACTCTCTCCGTTTAGCAGTTGGTTGATAAGACTCACGTTTGGACAGTTTGTGAATGTAGTCTACCCATATCCATGTCTGACGTGTCTGAAGCGCATAGTATTGGTGACGTGAAAACGGAACGAGACGAGATGAGATTTGAACCGGAGGGTCTTTATTGCAGGCTTTGCAGTACACGTCCAAGTGGTTCACGGCTTCTCTGTGTCCCTAAGTCATTGTTTTCACGAACTTGCGACTAAGAATTGGTCCCTTAGTCGTTGGTTTCTGGGACTGCCATGCTTGTCTGTTGCCATGTGGTTGTGGAACTGCAATTGCTGGTGGAGGAAGGTATCTGCCCCTCGCACGTGACGATGAAAATTTCAATATGTAGATGAGATAAGCGCATTCATCGTGGTGGAAAAGTGGCCCCCCTTCATTGCACTTACATGCAACAAATGAAGCTTTTCTGTCCACTGTGCCTCTCACTCACTACACTTTGAAATCATACCTACGCTCAACAGTCTACCTGAATTGTCCATACGTCTTAGCGAGTCAGTTGAGCTCTTAAACAATCACCAGAAATGTCCAGAACATCTCCGAACATCATTGTTACCGGCACGCCGGGCGTGGGCAAGACGACGCACTGCGAGGAGCTCGCGAGGCGGACGGGCCTAAAGCACCTTTCTGTCAACCAAGTTGTCAAGGACCGTGAATGCCACGAGGGCTGGGATGAGGAATTTCAGAGCTGGATCGTTGACGAAGACAAGGTTGGTATTTTCTCTCTTTTTGATTTCATTTATCTTGTTAGACCTTCACTCGACGTCGGCTCGGGGTGGGTGAGGAGGGTTGGAAGGGCAAGGTGTTCCTTTGGTATATCCAACATACTAATATTACTTTCAGTTGCTCGACGCGATCGAAGGAGATGTGCAAGAGGGAGGCTACATCATCGACTGGCACGCATGCGACCTTTTCCCTAAGAGCTGGATCGACCTCGTTGTCGTTCTACGCGTGGACTCGACGACGCTCTACGACCGTCTGTCGGCAAGGTAAGAGACCCAAAAACCCACTGACTTTTTTGGGGCCATGTTCTTCTGTCGATGTAGAATTATCCCAGGTTCAGGGGATAAGCTGAAGACGGAAAACAACGAGAAATAAAAAGAAGAAGGGGAACTTCCAAAACTGACTGTATGTGTTTAGAAAATACTCCGAGGCCAAGCTTCAGGAGAACCTAGACTCGGAAATCATGGAGGTGCTGCTTCAGGAGGCCCGGGAGGCGTTCGATGAGGAAATTGTTGTCGAACTGACGAGCAACACGTCGGACGAGATGGAGAGCAACATCTCGAGGGTCGAGGCGTGGCTCGAGCAGTGGAGGAAGGATCACTCGTCATAGAGAGGGAATGAAATGAATGAACGAATGGAAGATGAGACAAAATGAAAAACAACGAGCCATATGATACTTTCCCGCACCCTCGGTATTGGTACGATGAGAGGATAAGAATCATCTGCAGGACCTTGTAAACACGCATTGAGGTGGGACTTGGGAGGGAACTGCTGAGAGCGTGGTGCGGTGGTCAAACTGATGCCGGCGCTTTTCTTTCTTTCGGTGAGCTTTGTCGTAGAAAAGACTCACTTACCATCGAATAAGCGACGGGACGTGGCATCAATCCTGACGCTTCCATTCCCTTTTCCCTTGTCAGTGTCTCGAGGAGTCACAAGTACAGGTGGGTCATTGCACGTATGCATCTACAAGAAGAATGACCCCCAGACTATGCAATATGGCGGCCGTTGCACACATGCAAGCATTGTGGCAAGTTGCACATCTCCCTCAGCTGGCAGATGATACACCAACACACACTCCCAGTCAATGCTGTATCCTTTGAGAAGTAACTCCTTACGGTTCTGTCGTACAGTTAGTTTTCTGTTTGTTCGAGCTTCGTTAGGCTAGTCTATCCACTATGTCTACGCCACCGGTGGTCAATTTTATCACTGGCAACGCCAACAAGTTGCGCGAAGTCAAGGCAATTCTAGAACCTGCCATTACTGTACAGAGCCAGGCAGTTGACCTAGAGGAAGTCCAAGGTACAGTAGAGGAAGTCACCTTGGCCAAATGCCGCAAGGCAGCAGAGACGGTTAGCCCCTCCACCCACTGCGAAAATAGTTATCTTGTGCGTTTCCGGCATGTGAAATATTGATTCATTATCACCTGGGCATCTAGATCCAAGGCCCTGTCCTCGTTGAAGATACTTGCCTCTGCTTCAAGGCCCTCAATGATCTCCCCGGCCCTTACATGCAAGTGCTCTTTTACTCCAAATGTCTTTCAGTTACTGACAGGCGCCTAGCAAGTGGTTCATGCAGTCCATTGGTCACCATGGTCTAAACAATCTTCTCGTTGCTTACGAGGATAAGTCTGCCGATGCTGTCTGCACCTTCGCCTATTCACCCGGCCCCGGTCATCAGCCTGTCCTGTTCCAGGGGCGAACAAGGGTGAGTAATCCCGCATGCCTACAAAATGCACCATGGACGACGTCCCAACATTGAAACCAGGGCAAGATTGTCCCGCCTCGAGGCCCGGCCGATTTTGGTAAGCACTCCGATCTTTCTCCACGTGGCTCTGGTGTTGACCCTGTCAAGGCTGGGATGCCATCTTCGAGTACGAGGGACAAACGTAAGTACAGCGTCGATGAGCTGACTGATCGCCTGATCATCTGACATCTGATATAGCTACGCCGAGATGGATAAGGCCGCCAAGAACAAGATCTCCCACCGCGGTCTCGCTCTAAGGAAGCTGCAGGACTGGTTCGCGCAACAGCGGGCGAGCTAGAAGCCGTCGATGACAAGACAATTGACCAGCGGGTCCCGCCGCAGCAGGGGCTCGGTTATTTTCGATATCAGTCGCTGTTCTGCGCAGTAACCAGCAAGGCTTTTGGACCATCGAGCCTGTAGTTTGTGTCAGATTGAGGCCGACTTCATCCTAGTTCATTGTGCGAATGGCATACCTGAGGAGTTCGAACTCGCGATACCGCCGGAGGTATTTGGCGCCCCGACGATAAGGTTTCAGTGATTCATCGGCCGACCTGTGCTTAAATGTCTGGCCGATGAGGCGAGAGAGCGCCGGTGGATCCCGGAACATGGGATCGAAGACCAGCAGGTTAGCAGGACCATGCTTCTGTCTCTCAAAACCAACGATTGTCAACGAATGGCCTGAGAATATTTGATTGTTAGCAGCAAATAGAGCGAAGATCACAAACTAGACGAATTCCAGAAAAACTTGCCCGCATGTTGAAAATAGATGGGTGGCAACGTTGTGCATGTAACTTTGGAGGGCTGACCATGTGTTCCCTGCCTGAAATACTGTTCGACAGCCATCATCAGCTTGGCCTCGGACTTTCCTGGCTCAGGGTCCTTGAATCCCTGAGCGACACATCTATTCTAATGTTAGCTAATTATTCGAGCCAGGCAAGGGTCTTCAGTCGACTTACGGTATCCCAAGACTGACAAAGAGTGCTTGGGCCTGTAGACCACACAAGTCAGCAGATCCTCTGGTTCATGCGCGAGAAGTTGTCTTGCCTCTGGCGTGCCAATGTATTTTCGAGTCCCTTTGATGCCACCAGTCTCGAGCCGGCCCTGCGAGTTAATGCCAAGATCCCATGCACTTTCGATGAATTCCTGGATTTCAAATATGGTCGGCAAGCGACCCCTGAATGCATCCTTGCCATGGGCATTGGCGCCAATAATGTACGAGACCATCATCTGGATGTTGCGATATCCACAAAAGCCCCCTAAAACTCAGTAAGCCCATGGTTTTTCTGTCTGTTTTATGGCTTTCTGGTACCTTCTCTCTTAAGCTTTGACACATGCTGAACAGCTGGGTTGCATAGGTAGGCATATTCTGTCGATTTGCTCTGTCGAAGAAGCTGCTCTAGAACAGTTATGACCCCTTATGCGTGTTAATGTAATTGAGCCACCCTATACGAAGCGAACTCACCATCGCTTTTGACCTCACCACCTTTGTGAAGGAGGGAGACTAGCCATTCCGGCATCTGTTGCTCGTGAGCGTATTTTCCCAGCTCTGCTTTCTAAAGCGTATCAGCCCAGTGTTCAAGCAAGATACTGTCAAGCAAAGCATACTCCAAGACGCTTTTCCCCTTCCTTGCCCTTTGATTTGGCGAGAGGCATCGACAGAAGCTTATTCCATTGCTCAAAGGCTGTCCTCTGTTTGTTTACGGCAGGGTCACTTGCAGCGTGATTATCGGATGCTGTCCCAAAAACATGGGCAGTAGCCGAGCTCCGAGGTTCAATGGTGGCTTGTGGGTTTGGGGAGTCTGCGACCTGACGTTCTTCCTCAAGGTGTAGGTCCACATGGTAGTCGATCTCGGCGACAGAGACGATCTCACCGCAGCCCTCAATAGGACACTCCCTATAATGCTCTTGCGGGGCCTGGACACCGGGTGAAGGGCAATGAGAGCCATCTTCTTCTGGATGAAATGTCTCCATGTGCTGAGAAACGGTTAGCATGTTGGTCGGGTTGTGTATGATAGCGCCGAAATGTACTTGCCAATAAAATATCGTACTCTCTGCCACCGGCCTTCCCACAGAAAGGGCATACTATGCTGTTTTCCATGACAGGCGAGCTTTATACGATGTTGACCGACAAACAGGTGGGCGGAAGCTGTGGGAAAGGAGTGGAGTGGGACACATGTATGTACTTAGTAGCGAAAGAAAAGAGAGAGATGGGCAGAGTGAGGAACGACAATGACCAATGCCATGTACCGAACGCAGAGCTGCCGCCGAGACGATGATGCTTTGCTTTGTTTGGGCAGGCCAGTAGGAGAATTGTTCAAGGCTCTCTGCTTGTCCTAAAGTGTCGCTACTGCATGACGCCTGGGGATGAGATACATTGGACGAATAAAGGCGGTGCACATAAAGCAAAGATGGGATGAGATATCCTGTACAGGTGAAGAAAGAAACTGGCGGGTGACTTTGTCGCTTTCCACAACGTAACCGGGAAGAAGTTGCCGAGAAGTGGAAGATGAGGTGTGTCGGATCAGGGTCCCTAGTCTTCGTGATGGTCCTTGCAGCGGTCGTATGGAGGCCCCTTCTACATACCTACAGTACCTAGTTCGAGAAGCCCCACGGCTGGCCGCTCCAGCGTCTGCTACTGGGCTTAGTGAGCCAAGGCAGGAGGGACCCATCCAGCCAAGCTACCTACAACAACTGCAGCATGAGTACTTGCATCCGCGGATGCACGCTTGTGCTAGTTTTATGCCTGAAGTCAGATGTTTTTTATTTATTTACCAGCATGTGGTTTTATGCAACGCCGTATCTTATCTGATGCACAGACACTGCGCAGTAGTCGATAAAGGGAGCAAGCGTACGCTTGAGTACCACGACGAAGTGTTGTAGCGCAGGAAGGAATCCACTGATACAGCTAGTCGGTCGGTCTTTATATTGGGAGCTCCTTCTACATAAGAATGCATTTGCCGCCCTCTGCTGCCTCGCCCGGATTTTGGGCCTTCTCGATCTCGGCGATCAACAATTCAAAGGCCTTTCCAACGTTCTCATTGTACCGCGCGCTCGCCTCCGTCCAGCCGCACTGGATCTTTTCCGCCACCCTCTTGCCCTCTTCAGCGCTGACCTGTCGCTGTTCGGGACGAAGGTCGCTCTTGTTTCCGACGATGACGATGGGGACTGACTCGGTGCCCTGCGAGACGCGGTTAGCCAGTTGGTAGGTTGCTGCGGAGAATCGCCTTACTAGGTGGTTCAGAATTTTCTCTCGAATGACTTGGACCATCTCAAAAGAAGGTAAGGATGACACCGAGTAGACCAGCATATAGCCATGGATGCCGATGAAGTGCTTCGAGTTCAGAATACTGTATTCATCCTGCGGATTGTCTTGTCAGTCACGTCCGTATCCTGTTCGTGGTTTCCAACCCTCGGGCCAAATGCAGCGCTTCCAATATATCTCGTATCGTGTGCAGTATCATAATGTTGTCGCCACCGCCGGCGCCGGACGGACGGCCAAAAGGGCAGAGAGGAGACGTACTTGGCCGGCCGTGTCGACAATCTCGGTGGCAAACTCCTGGCCCTTATACCGGATGGTCTTGCTGAAAGTATTCTCAATGGTGGGATAGTAGCTGTCGACAAAATGGCCATCTACAAATTGGACTGCGAGGGATGATTTGCCTGTGTGCAGAGGAGAGATTAGCAGGATGTACGTCATTGACTCCGAGCCTAGCTTAGCCAACCATCGTCCTTAGCAAGATAAATAGCATGATAAGATCGGAGGGAGGAGAAGAGGGGCACGGGAGGCAGCCATGGAGAAGATTACAGACCGACGGACCGACTGCCAACAATGGCCACCTTCCTGTTCTTTGGTGCCGGCATTTATTTGACCGTGGGGGTGTTGGAGGCAAGGTGGAGGGTTTCGTAGGCACTATCACGTTCTCTCTCTTTCTCCTTCTCTCGCTCGGTCTTTCGTTCTCTTGAGTTTATGTTGGAAAGGAGGAGTGCGGATGCAGGCGATTTTTCCTCCGCAAAAGCTTGTGAAGAACGCTCGGCCAGTTCCAGTGCTAGTATCAATGCTGGTGCTGGTGCTGCAGTGGTGTGCTGTTATGTTGTGCAATGCGCAGGGGAGGACGCCGCGCTTATGGTGGAGAGAACCGCCGTGAGGGTCGCGGTTGAAGACGCTGGAGGGTCGGGCTCAGGCGCAAGGAAAATAGAACACTTGTCGCAGCAAGGCCCAAAGGAGCAAGTAATGAAGTAATAGTAATATCACAACGAACAAGTAACTATGGCCTTAGTTATAACGAGTAGCAGTAATAAACACCCAAAAGAGGCTATGGCAGGACGAAGGGGGATGAAGGGGGGAGAGATTCGGAGCAGCAAAAAGGCGTAAAGGAGGAGGAGATGGGCACTGGAGGATACATTGAACTATTTTAGAGGTATGACATGACACTAGACTCGACCGACCTGACTTGACGCAGACTGCAGAATGCAGGCACATGCACACACTCTGAAAAGTGACGGACCGGCCCCTTTTACCCCTCCACTGTTGTGTGTACCAGTGCTACCTAACAAGGCCAAGACATCGTCTAACGACCTCGGGGGGGCATAGAATGGAACAGGGTGCACTTAGGTGGGAAAGGGGGTCTTGCATCCCGCTGCACGGTGTTGCTGGGCTAGTCAGTGATGTGCCTTTCGAGCCTAGACACATACACGATCTACCAAAGCTACTTCGGTCTCTGGGCTGCGGGGACAGGACCGCGGGGTTCCCTGGCGCAGCTGTTGCCACAAAAATGTACCTCCCAAAAACTTGATCTACATAGAGCAGAACTCTGGTCGAGCTTAAGTATCCTGTTCCGCGACATTTTTGTCGTCCCCATGATACAGAATTAGGAATTTGCATTCCTAATGCCAACCGACTCAAGACGGAACAGAACCTGCGAGCACTCCTTCGGATGCCGCTTAATATCACAACTCTACCTCTGTTTGGTAAGGCACCTAGCATCAGTTTTGCCCGACCAGAAATGTGGATTGAGTACCCAATAACGGTTGCCGGCCCCCACGAGTCTCCCTATACTGGTATATCTGCCTCTAAATGATGGCCTTCGTTTAAGCATGTAACTATCAACATATCCTCCTTTGCATGAGTATCGCTGCCAGTTTGCCGCAAAGGTCATGATCATGTTTCCCCCCTGCTTCGCTGCTCGCTCGAAACCGGCCTCCCAAAGCCGCTAATCAATACCATTCTTCGTAACCAGTGTACCATTTCCAACCCGTGGCAGACCCCCCCCCCCGCATTAATCATGCTTCGTGAAAGAGCCGACTTGCTGTACGCCGTGATCGCAGTGCATGACGGCGCCATCATCCGCTCAGTAGTCATATTTTCGCTGAAGCAGCCTCTTGCTATGTCTCGCCCGAGTAGAACCCTGTGATCCTGTTCTCTTTTCCTTCGTCATCGTCGTCCTTGTCGTCATCGTCATCCGGATAGCCGGTGTCTTTGCCTGAGTTCGTTGACGAGATTTTGCAGACTCGTCGTCAATTCGTCCGCGTCGAGCTTCTGATGCAGTGACATGAACTCTTGGATCGAATCAAGCAAATACTTAGTCCCCCTTCCGTGGCTCTTTTCCTCAAGCCGTCGTCGCACTTGACCACCAAGCGATAGATAGCCCAGCAATATAGCTAAGTAACCGTGGGCTACGGCAATTGATGTTTTCTCGACCGAGTCAGCCTGTGCCAGTTAGTCTCATCCCGCATCATCTTGTTTCCCATCGAGACTCACAGTGCCTGCCGATTCGCGGTTCTCCAGATAAACATCCATCAACTTGTCCAGGGGTGACTCTTCCCGCCCTTGCCAAGCATCCACCGACCGTCGGGTTGACGGACAATGCTCGGTGGTGTTGATCATAACGCCCAGCAATAGCATAAGTGTCTCATAGACGTCCTTGGAAAATGCCCCTTGGCGAACGGACTGCTGGAGAAGTTCGAACCCCATAACGCTGGCTTCAGCTAACTCGTGGAACAGTTCCCCCCTACTGAACGCGCTTGCGGCGGCGGGGTTGTTGTTTGTTGTGTTCAGCGCCAGTTTTAACGTCGTGGACTCAAAATCACCAAACTGCTGCATTGGTCGCACCATAGCCGCGGTTAGTATATCCGCGACAATGGGAAGATAAAGCTTGGTCCATCGAGGGCCAGCGTCTGATTCCATCGCCGCAATCGAGTAGCCTTCCAGGAGAGAGAGCGCAAGCCCGCCAACTGTCCCTTCGATCCCCTCCGCTCGACTTTGCTCCCAACCTTTCTCGGCGAATTCAAACAGCTGGTCTGTCAGGCCAGCAAGAATGTCCCGGGTTGCTGGGCTGTCGCCGTCCTTGCACAGCACCGAAATGGCCTTCAGGGCAACTGTTCGTGGCGATAGAACGACAGGGGCGACCCCTTCCATAGATCTAGACGCTGTATTGTCGATTTCAAAGCACTTAGAGATGATTGTGCATTCCTAGATAAGTTAGATTGACGTTGACTGGCGATGCTTACGATATCCTCGTCAAGCTCGAACAGCCTTGAAGCTAGTTGCGCGATGCCTTCTGACTGTAGCTGCGGGACAAGGTGTGGGACCGAATACGACGTGAAGAGGACAAGAAGGACGGAAAGAAGGATGAATCCACTGAATAGGTCCTCTTCTTGTCCGATGGATTGGAACAAGGCATCCTTGGCGCCTTGGTCGCGGAATTGACGAACAAATGTCTTGTCCTTAAGCTTGCTCGCTAGCTCCAATAACGCATTGCGTCTCGAACGCGCTGATGGTGACTTCGGTGGTTGCGGTGTGCCCACTCTGTCGAGTAGGTCGGCCATGCTGTCAGCGAAGCGGTGATTAGCACCAGCCTGCCTCAGCGCATGGATGTCAATGATGCCGCCGCCTTTCGAGGAGCTTTCTTCCTCGACGTCCTCTTCCTCGAACGCAAACGAGGCCAGCTTTGACATAGTTGGAGCCGGACTCAAGTCATGCTGACTACTATCAATGCCCATTTGGCTGCCGAGACCATCTCCTCCAGACTCATCCGCCTTTAGCGTTCTCTGTTGCCCATAGATCGATCTCAACTTCCTGGTACTCGATAACACCTTAGGTCGTACCGAAGGTTTCGGTGTCATGTCCATAGGCCTGATCGGGGTGGACGGCGAAGCTTCTTTTGCTCCCAACCTAGCGAAAGATACTTCTGAATCGTCAGACGCATCCGAGTCAGATTCGGAGCTCTCTTCTGTTTGCGCCGCTAGCTGATCGATTAGACGGACACGCCTCGGCTCGGGTACTTTCTTCGGCTTCGGGGTGGATAAGTCCGTGACGAACGTGCTCGGTTTCGATTGCACAATTGTTGGATGTGAATGTGATGATCGTGGGAGCGCTTGGCGTATCTCTAGATTCGTTTCTGACTTGCGCAGAACCTCGGGTTCAGCGCGAGAGCGTGGAGCAGCTGTACGTGCTTCGGCCTGTTTCTGGGTATTGGATTGCTCAAGCCCTCGCGTAACATATTCCTCCTTGGTAGCGCGCAAAGAGCTGGGAGCACCTGAGGTGAAGGGTGATTTGGCTCGGCGGATGTTCGAAGGTGCCTTCGCTAGTGGTGCGATGGCAGAGGATTTGCCGTCCATCTTGCGCGCACGCTCGACCTTGGCCGACGGCGCAGCAGACACCTTCCTCTTCTTCGAGTTGCTCGAACCATCGGGCTGGGGCGCAGTGGCGTCAATGGGCGGCGCATCGCGCCGAGATGTTGGGCGGTGGACAGGTTCATCATCGGGCAGATCGTACAAATCGTAAAGGTGGTCGGCGGACGTTGTAGATGCTATGGCAGCTTGCGTGGTGTCAGGGGCGCGTCGTGAACCATTAGACAAGTCAAGAAACGCGTGAATGGGGCGCTTTCGCGATGTTTTGCCATAGGTTGTCGTCTTTTTACGTGGCACGCTCGGCCCGTCTCTGGTGGCCATCGTGTGTCGCAACCTAGTACAGGCGCGTTTATGATCAGCTCTGCGCAGGTTTCCAGCCGAACAACTGTTGTCGACAATGTGGTCGCCGTGACAGCCGAGAGATGGGCTCCCTGCAATGAGTGGAAGGAGGCAGTGATCACGGGTTGGGAGAGATGCGACGGACTGGTGGGAAGCTGTTGTCGTGTGCGCGGGATTGTTGTTTTCCTGAAGTAAGACAAGGCAAGGAAGGCGTGTTAGATAGGCGGTTGGTGTTGTTAGGTAGTACTTGGTACGGAGGCGAGCTGAGAAGCAGGTGCTTGTAGATGGGGTACAGAAGGAACGACTTGCCGCTGCCTTCAAGTGCCTCGATCGAAGGTTGGGCAACAGCCGACGTCTGTTCGGAAGGGGAATACAGCAGACGCAGTGCCCCGCAAAGCCTGCACGTCTTCCAAGAAATGAAAAGGATTTCTATGCCGTCACAAAGGGTGAGTGCTGCTTCAACACGTAAGACTTGATTGACGGTTGACTTGAGGTTGTTTACGAGGAATAATGTAATTACAGGTTTCAAGTGTGGCGCTGGCGTAGTGGTAGGCAGGAACATACGCCAAAGTACCTAGCCTACCACTGAGAGGGAATAAGGAGGTGGTTTCTACTTTTCGTCCGGGGCACGTCTCCTTCTCCTGCCGTGGCTGCCGTCCCGCCCAGGGTCGCTACCGCCGGACGGGGCCTGCTCGCAATTGGGTATCAGTCGACTCTCCCGATCGGATTCTTGGGGAAGATATACGTATCGGGGTGCTCGAAGACCATGCCACTTGTCGAGAGTCATTTCTAATTGCATATATGCAGCAGCCCCGCATATCGCTCCGGGCAAGTTAAATCGCAACTAATTATGAAATATCTGGTGACTCGACCACTATTGCATTTGCTAGATTGCAGAGCTCGGTAATTTAATGTCATGGTCTTGCTTCAACCCCTCCACAAGGTATCCTAAAAAAGACCCCACACGACCCTTATCTCTACTTGTCTTCCCGCTCTCGGTTCACAATCTCATTGATTGACCTGCCCACCTTGTCTCCTACGTTTACAATTGTTATTGCTTGCCTTACGTTACCCTGCCCGCCTCAAGACCGACCCTATCTTACCTCGCATTGCATTGGCTCGAGGTACCCTGGACTTCGTCCGGTCCAAGTAACGGTAGACGGCGAGCTCCATTGAGTCTCGTGACACTCTCTCGCTGAACCCTTCGGTTTTTCCACGCGTTTATATCGGGCGATTGCGAACATTCACGGCTTTAAGGTAGCTGCTCTTTCCCCCTCTCTCTTCAGCTTGGAACCCGGACCCAGGGTTTTAAATACCACAGCCGTGAACGCAACTTCTGCATCCCATCCACTCCACGTCATAGAGCAGACCAAGTCACCTTTGTACAAACCCTCAGTCTCTCTGTTGTGCGCCCCTGCAACCCCTCACACGTATCTCTTTGCTGTCGTCTCTCTTTTCAACTTTCTCCCTGTACACGTCACTTGAAAGCTGCTACCAAACATTATCTAATTCAAGCCACAGTTAAACTACTCGAAATGGCGAGCCAAGAATCCAAGTCTGTCAGCAGCAGCGGTCCTACGCAATGCGTCGGCCCATTGTACCGCTCAGAGAGTCAAAAGCCCACGGCAACCGTCTCCACCGAGATCAACTCGGACAACGTTATTATCCTGCCCCAGACGCCTCAGCTCATTGCCCTCCTCACGTAAGTAGCCCACCCCATACTGGGTTTCGTTACTTCCATTGTTATGTCATCCTCGGTACCAGTGTAGCTAGGTCAGGGCCAACGACATCTGACGGGCCCTCGAACTCGCCTCTCTGTCCGAGTATCACCGTTGACTTACTCGTCTCGACACAGCATTATTCGAGACAGGAACACTGAGCGTGGTGACTTCATCTTTTACTCCAATCGCATCATTCGCCTGCTTGTCGAAGAGGGGCTGAATCACTTACCCACTGTTGAGCATGATGTGACAACGCCCATTGGTCGCACCTACTCCGGCCTCATGTTCCAGGGCAAGATATGCGGCGTGTCCATCATGCGCGCCGGCGAGGCTATGGAGCAAGGTTTGCGGGACTGCTGCCGCTCTGTGAGAATCGGCAAGATCCTGATCCAGCGGGACGAGGAGACGGCTCAGCCCAAACTCTTCTACGACAAGCTGCCAGAGGACATTGCCCAGCGCTGGGTGCTTCTCTTGGATCCTATGTTCGCCACTGGTGGTTCGGCCATCATGGCCGTGCAGGTCCTCAAGGCCCGGGGTGTTCCCGAGGATCGCATTTTGTTCCTGAACCTCATCGCGAGCCCCGAGGGTATCCAGAACTTCACCGCCAAGTTCCCCAAGCTCAGGGTTGTCACGGCATTTGTTGACCAGGTAAGCACAAACCAGCCTCAGCCGTGGGTAGACGTATTGGACTGACACCTTTGTAGGGTTTGGATGAGAAGAAGTGAGACTGCATCTTGCGATGCTGCCGTATCTTTGCTAACGGACTGCTACAGCTACATCATCCCCGGCCTCGGCGATTTCGGCGACAGATTTTACACTGTCTAAGTGGGGGCTAGTTGCTCAGGGACCATCGTGCTCGCCTGGAACTCGGATGGTCACGATATTTGGCTCGATTGTCCTCATCGCGCTGCTGCCTCTGCCCGTTTACAACCGGGACTTGAATCCTGCTTCGTGACCGAAATCCGACGTCCGTAAAAAGTGATGCCTGGTCATCTAGTATTCTTCATCGTCCACGTCGATACCCTCGCCTCCGTACCTCCGGTCGTCATCGTCATCGTCATCGTTCACCGGTCGGCTGGGGGGTGCGCGGCGGGCGCTCGAGGTCTTGTTCTGGCTTCCGGCGGCGGGTCCTGCTTCCTTCGCAACGGCGTCTTGATATGTCAGCTGTATACCTCGTAATGACTTCGCGGATGGAGGCGGACTATGGGCGTCCTGGAGAAGTTTTTATCAGGCTTACCTGCTGCGTCTACCCACTCGCCGTATACGTCTACAGCAGCCGAGAGGTCTACACAAATTAGCGTTGGCGGGCAAAATTAATAGAAAGCATGAGAGCTCACAATTAATGCTGCACTGGAACATTTGACCGCACACTCTGCAGTCCAACGAACCGACACCCGCTTTCTTATCCAGCTTTACAGCGACGGAGTCTTCGTGGTTGCAGAAGAGGCATGTGAACTTAGAGGGAAGAGGATCTTTCTGCGGCGCCGCGTCAGTGACTGGACCTGGTGCGGTAAAGCGTGGCCTTGCAGCCTCGAAGGTAAAGAGGCGTAGGCAGGACACGAGGCTGTAAATGGACGAACCTTCTTAGGACCCTGAGGCTTGCTCGAACTCTTGCGCTTGCCCATGACGTTCTCTTAGCGCTCGGGTTCAGAGATGGGCGTGGCCGGCGCGTGAGATATAGGAATGTAGAGCAGTCAGAAGGTCAGGGGCTGATGATATCGTTGTGCGCGGGCGCACGCGCGGTCGGTGAGGTAGGTTCGGACAGAGATTGACTAAGGGGGGAAACAAGCGCCGAATATTAGGTGATTGATAATTAAGGTGGTGAAGTAAAGTTAGGTACCTAGCGATTGCGACGGACGGGGTGAATTGCGCAAATGTAAGGCGACCGGGGGGGGCTTCTTTTTTTCTTCTTTCCTTTGTCCCAGCACTGTATATCCTTGTCTTATGGCAGAGGAGCACTGTACCTTCTCTAGTCGGTGGGATGGATTGAGAGATGGATGTTGCGAGGCGCGGTGGACAAAACCTGGAAGCCTCTTCTCACGCGACAGATAAACTAGGTCTGTAGTCTTATCGGAAAAAGAAGGCGGGGTGGCTTGGCCTGCCACTGCCACTTTGGCCGTCTTAGGTAAGCACGTAATCGATAAGGCGTCTCAGTTGGTGGGGTGCAAGGCATCCGAGGACTTGCTCCGTAGCTAGCTAGGTAGGTTGGTAGGGATACGCCAGCACCAGATGTGTCTCTCTGTGCGAAAGAGCTACCTACTTGCCTCATGGTGCGAACAACAGGAGTCGTTTTGCCTTCTAAATTTCCGAGCTTGAGCAGCCTCATCTGACCTGAGCAATGGCATTCTAGCATGTACGGGTAATAAGATGGTTTACACTAGCTTAGGCAGTAGACAGTACCACCTTGAATGAATGCAACGAGGCCTAACCTGTTACGCCTAGATAATCAAATCTGGAAGTGGATGGTACCTAGGTATCTACCGGGCACCTGGACAAGAGTGGGGAAAACGGGCTTTACGATACGGAAGTACTCTCAGTTGGTGCAGTCGTACGTACCTACGTGGATTGCATTCGGCGGGAACCTGAGCTGGCGGGGTTCCTCGATAAGGTACCATACCTGGTAGTCTCCACGAGTGTCTCGGTCCTTATCTTGGGCGCTGAAGTCGGCACAAGGCGATGCTCTATTTATCTATTTCCCTCCTGACGGGCGGTCCCGCAGCGCCGCTGCATCACTACAAGTCGCCCTACCCTTGGCACCCGTTCATAACTGTTGAACCTCATCAGCTGCGGAGGCAACGGAGCAGATAAGCTAAATGCTGTCATTACAGTCTGCTCAGCTGAGCAAGGTAGGTCACTGCGAGAGCTTCTTGTGTGAATGTATCTGAGTTGTTCTGATAGTGCAGGGGCAGGTCGGGGCTGTTTGGTATCTCAGCTCACTAAATCCAGCAAGTGCATGCTACAGCAAGGAAAGGTAGGCAACGGGCTTTACAGTACCTAGGTAGGTCGAGAGTACCTATGTAAGGAAACGTCCCAACCTTGTTCCACCGTCCAGCCCCAACACTGCAAACCTAAACTGCCCCCGTGTACATATGAGAGAGCTCCATGTATCTTTCCGCCTACTCCATATGGCAAGCTACCCCTGATACCTCTGCCTCTTCCCCTCACCCCTTCCCCTCACCCACCCTCACCTCCGGTCAACATCAAGCGCATGCGCGGCGCCTTCCGACAGGTCATGGGATCTCGCTCGGGGCGTCGACCGTTTGCGCTTGCTGCATCTCTACCATTGTTCATGCCCTTTACTCCATAGTCATCCTCTTTTTGCATCCGATAGAGCCATCAACCATCCTTGACCAGTAGTGGACCAGCCATCGGTGGTCACCGACTTGTCTCGTCTCCCCTCGTGTCTCCTGCGCTGTTCTCTTCTCCTTGACGCTTGTCGTCTTTGTCCTGCCTTACTTAGACTCGCCTCTGGCCTCTCCTTTTTATCTCACTTTCTCCTCTTCTCCTCCTCCTTTCCCCATCTTCCCTCCTCTCGGTATTCTCATTCACGAAACTCGTTATACTTCGACCTGACCCCTCTTTCCGCACGACACGCTGTTGGAAGGACACAGGAAACGGAGGGCATCTCGTCACACGTTCAACCCTTTTGTCAACCGTTCCTCAAGCCTCGATTGTGCCTGCGTTCTCGTGTCGTAGAGTGACATTTAGAAATTGATCGTCATGAGCGGCCAAACATCCAATGACGGCTCCTTGGCCGAGGTCCTAAGCTCTCTGAAGTCCATTCAGCAGACACAGTCTGACCTGGTGGCTGCTGTGGATTCGTTAAACCACCGATACCAGCAGCTGGCCGGTGACACCGATGTCGCAGCGCTTGGCCCGGGTCCGTCCCTCGGCGAGGCCTCCGAGAGACCCCGCACCCCCGGCCGTTCCGAGGCTGGTGCTGTTGGTGACTCGGCTCAAGGTTCCTCGTCCGACTTGACGTTGCAGGCTCCGGCTGTGCCCTCCTCGCCCAGTCAGCGATCCGGTCTCACCTCCCGAATCATTCTCACGTACGTTGATCGCCCCTTCGTCCGTTACGGGTCTGCCATGGTATTTGGTCTCTGACATTGTTGGGCCAGAACATACCCGAAGCAGATTGGCATTAACCCGCTCCCAATGAAATGGGGTGAATCTGACCCGCATACCCGCGGCCCTGTTGTTGTCTCCCGATCCTCAACCACAATTGGGAAACGTAATGGTCTGTAGATCCGGAGTGCCCTTTTGTTTACGTATTGAGTGCAGGTCTAGCTGACTTTGTTATCTACCATTAGCTGTTGGAGGTAAGTATCTGGCATTCCTGTGTTCGCCTGGGTACACTAAGCTAATATTTGGATTCAGCCCAGTGAGTATATCATGGACTTAATAGGAGCCTCCTAATGGAAACAGAAGGAGTTTTCTGTATAAGATTTTTTGCTGACCACGTGGTACGCAGTGGTGGCTCTTATTCCATCTATTATGCCCTGGCCGTTGCCAGCAAGCAACTCAACTTGGAGCACAGGTTAGCCCATATCGAACCAACCTTAGTCTGCCATGTAAGCTCACTCATCCCAGACCCGACTTTACCAACACGGAGCCCGCAGCCAAGATCGGCCCGTTCCCTCAATGGGGAGACCCAAAGAAGATCGTCGCCATGGATCCCTGGGGTCATCTGGCTCCGTGGCTTTTCAAGGACATCATTGAGAAGCAAAATGGTAAGGAAAAGCCTACCCGGCCACACATCTATCTGAGAGAACCCTTGGACTAAATTACAACGCCAGTTGACATTCGCCCGACGATTGCCATTACGAAAGCACACATGAAGGTTCGATCTCGCGTGTAACAGAGTGCGTATTCAGAGTTAACACGTGTCAGCTTCCTGAACTAGAGGAGAGTGTCAGGAGTGGCCGGCTGTAAGTGAAGCTGTCTCCAGTATATTTGTCGGACTACTGACTAGAGCTAGTGTTCCCGACGGTAAGGTCTGCCTCAACAACCTTGGAGAGCTTGCCGTAACCAAGTTCGCCGTTGAACCGGTATGTGTACGCTCTTTTGAATTCGAATGTAAGATGAACTGACGTCATCCTACCAGGTCTGGTATCTTCCTGGTGTGGCTGAGAGATTCGGCATTGGTATGTTGAGACCTCCAGGTAGATAGACCGACTATTAACTATAGACAGACGAGGGGGCCTTGAGACGATCTCTCTTCGAGCACACAGGTGGCAGTTACCCTGAAGTTGGCGACCCCCTTTATCAGTGGCAATGCGAGTATTCTGCTGACGGATGGTAACAGCTCATCACCCGCAACGATATCAAAGTGTTTCTTCCTCCTATTGGTGGGTATACCAAAGCTATCCGGTGTCCTGAGAAGCGCGAGAAGATGGACTGACACGTGAAAACGAGCAGGTGGCCTCACTGTCTACTGCTTTGGCGACCCGGCCAAGATGTCTGATGAGTCGGTGCGCCTAGCGCTGCGCATCCACGACGAGGTTTGTTATATGTCTGCTGCTTTTGGTGCAATTGCTCACATCTGACCAGTGTAACGGTAGCGATGTATTTGGTTCTGACATCTGTACTTGCCGTCCTTATCTCATCTTTGGCATTGAAGAGGCGGTCAAGGAAGCCCAGAACGGGGGCAGTGGTGTAGTCATCTACTTCCGAAAGGAGGGCAGAGCCCTCGGCGAAGTCACTAAGGTAAGCAGTGCTTAGGCCAAATATTTAAACGTGCGTTGCTGACCCTGTCGTAGTACCGTATGTGCCCTTCTGATTGTCGTGTGTTTGTGCCCGTTTCGCGCGGAGAACACACTAGGTGTCGAGATTGGGACGACTTGTGACAGTCTTGCTAACCGACTACGCAGTCGTGTACAACGCCCGTAAGAGGGGTGAGGACCGAGCCTCCGATTATTTCAAGAGAACAGAAAACATTGCCGGAGTGAAGGACATGCGTTTCCAGGCGCTAATGCCTGATATCCTGCACTGGCTCGGAATTCGCAAGATTGACAGGATGCTCAGCATGAGCAAGTGAGTGGTCCTTGGCCTCTAAAGCTAACACTGCTGACAAACCTGCCTCCAGTATGAAGCACGATGCTATCGTAGGACAAGGGTACTTACGCTGTCAATTGCCAGGTAGTTATTCGCGCCACCGCTGACAAGAACTCAGAATCCCCATACACGAGCGTGTTGAGCTGCCCGAAGAGCTGATCCCGGCCGACTCCCGGGTAGAAATCGATGCGAAAATCACCGCAGGTATGCAGATACGGCGATACTGTGACCCTACCGTGAAATGCTAACTTCGTGATGCAGGTTATTTCACTGCCGGAAAGCGCATGACGGAAGAAGAGCTGAGAGCTGTGCAGGGCAGAATGTGGGAAGAGTAAGTTCCCCATTTTTTTCTTTCATTAGTCTCGTTCCAGTCCGACGAGGGCAGAAGATGACTGACGACGTTGGCACTCGCAGTCTTGACCACTAAGCGTGCATTCATTGTCCGGGGAGGGTAAGTTGAACAGCTTAGTCGCCAATGCAATCAAGACAACGCAGGACGAATTGTCGGGTGAGCCCTGGAGTGACGATGCTTCTTACATCCGATGGTGACAACACTCCCTCCAATTCAGAACACGTGCGTCATCGCCGGTCCGGATAGATGGGTACGACGAAGAAAGGAAGCAGCCTTGAACGCGAGTACGTTGGCCAAGTCTGGGAAAACTGCAGCTCAGAGGCACGTTGGCAAGGAGGTAACGCTCGGTAGTACGAACATGACCAAAAGAGAAGCTGATGGGAGCGAGTGAGATGTTTTCATCGGAGGTATGTCCAACAATTTAGGTATGCAACATGGCATATAGCAAGACCAACCAGACGCGTCGCCGCGGAAATACAATCAACCTCCAAGACTTATGTGATGAGCGATGGTGGTAGCACTACTTGCTTGCGAAGAAGCCAGACCGAGCTAGACCCGACCTCGTATGTACAAGCTGACAGGGAGAGTGTCGCGATGCAGATTCCCCCACGGGTGTACTCTTACATTCTGCAGCTCCCATTCCTCTAACCAATGCTACTACCCTTGCTTCACCGGTCCAGCAGTGGCATAGCGGGCGGTCGGCTATGATTGGACTCGAATCGCCCGGGAATGGGCGGGAACTGACGAGAACTGGACGAGGGAGTGGTCGGCATCCCCACAGTAGCTGCATGCGTGACGCCTGCCATGCATGGACTTTGCGTATAAGTGCCCAAACAGAAGCACACCGACCCATACACAACCAGACACATAGTTGGGAGCCGGTTCCCCATCAGGCACCGGCCATGTGGCCCAATTACGGCACGCAGAGACTTGTCAGCGGAAAACAGTCGACCAGACCCGGCCCTCCTCAAGAACCGACGTTCCTGCCGGGTAGCCGGACTCGACTCGATCAATAGCTTGTTGATAATGTGCACGATGCCCGCCAGAGCTAAGGGGCTTGAAAGAGAGAGCAACCATGATCTCCCTGTGTCCCGTACTATCAGTCGTTGCAGCTTTGCAAAGACGGCCGCAACGTACAGATCGGCAAAGCGTACACCCAACAGTAGCACACACCTGAGCAAAGACCAAGATCAAGATACACACCCGATATCAACACCATGGCCGCCGTTCCACGGGACTTGCGAGACGCGGATGGCGTGCGGAGGAGAGAGTCATCACCGCGGCCGGATCGCCAACGCCGGCCAAGGTTACTGAGAGCCAGCGCAACGGAGCCGACTATAACGACAACGTCCAATGCCAGCCGCGGCGCCATATCGAGTCCGCAATCATCCCAGAGAGCGACCGAACTGCTGAACCGTGTGGCCGTCTACTCGGGCCATCCGCCCGAGTACTCACCTACTTCAGATGCCGTACCACCAATGGTCTCACTCAGCGCCGAAGACGTCACTGTTCCGGCAACAAATCGTGTACAAGGTCATCGGGAACCTCATCCCTGTTCGTGAACACCCGCGGCTCCCCTCAGCATGCATCGGGGTAGTCTTACTAACAAGCAGCGACCAGACTCAAATGGCTACTTCAGCTTTCCTAATTTCGACGCCTGGGATGGAGAGCGGAGGGGCGACGACAAAGAGGTCATCTGAATTAAATTGGGCCGAGAGGTGAAGAAGATACTAGGAGATGGCCCATCCCTTGACGAGTTAGGCACAGTCGAAGAGAAATGAGAAAGGAACCAGCGACAACAGACCACGTTATCCGGCAACTCAGCGCGAAGTCAACCTCCGCGCCAAAGCGAAGCATGTTAGCAAGATCGGCAAAAGTGTTGGGCAGTGAAGGTAACCTGTCAGCGACCGAGTGAGTGCTGATCAGCATCGAGCAAAACATGCTCGATCCAGAGACGGAATAGACCGGTGACACAGCACAGAAGGGTTGGTTTTATAGTACCATTCTCAACCAGACTGAGACATTGATCTTATGGGTATGGCGTTGACGTGGCAGGATTGGATGATTTGAAGCACATGCACATCTCCATGAGAGAGGTGAATGTTTCGATGATGAATTCGAGGGTTACGTATCAACAGGCGTCCGGGTTTGGAGTTTTTGTTTTGACTTTGTAATTGTCGATGTGGAATACCCTTATGTAAACTTGAAGCGACACCAAGATACATAAAGATGCTGAGCGGCATCGCTCGATTTGACGACGATCATTGAGTATTGCAGCAGAAGTAATCGGTGAAGAAATGACATTTGCGGGGCCTTGTGTGGCTCCTAACATGGTTGTGGAAGCTCAGGCGGTCGCAACCGCCTGTGATGACATGTCACTGGGAGCAGGGCTCGACTGGTTCCACCGCCACAGTGTGGCTTGGTTAAAGCACCTCTGGCATGGCCAATAAGCGACAACCTAGTGAAAACTTGAGAGATCCTAACCCAGTGGGACCGTTGGGGCTCGCTCCTGCCTTCTCAGTTGTGGGATTGTGCATCACGTGATGCACTGTGCTGGCCAGTAACCAGGATAGCTGCTTATTGTCTTCGAGGCCCAATTCACCGACGGCTGTGCTGTGGGGAAGGGGCAGAAACAGTGCATAGTAGCGATGGCACGGTAGAGGGCAGTAGCGCGGATTACATAATTCGACGGGGCACACTCGCTAAGAATTTCGAGCCACACAACACCGCGACTTGAATTTTATCAACAGCCGAAATCACCACCCCTCCAAATCTTCCAATTACTCAACGTTCATCCGCCAGACAATTAGCAGCCGCCCAAAATGGCTGTTGGAAAGTAAGCAAACGACCGTCCACGATAGAATTGACAACGACATGATCAATGCGCACCCGCGTCGTCGTTGGCTTGCCTGGCGCCGTGTTCTTTTGCTGACAAGCAATTTTCTCCCGCAGGAACAAGAGATTGTCCAAGGGCAAGAAGGGTCTCAAGAAGAAGACCGTGGACCCCTTCACCCGCAAGGACTGGTACCAGATTAAGGTAAGATTTGTTTGCGAATCGAGGATTTTCCGCTATGCGTACTTTGGCTTGCTGACGATTTCCTCTAGGCGCCTGCTCCCTTCAACGTTCGCGAGTGAGTCTCTCCTATCGCCAGTCCGAAGCAGAAACCCGAATCAAACATCCATAAACGAGAGCGGAGTGCGAGAAAGGCCACGGCTATTCGAATAAAGGTTGCTGACAGTTTGCGTCTAGTGTTGGCAAGACCCTGGTCAACAGAACCACTGGTCTCAAGAACGCCAACGATGCCTTGAAGGGCCGCATCTTGGAAGTCTCTCTGGCGGATCTCCAGAAGGATGAGGACCACGCTTTCCGCAAGGTCAAGCTCCGCGTCGACGAGGTCCAGGGCAAGAACTGCCTGACCAACTTCCACGGCCTCGACTTCACCTCGGACAAGCTCCGCTCGCTCGTCCGCAAGTGGCAGACTCTCATTGAGGCCAACGTCACCGTCAAGACCACCGACGATTACCTCCTGCGCCTCTTCGCCATCGCTTTCACCAAGCGCCGCCCCAACCAGATCAAGAAGACGACATACGCCGCCTCTTCGCAAATCCGTGCCATCCGCCGCAAGATGACTGAGATCATCCAGCGCGAGGCCTCCACCTGCACTCTCACCCAGCTGACCTCCAAGCTCATCCCCGAGGTCATTGGCCGTGAGATTGAGAAGTCCACCCAGGGCATTTACCCCCTGCAGAACGTACGTTTCACCTACTTCTGCTCACAACGTCTCGAGGCATGTCACATTCTAACCTCTCACAGGTCCACATCCGCAAGGTCAAGCTCCTCAAGCAGCCCAAGTTCGACCTCGGTGCCCTGATGGGTCTCCACGGCGAGTCTGGCACCGACGACCAGGGACAGAAGGTCGAGCGGGAGTTCAAGGAGCGCGTTCTGGAGGAGGTTTAAGGAATCAGGCCCTTACATGATGGATGCTTCGGCAGAGGGGATTCTGGCTCTACCGGCCGGAAAACAATTCCGGCATTGTTTTAGGTCGTTGCACATGGCGTAGCATTAAAGGCGGCTGCGGGTCTAAGTTACCTCAAAATGGTAAATGGTCAATTCTTCAAGACACTGTGCCGGGTGTGTACGCAGCCTCGCTTCCGAATCATGATGGCAAGATTTTGGGTTTCGGGACTCGACTGGAAGGAATATAAAAAAGGCGTCATGTGTGTGGAATGGACGGATTCGTTTGGTTTTTCATCGCGGTCCGCCGTCGACCAAAGGGCAGGTTCTTGCAGTAACAATGCAACTTGGTTCCCGAAACTCGAAGAGCTTGTCCATCATGTGACTAGATATAAAGCGCCACATGATTCCCCCCTGATTCCCCTCGTCCATCACATGCTTGTGTTGCACTCCTTCAGTGCCTAGACATATTAAGTACCTCCAGCTCTGCAAAGTCCGCCTTGGTGTTCATGTTGCCGATGTCTATCTATCTTCTATCTTCCTGGCCTGCGCCTGGATATTACTCATGAAGTTTATAGGACCTCTTCCGTGACAGCTGGGCGTTGGTCGCCATTTGGACACCTGACTATTATCTAACGTGCTCCAACTGTACACTTCCCCTATTCTTGGTCCTTGAGGAACTCGACTACGGCTGCACATTGGAATGAAAGTTAGCTTGCAAACACATGCACGGGATGCGGAATTTATTACCCTGGCGAAACTCCTCCGGTTTCTCCGATATACACCAATGTCCTGCGTCAAGATCCACCAATCGAAATTTGGGGAAGAATTGTCCTATGATGGGCAGAACGTCATCGGGGACATACTTGCTTCTGGTTCCTCGGACGAACAAAGCGGGCTTCTCAAACCGGACTTTTGTAGGGTCCTTGTACGGGAAATCACCCATATGGTTCAAAGACCGACTGACGATGTCCAGTGGCACACGGAACTTTTGCTGCGGCTTACCGGGCTCTGGTCGATGCAGGTTCCCAAGGAGGAATTGGCGGATAGGAAGGGACTAATGAACAGGGTAAGGTGAGATGGGAGGCCGCAGTTGGGTGGTTTGGGCAGCCTTACGCTCTCGTACTCCTTCAGAATTTCGTCCGCCTCAGCCTGCCTGGTGATATTGGCAGCTTCGATCTTCTTCAGGCCTTGAATGTATTTACTGAAGGAGCTCTCGAGCACGGCGTCGACCGGCGCATTATCAACCGCCACTATGTCTTGGACAAGTTGAGGCGATTTCAACGCAAGAGTCATGGCGGCTTTTGCTCCCCTTCAGGCATCAGTTCCCCTTAGCGTCCGACTCAACGAAACTCTGCCACGAGAAAAGCCCACTACTCACATCGAGTGTCCGATGACAGTTGGTTGTTCCAGGCCATGCTCGTCTATAAAGCCGGCAACGTCATCGGCCATATGGACATAGTCATGTTGTCGATCATGCGGCGATTCACCATGGTTTCGTAAGTCCTTATCTGCCTGTCAACAAACAACTTCTTTACATCTCATTTGGGTTCCTACCAAGGCATAGACTGGTCGACCCAGGTCACGAGCAAGCACTCTATAACGCAGTCAGCAGCTGTTTCGTAAGGGAGAATTTCGAATTGTGCTTGCTTGCTGATGCTTCTGTTGTTCTTCTTCGATCCAAAAAGGCCATGAAGGAAGATGATAGGACTCGGAGATGATCCGGCCCCTGGCTTGCTTGGTTCGTGCAGGTCATAGGATAGCCTCAGCCTACTTTGACTAGACATAGCCCGAGAGGGACTGAAGAGCCTGGAGGAGCTTCCCCGTATAAAAGCCCATGATCTGAGCAGTGACATCGTAACCTGAATCTAGTGGCTTTGATGAGTGAAGTGTAGTGGATGGGAAACTTCGTCTAGGTATAATTGGTCTACGGAGTAACGTTTTGCAGCTTAAGTGGGTCATAACAGACAGGGAGGCACACTACAGTAGGCCATTAGAGGTTTAAAGCTACATTACAATACACTGCTTAGATATATATTGCGGGTTTAATGTGGTAAATCTGTGTAGCATGGTGATACTGTTCAAGTATATTAATTAATAGGATATCCTTGTTGTGACTATCTTGGTAGGAAATCTCCCCTTAACTGTCCAGGCCCCTTTTAGCAAAGTGCCTGAATGCACATGCCATCGGATTTTAGGTATCTGGCCAGTGAACTCTGTCTTACCCAAGGGTTTTAGTCATCAAGTCCGCTGCGATAAAAACCCTTACTAACGTAAAGGGCGTAAAAACCGGAAAAAAGGGTTACTACTAAGGATTTTTAATAAATAACTACTTATATATAAGACTAGATTTATAGTTTAAGCCTTTATTAGTAGCCTTAAAAATTCTTTTAAATTCCTACTATAACGTAGTTCATAAGCGAGTGAGCCACTTTTCTAGAATTTTGTAGGACCTACCTTTCCCTTTGGTTTTCTCCACTTACAACTATAGTACGACAATTAAACAAAAGCGATTTAGTTTTAGCGCTTAATGCGCTTAAATTGAATCTAAAATTAAGTGTATAAAAGGTTATATTATAGTATAATATATTTTGTGCTACTCTTTAATGATAATAAGCTAATTAACTTATTAAATATAATATGTAACTATATAACTAGAATTTAACCTTATATTAAAAAAAAAACTATTATATAATATATTATTAATCTAGATTTATAAGTATTTTTGTTATGCCTTAGTATTATTTAAGAAATAGCTAATTAACTGTTTTATAACTATAGTATATAATATATTAGAATAAACTAAGCCTTAAACTTTATATGATAATAACTTAAGCTTTGAATACGTTTTAATTAAAGAATTAACTATTAAAGAGTCTTTTATAAAGATCTAAATATATATTATATATAGTTTTTTTTTATATAAAATATAATTATAAAGTATAAGATATATAATACTAATATTTATAACTTTAATAAGACTAGGTTTATAATAAGTAAAATATTATTTAAAATAGTTATTATAGCCTCTAAATAATACAATAAGCTAAAAAAAAAAGTATAATAAAAGAATTAAAAATAAGTTATAATAATCTAAAGTATTAAGTTATATAGTTATTTTATTTTACTATATGTTATTTTTATAAGTAAAGTTTATTTTAACTTTTAAATATATAATAAACCTTTTTTACTTAACTAAATAATTATACTTATAAAAAATAGTTAAGTAATAAATAAAAAAGGCTTAAAATAAGTATAGTACTTTAATTTTTATGTAAGGAGTTATATAAAAAGTACTTATTACTTTTTTATCTTTAATAGCTATAAAAGCTATTATTTTATTAATTTTAAGTTATACTATAAAGAGTAAAATATTATTATGCTTTATATACCTTGTTATTCATTATATAAGCTTTAGCCTTTTAATGTAAAGTATTTTAGTTCTTTAAGGTATATAGCTAAGAAATTAAGGTCCTTATATAAGTATATATTACATAACGTATATGTATAGTAAGTAGCCTATCATAGTAAGTGGCTTACCTCTACCTATCCTCTAGCTATTTATATAAGTTAATTAAGCAGTATTATATAAAATTAATTAAAACTACTTATTATCCTCTTCTTTAGAGGTCTCTTATACTACTTAATATATTTATATATTATATCTAGTTTTTTTGTAATTACTATATTACTAACTATATAATTTATTTCCTTCTATATAAGCCTTCTCTTAACGTATATTTTTGTTTTAAGTATTAATAACCCTTTTTTCTACTTAAATTACTTTTACTTTAGCTATATTAAAAGACCCTTTAAGATATAGTTAAGTTTTTTTAGCCCTTTAATGTTTATTTAGTATTTTATTTATTATATAAAGCTTATAACATTTAGCTTTAATAAGAGCTAGTTTATATATTAATTTACTAATACCTTTAGCTTATAAGTTAATTACTTTATATAAATAAGTTAATAAGCTATATTAATAACTAGTAAATTTTTTTTTAAGTAATATAAAGCTTTATATAATATTATATATTATAGTTAATGTTTTTAGGTCTTAAAAGCCTTAGCTACTTAGGTATAAGTTAAATAGTATTAGCGTCTTTAGCTTAAAATTTAAGTAAAAATAACTAACGTACATGCATAGTGAGTTAGCCATCATAGTGAGTCGGCCACTTCCTTATCGTATATAAAACCCCTAGTTTTCAACTATTTTTTAAAAATCTATTTTAAGCTTAAAATAGACTAGGTTTTAACTATTAGTATTCGATAAGAGTTATATTATAAGAAATAATACTATAGAAATTATTACTCTAGCCTTATAATACCTTATACCTAGATCTCTTATCTAGAAGCTAGATAAGCTAGTTTACATAAGGTAGTATAATAACTAAGGTAGGAATTTCTATAGTATTATTTCTTATAATATAACTCTTATTAAATACTAATAGTTAAAACCTAGTCTATTTTAAGCTTAAAATAGATTTTTAAAAAATAGTTGAAAACTAGTGGTTTTATATACAATAAGGAAGTAGCCGACTCACTATAATGGTTAACTCACTATATATATACGTTATTTTTAGGTTAAAAGAGATAAAGTTAGCTTATTTAAAGTTAACTTATATATATATTTTTTTATTAAAATTAAAAATACTACTTTAAAAATAAAAAAAAAGTTATTTTTAGTAATATATATAATTTATATTTATATTATTTTTTTAATTTTTTTATTATATAATACTTTTAGTAAACTAAAATAGTTAATATTAAGAGGCTAAAGTTTATATAATAAATAGAGAAATATATAAAAAGTAATAATATTATGTTTTTTATAGTAATTATTAAACTTAATAGACTTATAGCTATTATAGCTATTAAGGATTAAAAGTTACTTAATACTTTTTATATAAAACTTTATATACTTTTTAAAATACTATAGCTAATTTAAGCTAATCTTATTTATAGTCTATTTATTTTTATTAAAGTAAATATACTATTAAGGTAAGAATTAGCTATTAGTATACTATAAGAAAAAGTAATATTTACTTTTAATAATAATATATAGAGGTAACGCCTAGTTATCTATATATATACTTTAAATAACAGAAACTTATTTATAATTACTAAGCTACTTTATATAAGGCCTTTTATAGTAATTAAAGGTTATAATAACCTTTATATATAACAGTATTCTTATTAAAAAGCCTATCTTATTAAAATTATAGATATTATTATTATAAATTTTATACTTTATAATTATATTTTATATAAAAGTAAACTAGGCCTATATAATTACAAGATCTTTAGCTAATACCCTCTAATAGTTAATTTTATATTAAAAATATATCTTTAGTTAACGTATATGTATAGTGAGTCGCTTATTATAGTAAGTCGCTCACTTCCTTATCGTACATAAAACCCTTAGTTTTCAACTATTTTTTAAAAGTCTATTTTAAGCTTAAAATAGACTAGGTTTTAACTATTAGTATTTAATAAGAGTTATATTATAAAAAATAATACTATAGAAATTATTACTTTAGCCTTATAATACCTTATACCTAGATCTCTTATCTAGAAGCTAGATAAGCTAGCTTATGTAAGGTAGTATAATAACTAAGGAAGGAATTTCTATAGTATTATTTTTTATAATATAACTCTTATCGAATACTAATAGTTAAAACCTAGTCTATTTTAAGCTTAAAATAGATTTTTTAAAAATAGTTGAAAACTAGGGGTTTTATATACGATAAGGAAGTGGCCGACTCACTATGATGGGCGACTCACTATGCATGTACGTTATATATAGTAGCTAAAAAAGGAATTATAGTAATAGCTTATAACCAGGTTTTAATATAAGTATAAATAACTAAGTATTAAGAAACAAATAAGTATATAAGCTATTATTACTATATAAAAAAAAACTTTAGAAAAGTAAAATACTTATAATTAATTAAGTAAAGGATATAAAGTCTTAAATTAATATAATAGAGTAGTTATAGGTAAAAATAGGTTAAAGTAGTAGTTATATAAAGAGGATAGAAATATGTGTGTAACGATCTAGTATCTATAGAGAGACTGGATATAATGCTTATATATGTTAGAAAGTTAAATCTACTTCTAAAGAAGAGGATTCTAAATAGTTTGAATTGATTTAAGGCGTTATGGTTGATTTCTGTAAGACTAATATAAATAGGGTAATAAAGAGGTAGATAGTAGGTTAAAAGGTGGCTTTATTAATAGTTGCTTAGATTGCTTTGATTGATAATTATATTTTTTACCTTTAGGTAGGAAAAAGG